TTATATTTCCAATATTTCATTTCTCTCTGAACTTCCAGATAACGAAGAAGACTTATGAGTCATAAATTTGCTAAAAATACTTAAATATATTTTTTAAAAATGAGAAGAAATCTCGGAATTCTTATAATTATTGTACATTACATGTTAATTTATATGAATTGTGAGAAAAATCATCAAAGCTTGACTGGAAGTAAAAGTTCTAAGAAGTTTGGAAAAGTGAATAAAACTGTGCTGGATAAATCCACATCAATTCGTAAGATTACAACAACTAAACCTTTAAGGACACTGCCAAGTTCAACTAAAGCTCCATCAAATGATTTAGTTAAAAATATCAAAAAGAAACACAAACATGAAGACAAGAAAGATTCTGAAAATATTAAAAAAGATAGAAGGTAAATTAAAGCTTTTAATTTATCATAATTTCAGTTAAAAATCATCATTATAATTAACAGAAATGTCAAAGCGTCTAAGAAACCTCAACTGGTGACTACAAAAAATCCACTCGACGATAAAATGAAAAAAGCAATTATGGAACAAAAAGCTCAAGCATTTAAATTTCTTTATGAATTACAAAAAAAGAATAAATTGAATTCGTCGTTAATTAAAGATCACATTGCAATGTCGACGCAAATTCAAAATCATATTTCACAAAATTTCATACCATCACCGGAAGTAGGACCACTTTATACAGATGATAATAAAATAACAGATCACTTCAGTCCAAATAATAAATATTTTCGACCGTTATTACAAGACGCACATTTTCCTGAATCGCATATAAATGCGGATTCGATATTGGATACAAAATGGCTTGGAGCGAATCAACCACCAACTGACACATTGCCGTCAACTCATCTTTTTCCAGCTTATCAACCTGTACATCCAATATTGCAAGATGCACATTTTCCTGAATCGCATTTAAATGCGGATTCGATATTAGATAACAAATGGCTAAGCGCGAATCAGCCACCAACTGACACTTTGCCGTCAACTCATCTCTTTCCAGCTTATCAACCTGTAGAGTCGTTAAGTCACTTTAATAACGACTATGGGAATATTTCATTCCCTCCATTTTCATTCCCATTCAATTACAACAGTTCACACTCTACAAGTCAAACTTCTATTGACGAACATGAGATTTTATTCCCAGAAAATCATGCAATGGAAACAATAAAACCAGTCAAAGTGAATAAAGATAAAGAAAGTGAATTAAATGAGAAAAATAAAATTAATGACTCGTCTAATGAAAAATCAGAAGTTGGAATGCATAAAGTAGGTGTGAAGCTTGAAGTAGCTGAAGGGTCAAAGGAAAGTGGTTCAGAAAACAGTGAAGAGGTTAATAAAACTAAGAATGTTGCTATGAATGAAGGGAAGCCGGAATCAGATCCAAATGAGAAAAGTGACGAATCTGAAAACGACAAAACTGACGAAAAAAGTGCTGAAAAAAGTTCCGAGAAAAATGGTAAAAATCATAAAAAGACTAAAAATCCATTTAGGATCTCTCCCACTATAATTCTTCCTGATGAAAAGGAAACTTCGTCAGATGATAATAAAAATCATGAAAAAGTTGAACATCCAGTTTGGACCTCCCCCGCTATAATTGTTCCTGATGGGAAGGAAACGTCGACATTATCATCTGTCATCAAAAATCATGATAAAATTAAACATCCAGTCTGGATTTCCCCTCCTATAATTGTTCCTGATGAAAAGGAAAAATCAACAGAGAACAATGAAGACAAGACATCAGAAGAAGAAAATGGAGAAAACTCCGGAAGTGATGATGAAAAAGAAAAATCAAATGAAAGCAATAAAAACAAAGATACAGAAGAAGAAACGGAAAATGGAGAAAACTCCGATGAAAAGAATAAAAAATCTGACGAAAATGACAAGAATGAAAAAGATTCGAANTTATTCTTTTATCTAACAGCCCACTTCAGATACCTTTTCCAATTCCAAATCAACAACAATTCATGGCACAGCTTCCTAATCGACCGATTCCCAAAGCATCTTTGTTTCAACAAATGGCACATCGTGGTTTGAGTCATGCTGCCAACTTGAGTCCTCAAGAAATTGACGCAATGTTAACGAATTTCTTACAAATGATGGATTTAGAATTTAAGAAGAAATATCAGCAGAATGGAGAGAAGCTGGAAGGAACATGTGAAGATCGATTTTTCTGTGAAGTTGCTTTGCAAGGGAGAAAAGTTAAGGCAGATCCCATGCATCGAATGCTTTTCAATATCGCTTTAGAGTAGGAAAAGTTGTGTGATTGTCTTGATAAAATTAATTAAACGTTCGTTGACTTTTCAGAACGCCACCGGATCTTGCATCGAAGAGTGGACTTGGAGAAATATTTAAAGCAATAAAACGATTGAATTGCGATGTATTTAAATGTAGCAAAATACAAAAATTAATGTAATAAATTTTTTTATGTCATACAACATTTAAATAAAATAAATATTTATTATAAATCATAAAATTTTATGTTGAGTTAGCGAGTAAATCAGCATCCTGTGCATGATTACTGCAATTTTGTTTTGATTTCCTTCCAGCTTTCAAGATTTCACGTGAAATTATAAACTATGGGACTGGCGTTAATTAAGGCACCTAAACTCAGTGTTTAAGAAAAAATTCTCTTTGGATTATCTGAAACATTAAATTTAATTCAATCAATTTTCAAATGTTTTTAATATTTGCCCCTTAAAGTTATGCAAGTCGTGGAACATTTTCTGATAATCTCAATTTTAATAAAAGTAATAAAAAAAGAAATATCTTCATTGGAATTTGATCTTTTCATATTAAAGGAATCTAACATACTCTTATTGTTAAACCTTTATTGTGTAAAACAAAATGAAAACCGTTTGAACATCCACAATGAACAATAAAATTAAGTTTCCGGTTCCACTGATTATGATTCTTTAATCATTTTTAAATTGTTGAATTCAATATAGAGCTGTGAATACTTTAAAATGCTCTAAAATATATTCGGAAGTGTTTACTTTGTTTGTTGATTATATTAACTCACCTATTGTGAATCCTTTAAGTTCAAAAACCACAAAGTGTTTAATATCATTTTAATATATAAAAGAAAATTTTTATATTTCCAATATTTCATTTCTCTCTGAACTTCCAGATAACGAAGAAGACTTATGAGTCATAAATTTGCTAAAAATACTTAAATATATTTTTTAAAAATGAGAAGAAATCTCGGAATTCTTATAATTATTGTACATTACATGTTAATTTATATGAATTGTGAGAAAAGTCATCAAAGCTTGACTGGAAGTAAAAGTTCTAAGAAGTTTGGAAAAGTGAATAAAACTGTGCTGGATAAATCCACATCAATTCGTAAGATTACAACAACTAAACCTTTAAGGACACTGCCAAGTTCAACTAAAGCTCCATCAAATGATTTAGTTAAAAATATCAAAAAGAAACACAAACATGAAGACAAGAAAGATTCTGAAAATATTAAAAAAGATAGAAGGTAAATTAAAGCTTTTAATTTATCATAATTTCAGTTAAAAATCATCATTATAATTAACAGAAATGTCAAAGCGTCTAAGAAACCTCAACTGGTGACTACAAAAAATCCACTCGACGATAAAATGAAAAAAGCAATTATGGAACAAAAAGCTCAAGCATTTAAATTTCTTTATGAATTACAAAAAAAGAATAAATTGAATTCGTCGTTAATTAAAGACCACATTGCAATGTCGACGCAAATTCAAAATCATATTTCACAAAATTTCATACCATCACCGGAAGTAGGACCACTTTATACGCATGATAATAAAATAACAGATCACTTCAGTCCAAATAATAAATATTTTCGACCGTTATTGCAAGACGCACATTTTCCTGAATCGCATATAAATGCGGATTCGATATTGGATACAAAATGGCTTGGAGCGAATCAACCACCAACTGACACATTGCCGTCAACTCATCTTTTTCCAGCTTATCAACCTGTACAGCCAATATTGCAAGATGCACATTTTCCTGAATCGCATTTAAATGCGGATTCGATATTAGATAACAAATGGCTAAGCGCGAATCAGCCACCAACTGACACTTTGCCGTCAACTCATCTCTTTCCAGCTTATCAACCTGTAGAGTCGTTAAGTCACTTTAATAACGACTATGGGAATATTTCATTCCCTCCATTTTCATTCCCATTCAATTACAACAGTTCACACTCTACAAGTCAAACTTCTATTGACGAACATGAGATTTTATTCCCAGAAAATCATGCAATGGAAACAATAAAACCAGTCAAAGTGAATAAAGATAAAGAAAGTGAATTAAATGAGAAAAATAAAATTAATGACTCGTCTAATGAAAAATCAGAAGTTGGAATGCATAAAGTAGGTGTGAAGCTTGAAGTAGCTGAAGGGTCAAAGGAAAGTGGTTCAGAAAACAGTGAAGAGGTTAATAAAACTAAGAATGTTGCTATGAATGAAGGGAAGCCGGAATCAGATCCAAATGAGAAAAGTGACGAATCTGAAAACGACAAAACTGACGAAAAAAGTGCTGAAAAAAGTTCCGAGAAAAATGGTAAAAATCATAAAAAGACTAAAAATCCATTTAGGATCTCTCCCACTATAATTCTTCCTGATGAAAAGGAAACTTCGTCAGATGATAATAAAAATCATGAAAAAGTTGAACATCCAGTTTGGACCTCCCCCGCTATAATTGTTCCTGATGGGAAGGAAACGTCGACATTATCATCTGTCATCAAAAATCATGATAAAATTAAACATCCAGTCTGGATTTCCCCTCCTATAATTGTTCCTGATGAAAAGGAAAAATCAACAGAGAACAATGAAGACAAGACATCAGAAGAAGAAAATGGAGAAAACTCCGGAAGTGATGATGAAAAAGAAAAATCAAATGAAAGCAATAAAAACAAAGATACAGAAGAAGAAACGGAAAATGGAGAAAACTCCGATGAAAAGAATAAAAAATCTGACGAAAATGACAAGAATGAAAAAGATTCGAATGAAAAAGATTCGAATGAAAAAGATGCAAATGAAAGTTCTGAATCAAATGGAAATGATAAACATCCTAATGCTCCAATCATATGGAAAAAAGGGATTTGGAAATGGGTTCCAGAAGAAGAAGAAGACGATGAGAATAAGAGTGGATCTGGAAGTGGGAGTGGTAGTGGAAATAGAAGTGGGAGTGGAAATAGAAGTGGGAGTGGAAATAGAAGTGGGAGCGGAAGTGGAAGCAGAGAATCATCTGAAGGTTCTGGTGAAAGACAGAGTGGCAGCAAAGAAGAAGAAACCAGTGGTTCATCATCAAAATCTTCAGAGAAAGAGGAAGAGGGGGAAGATGAGGGATCTGAAGAACCAGAATATACATTTGGAGTTTTAAAAGGGTGATTAAAATCATTCACAATCACATGAAACATTTTTTAACGTTCTCAAACTCACAAAATTTACAGAAACAGTCCATGGACGAATATTTTTGGCATAGCTGCAGCTGCAGTTCCACTTGGATGGATCAGTTGAGCAATAAGCTAAGAATTTACTTATAAAATATTTAATGAGCTCTTTTTCTTTTATAGTTGCAATTTTAACACCACGATTAATTTATATTAACCCAAATTTACCAGTGTAAGTAAGCAAATTATTTATTAAAGTGTTGTTTATATTCATTTTTATCAAGCATAATGAGTTATCTCTCATTCTGATTTAAATCATTGCTTTATATGTAAGATTTTATTATTCCATACTGTCATTTCATTGTGGATCATTAATTCGCGAAATTTTAATAACATTTACATTTTTAACTTTAAATAGCAGTCACTTATCTTTTTTTGAATAATTTTAATATCAATGCGGTGTTGATTAATGAGATTAATGTTCACCAATCATTCGTTAATTTTTTTTACCTCCAACAAAGACAATTTAATGCATCAGTTGCATTTCACTTGCGCTGCAGGAAAATAATTGAAGTTTAACTGGGTTATGAGAGTTGAAATTCGAGATTATTTTTGATGGGTCATCGAGGCACAAGCATAGCAGAAACAGAGAATGTCAGCGAGGTTTCTCAGCAATGAATGCTATCAAAGAATGAATCACAATTTTTTATTTTCTCCATTGATGGTGTACAGTCAGAGATCATTGCCGAAGGCAATTCGCAAATACCATAAAAACGTGAACAATTTTTTTTTTCTTACCACGTCAGGGGAAATTTTATTTCAATGAAAGAAGATCAATTTACCAGTTGGTTAATCGTTTGAGGTATATTACGTATATCTTTCAATTTTATCAAGTTAATCTATCTACTCGTTTGCTAGTCATAGCATAAGATTGTCTCAAATATACTCAAATTATAAGAAAAGCAAATCGGTGTAGGTAATTTTCAGTTTAACTTTCCGATTCACTTCTCTCTCGCAATTATTTTAACTTTTTAATCAATTTAAGTCAAGTGGAATCTTAAGATGCAAAAGCCACCGCATGAAATTTATGTTGTGTCAAATTTTCTGCCATAAATTCATCGGTAGGTGCTGCCAAAAAATATTTCGCGATCAAAGCAACAGCAAGCATTCAAACTGTGCATAATTTGTTGATATTTAAATGGTCTGAAACTTGCTTTCGGACATAACAATCTCTTCTTCTCCTCTTGCTTATGCATTGTTTCGTTTCGAGTAAATCGTTTTTATCGGACACGAAGAACCTGCAACTTTCACTTTTCTTCCGACTCTTCTTTGCTATGTCTCTTCGTATTGTGTTGCGTGAAGTTTTGCAACAGACTGAATGTTTCTTCACATAGATATTTGCGCAATTTAAATTTCAAATGATTATCGTCGCAATCTCCTTCAAAACTTAGGTTCAGTCGGAAGTTATGAAACTTTTTTTCTCACCTACAGTCTTGCTCGAAGCTTGAAATCTTTTGCAAGTGGACCGTTTGCTAAAGGTTTTGCACAACGAAGACTATCTAGAGGGGACTTTTCTAATGATGGCTATGCTGATGCGACAGTCATGAATGCTTTAAGAGTGATGGAAATGGAGATTAAGAGAAAATATTTGAAGACTGGTGTGAAGCTGAATGCATCTTGTGAAGATCGATTCTTTTGTGAAGTTGCTGTAAAGGGAAGAAAGTTTAATGCAGATGTAATCAGTAGGATACTTTACATCATAGCCTTGTTGTAAGTTGAAAGATTTATCTGAAATATTTCCATTAATACTTGCATTCTTCTTCACAGAACCCCCATAAATCAAGCTGAGAAAAACGGTCTTGGAACGATCTTCAAATCCATAAGAAACTTAAACTGTGACGCATTCAAGTGCGATAAATTAAGAAACTTATATTGCTAATTAAAAATATTTTCTTTTTAATGACTTGAGAAAAAGAAAAAGAAGAAATAAATTAATTAGACAGACTTCTCAATCAGTCACTGCATTTTCTTAATGCGTTAAACGTGAGCAATTCATTTCAAATTATTAAATTCCAATCACTTTTGCTGTCTTGAATTTCTAATCATCACAAACGCGACAGCTCTTGTTAGTTCAACGACACAACAAAAATGCGGCAAAAACTGGAAATGCAAAAGCGGAGATCTTATAAAAATGCCAATAAAACTTAATAATTTTCATTCGGTCAAACATGCTTTATGATGATTTTATTTTTATCTTTTATATTTCGATGTTGCCTCTCAACCACTTTCTACCGACGCTTTAAATGCTTTAATTTCAAACAGTTGTAAAAAACCTAATCTATTTACTCTCAATTATTCAAAGCGTAAACTAACTTAGGCGCAAAGTATAAAAAAATTCGAAATTGAAGCGCGGCAGCAGTGAAAAAAATTGGCAATGAAATTAAAGCAGTGACGTTGAATGATATTTGTAATAAATTGAACATTTTTTGAAATGTGCCAGCACTGATTTGAGGCTTTTTACTTATCACATGTTTACCACCAAGCACTCTCATGTTTGTTTTTTGCAATAATGTCAAGTGGAATTTCTAGTTGAATAGTTTTGCCGATGATTGTATAAGACGATATGAAATGTTCGACACAAAGTCTACTGAAATGTCACTTTATTTGATTGAACTTGACGCAAAATTGTCTAAAACGAAATGAAAAAAAAAAACTCGAAAGAAGAATTTTTAATACGAAAGACTTTAATTACCGAATAGCCGACGAAACTTGTTGCTGTTTCTTTATTTGCTTTCATTAATAGAAGGAGTCTGCTGGATTTTAATTTATATCAAAGATGAAAACAAAACCATGTAGTGTTTGTTTTAGACGTGACATCATTTTCATTCACTTCCCCTTTTATGTGTCGAATCATGCCGCCAAATCCGACAGCAAATTTTTAAAAACTTTATCACAAGTTGAAACAAGAAAAAAGAAAGGAAGAAAGAGAAGTTGATAACTTCAGATAAAACATTTCACAATTGTCAACCAGCTTCATCGACGATGAAGAGCGCACACCGACATGTCATGTGGAATGCATCATGAAGCTTTAGAAAAAGAAGACGAAGAAGTATGAAGAAATTTCTTTTCGAGTGATTGTGAAAACTTAACAAGTGTCTCTGTTACTTCTTGATATTCCAAAACCATTTTCGCATTGCGTCTTTGCCGTTGGCTCTCTCTCAATGCAATCAATGCAAGTAAGAGTTGAAAAACTTTTTTTTATTCCGAAGCAGTAAGATAAATCTTTGAATTGATTGTACACTTATGCATTTTTGGAAGGTTTGCTTTACGATGGCAATTTAACATTCAACAAAAAAAGAATACTTGGAGAAAATTCCTGAAAGCCTACGATAATCGTGAGATTATTTATTCAAGACTTTAATATTGTTGTCCAAGATCCCCCACTCGTGTATGTAAATATGCATTGAAATTCCATTCGGCGCCAAAAGAAAGTTCAAGGTTAATGAATTGCATATCACTTGACAGATTATTACACCCCCACATGAACATGAAAAGCACTTGAAAGCATCTCGACGAATTTTATCATTCGTTGATCATCGACAATGTTAAGAAAAAAATGTCATGTAGCGAAATAAATCGACTTTCTTTTCATTAATGAAAAAAAAACGAAGGAAATTACATTCGTGTGAGTCGGCATTTTTCAGACTTAATATTACATATTTACTCTCGAATAATACACACGCAATTAAACATGCACACACACAAACACTTCGCGAAGCTTTTTTCGGGCTTGAACAAAAAGAAAAAAAAATCGCGCAGCATATTTTTTTTCTTCTCCATGAGTTGCCGCATTCAGTGCTTGAAAGCGATTAAAACAAGACGGTTTTTGGAAGGAACTCCCGCGACGGGTTAAGAAAAATATTTGAATCGAAAGTGAAAAGACAAAATATCGGAATTTTTGGTAATAAATAGTTGAAGTGAATGCATTGACGTTTCTTTCTCAAGTCGCGAAATTAATTAATGAATTTAATTTTTTCATTATTTGTGAAAACATCAGCAATGAAATTTTCTACATCGAATTGAAGAGGAAAAAGTTTTCTCGTGTTTTGTGTTAATTGCTTATTAGAGAGTGAAACAGAGCTCAGCTTTTGAAGAAATTTGATTATTAATTGAGCTTCGAGATCAATTTGAAAATTTAAAAGTGAATCTGCAACTTTTTTTTTATCGTGAAGAAGGAAATAATAAAATGTTGAAGATTTCTTTCATCAATCAATATGTAGTAAAAATTTAATATCGTGGAGATCAGAGACGATTCAATGACCTTTTCCACCGGAATGAAATTGAAACTCTTTTCCTAGACTTTTACTTTCAATTTCCCGTTCTCGATCGTTGACTGTCGACGAAGCAACATAAAAGCATTACACAGCTGAACTAAGTGCTTTTTTCCCTCTTACCATTAATTGAATCGCGGAAGTTTGTAATCGTTCGTGAATCATGCAATTGAACTTTGCCTTCTTTTCATTTGTTGTCCTCAACGTTAAATTATTCAAATGAAGGTAACGCGCTTTTGAGATTGCAAACGCAATTTAGAAAAGCATGAAACAAAGATTTTTCATTCAGACAATTGTTTTCTTTTATTTTATTTTATTTTTTCTTGTTTTCGCTCGCTTTCCTCGCTTTGCTTTTTCCATGATGTCTCATGTTAATTGACTGTTTATCTTATGACTGCGTCTCGGTTTTTAAAGAGCGACAGAAAGCTTGAATAATCATCGTAGAATTGGAATTTTAGATTCTCTTCAAATATCTTGTTAAATAAAATTTCTAATTTCAATCAAATTTATTTTATAGTTTTCTAAAGAATTTCAAAATATTATGAGAGACTTTTAAATGAAAAGATAAATGCAACAGATTCAAGAATTAATTTATAGATTAAAACGAATCATTTGCATCTTGAATCGTTAAAACATGAAACTTGTTTTAGTTTCCGAAGCATTTATTTTGACAATTCGTTCAAACTTTTATGACAAAAGTCAATGGCCTCATAAGTATTATCATCGAGTGAAGCACGAGTGAATACTTTCAACATATGTATAATCATTTTATGATAATCATGCTTAAGTATGAACTAATATAGGTCGCGTAATTTCCATAGAAATGAATGAGAGATGCTTTGTTTTGAACGAAATATAAGAAATATTAAAAACATGTTAAGAGAGTTTCACCTCATCACATATTGCAACATGTCTTCTCCTCTTTTTATGTGGTTACTTTACTTCTCTAAGCTCTCATCTGTCGACAAGCGAAAGAAAGTGAATTTCAAATTTTTAGATGCTCAACATTGCTTGCTTTATATAATACACCGGAATTGTGAAATCTTGTAGAAATCTTATGCAGCTGATTGAGAGAAATAAAAAGAAAAGAAAATAAAATAAAAGAAAATCACGGAAATTTGCATCAAAGTGGGAATTTGATTTTGAAAACTAAACAAGATTGTATCAAATCAAGACATTGCACCTTGACAATTAAAGTTCAAAGTCCTGAACAATTGCATTTGAATGTTGAAGTGAAAATTGTTACAACGATTTTCTAGATGTTCATTCAAGTTAAACAAATATTTGATATTCCAAACAACTCTCTAAAAATTCAAGATGTGCAAGATTTTTGTCGTCGGCTATATTTTTTATGATCCTTTCAACTTGAAAGTTCCCCAATCAACTTCAAATCTTAACAATTCGAATGGAAAAACTTTTAACACTTTCTTTAAATCAACTTTTCGTAGATATATGATCAACATACAATATACAGAAGATGTAGAAGAAATCAATCTTAATTGCCGATCACATTTGAAATGATACTATTTGACGTTTATTTCGCACATTGATTGATGAAGAAATACTTCAAAATATTTCGTTTGATTTCTTTGCTTTCTGATTTTGTTTCGTTAGAATAATTGACACAATTTGCCCATAGGCGTGATGGATGACTTGCAAATTCTTTGAAATTAATACAATTGTTCACCTTCTATTATGTCATGTTTGAAATATTCTAAACTACTGAATAAGAGTCCATGGTACGAAATCACGTGACGCTTCATTTTAACGTCCCTTTCATTAATTTGAGAATTTACTTACTGAAAAAATGATTCGTCAATAAAAGTTGAAGTTATGATGGATACAGTTCGATGAACCGCACCTGATCTCGATCTTTCTCCCGATGATCTGAAGAATCATTAATTTTGTCTGCGAGAGCTGAGACGAGCTGCGTCACGTGAAAGTGTGCCAAACGTAATAAATTTATGATGGATATTTAGTAAAAACTGTAAGAGCTCACTTAAGCTGAAAATAAAATTAAGAGAAAAAAAAACATTAAAAAGTGAAGTACGTTAATTAGAGAAATAAAACAAAGCGAGTTGATCAATTAGGGTTGTTTTGTGCAAGACTGAAATTGAGAGAGAAGCCGATTGCGTGAAACCAACCAAATTATGGAAATTCATTTTTTTTCTTTTTTGTTTTGTAGATTTGAAAATAGCAAAATATAAAAAACTTGTTAAGAGGAAAAGTTTTCATGTTTTCGGAAGGAAATTATCAGAGCTGAAATAAAGTTTTATGAAAAGAGAGAACTGTTGGTTAGCAAGTCGGAAAAAGTTTGTTTCTTTCCATTTACGATGCTGAAAAGTAAGATGAAGAAGAGATAATTTGGACAAAATCAATTACAACTTTAACTAAAACAGCCGACAAATCTGTTGCTATTAATTGTGGTATTCAAGACCAAATAATAATTATTGGAGAAGAAATTCACAAATTTGGTTTCAAGCTGACATTCAAACGTAAGCCGCAAAAAGAGATAAGAAAGTAAGTTGGAATGTCGGTTTGAGTAGAATTACAGTCGCCACAATGTCTGGTAGAGTTACATGCTTACATCTCGATAGTTAATATTTTAATTAGTGGGCGTGTGTGACTACAAATGTTGCCGCTGTGGTTACCGCAGTGTTTTCTCATTTAAAAGTTATTTAATTAAACTCACATGTAAATCTTTACCATTTCTCTTCTTTCCCACATTCATAGTTTAGAAAGCTTTTAAACATCATTAATAACAAGAAACATTTTTTTATCAATTTTCATTACAGATAATCGTAAATATAATGAAGATATTTAGTGTCATCTTAGTCACACTTTTCATAACTTACGCAAGTGCTGACTCAACAACCGGAACAGGCTCGTTCGCAGTCACGACAGATAACAATCAAAATGATGCCACAATTAAGAAAACTATTTTCAAACCTTCAGTTACCAGAACCGAATTGAAAGTTTCCAGAAGCTTAAACCCCGACAATGTTCAAACGTTAAATGTTCGAACCAACGATGGTGGACTTGCCACGATAATTGTTAAGAAACGAGATGGAAAATCGTCAGTCAATAACGAGCCGCGTAAAGCATTTTATGATGTTAGTAACGAATTTTCGCGCGGTGAAGTGCGACGGGGATTTTTTGGACCAGTTCGAGTAATCGACGATTCACAAATTCAATCATTGCATCAACGTCAACAGCAATTCGAAAGCGGTCGAATTCACAACAATTGGGTAAACGCTCAACCAGTCACAACATTGCACCAATCTCAACTTTATCATCGAAATCCTCATGAGTCTTATCGCTTTACACCACCATCGCCAAACGATGAAAAGTCAGTGAAGTTAATCAGTTCATTCATGAGACATGTTCAACAAATTGAAGGATCTCGTAAAGTTAGAAGTCCTGACAGTTCATTACCAAACGATCGTGCACAAATCCTAACAAAAATTCCTGAACCAGTTACAATAAATTCCGAAACAGTTTATGTCAAAGATCAAAATAAGAAACAAGGCAGATCATTGTTAGAAATCGACAGTGATGGAATTCCGTTGATTAATGGAATTCGCGTGCCAGACGATGAGAATGATAAACGTCAAACTTGGAGAAATGCTCGAGTGATTAATGGTGAGCTTGTGCCATACGAAAATGGATATGTGCCACCGAGAACCGTCGAGTATGGTCAATTAATTTACCCAGTAAAGAAATCTGAAGACGATCCTCCAATTCGAAGGAAAAGTATTGGACCATTCAATAAATCTGACAACTTTTCAGAAGAAAATGAAGAAGATGATAACAGTAAAAGTATTGGACCGTTCAGTGTCAGAGATATGTTCATGTCGCGACGAAATCAAAATTTAGATGGAAATATTGGACCTTTCTCCATTGCTGATAACTCAAAGACATCAAACTCAAAGTTGATTGATTATATAAAGAGAATTAATGACCAGGAGTACCGTAAAGATTATTTTGCTGGACGTTCGCCAAAAGACGGCGGTGGTCAAAAGAAGATTCAACGACGAATGTTGACACAACCTGGTAATGTTTACTTCCCACCATCATCAAGATATTCAACGAGTAGTAAACCAAATGATTCAAATCTTGCTGGTCCCGTTCTTCAATACGCACATCCAGAATTCGGTTTGCAAACTGTTGGTTCATCGTCATCGTCTTATGAAGATCATCAACAGCAAGCCAAAAATAAACAAGCACAAAAAGTTGAATATTATTCGAATAATTATCAGCAACGTCCAAATAATCAACCAATTTATCAAATTGAACCAGCATCATTAAACACTAAGGAATTTTATAATTACCCAAAAACACCAGCAACTTATCCTTACAATTATGGTTTTATTCGTCGTGTAAAAGCAGACAGACCGCTCTGGGTGAAGATTTCAGAACAAGTCAGAGACACATTTCAAAATGGGTTCACCCAAGTTCAACAAATAACTCGACCAGTTGTCGAACCAATCATGGAGGCTGGTGAGAAAATCTCACAAAATCTTGGATTTTCATATCCAGTACAAAATCGTATCGCACAAGATAAGGTCAGCTCAGTAGCGTCAATTCATGGTGGAACTTCCTACATTTTTCCTGCTCTTGGGATGTTGGCTGGGGGGGCTGCTTTAGGCCTTGGAGCTGTGGCAATGGGAAGAATTTTTGATGTTGGAAGTATATTAACAATGCGATCAGGTGATGAACAAAGTGACATTGCAAATCAAAGAGCTTTGGAGGCCATACAAACAGCACCAAGTACGACACTTTTTTTAGTGGAGAATAATGGGAATGAAGTTCATGCTGATAATCAGGAGAAATCAAGTGCAAGAAATTATGACACAGATATGATAAACATTTATTCATCTCCAACATCATCAAAGGCTAAATTTCTTGAACTTATTGCCATACCTTATCACAGTTCCATTGACTCAAGTATAGAACCAGTGGAAGAATCACAACTCAACAGTCATCAGCGACGTAAAAGAAATAAATAAATAAATCCTTTAATTTCTAAATAATTTTCTTTGAATCATTTATTTTTAGATTTTATGTTAAGTTATTTATTAAATATTGAAATAAATTTTATAAAGAATTGTTATCATATAACTAGAAATATAAAAATATGAAAAAATGTTGAATTTCTTTTGGTTTTTAATATTTCCATTTATTTAAAGCAACTTCAGGTAAATTCTACATTATTGGACTTTTGTATTGAATAGAAAAACCCAAGAAAAAAATGTAGATCAGTTGAAATGGTTAAAATTATTTTTAATCTTATAAAAAAGGTGAAATAGTTTTGCAGGCACCTTCATGGAATAATTTCATTCAAATCATTCAAAATGTTACCAAGAACATCTTTGAACGAATTGTATTTTTCAACATCTTCACGAGCTTTTTCAGTATCTCCAATGCCTCTATAAGCGAAACTTCTTTGGAAGTAAACAGCTTGATTCAATAAATGATTGTTCTTGTCAATTTCTAGAGCCTTAGTTAAGATTTCAATAGCTTCAGTGAATTTCTTATCTTTCATTTTCAAAGTGGCATCTTCAAGTGATTTTTCGTATGAGAGTGCTTTATCCATTAATTCATGAACTTTTTTCTCTGTGTAGTCGATTCTCAAAGCAAGTTGCAATTTTTTGATAGCTTCTGGTGGATCTCCTTTCATGTATTCGAGAAGACCCTTAAGATAAATGTGCTCACCGTTGAAAGATCCCCAGAAAGAGAACGTGTTAAGGTTGTTATCCGCTTCAAAGAACTTGTGAGACATAATTAACTCTTCAGTTTCTTTACTCTTATCAAAAACTTCTTGATTAACACCGTGAGAATTGTTAACATGATTCATTAAAAATTCAGTATATTTGAAGAAAATTTTTGTTAGATTCATGTTTAAGTTAATATTTGTTAAATCATATTTTGCTGCGTTCTTTATTTCTTGAATAGCTTCTCTAAAATATCCAGAATGAAAAAGACAATGAGCTGTAAGAAAAATAAATTATTTAGTAAAGTTATTAATGAATTCAAATAATATTTTACCTTCTTCTATCGAATGCACAGCCATACGAACACATCTCAGATAGTGAAACGTGCTATCTTCTAATTCTTTATAGGGAAACTTTTCCCCATTTGAATTTAAGTCAATTGCAGTTTTGAATGATTCCTCTGAATCTGCTAAACGACAGTTCATGTATTGAGCTAGTCCTAATGCATAAAATGCAAAAGAATTTTTTGGTTCTTCATTGATGACATTGTTTAAGATGGCAAACACATTTTCAGTCTCACTATTCGAGTGAGTCAAACAAATTGTTTTAATAACTTCCGAGTGAAATGAAAGCTTTCGTCCATTTTCTTCCAATAATTTTATAATTTCCAAACATTTTGAATTATCTTTTGCTATATAGCTTGTAACAATGTCTTGTTCATTATAAGTGGGGTCAGTAATTTTGTCACAGTCTAGATCGTTTTCATTAAAAAAGCTGGAATTTAATTCAGCTGATAACAAACTCAAAAGGTGCAAAGCATCTATACAACCATTTGTGTTAACATGACTCATTTTTAAAATTCACTTTATTTATCGTTTTAACTGAATATACTAAATAAATTTAATCAAAGCTAGGAAAATAACTGATTGACGTCTTAACGTGTTGATGTCTTTTTGATAAGTAAGTGATTGATGAGAAAAAAGATGACCGCTTTATAAAAAATAAAAAAAATCTACCTGCTAATAATTTTTATGTAAAAGATACGCGACAAAATTTCATCCCTTATGTAGATCAGATTTATCTCATTATAATGTCATTAATGAAAAAGGATGTTAGTAGATGTTTTAATTTCTCATACATTTACATGTTTCCTAAAAATTTATGTATAACAAAACAAGTAAATATTTAAAACATATTTAAAAAGTGTTCTTTTCACACATATTCACGAAAGATATAAAAATATAACGAACAGTTTAATAAATAAATAAATAAATACAGAGTTAAACAGAAATATTTCTATGAAAATTATGATTTTATAGCAAATTTAACGGTTTTTAAATATTTAAGCTTCAACTCATTGAGCCGTTTAAAGCAATTTTCTGAACCGTTTTGTCTCACGCACACCTCTTGTAAGTCTCTCCATTTATGTCTCACACACATTAGTAACTTTGTCGAGAGTGGAGGAGCAAAGAAAAAATTCAAGAAAACCCGTGAGAAACGAGACTAGAAATAAATTAGTAAGAAATTAAGGGTGAAAAACTTAAAAATCTTTGTACTATTTAGATTTGTTTAGTTACATTAATCATCGTTGTGTTTAAATATGTTAATTTATTATTTCCAAGGAAGAGTTTGGTAAAGAATTGTGATAAAAATTAGAAAAATAAAATCTTGCCAGTGTGTGACTTATGACGAGCATAAGAGAACTTTATACGTACTTAAGAATTCTGTGAGAAATATTCAATGAAAAATTCTAAAGATGAACATAAATAGTTAATGAATCTTTTCTTTATTCAATGATTGCTGAGAATATTGTGATTTCCGAGTATAAAAGCCTTTAAAATTGATTTGTAGAATTAAAATATGCAAAATTTCTCTTAAGTTTTTATCAAGTTTTATTGCTCTTATGCTTGACTATAAAGGGAATTTAATTGCTAAATGTAATTTATAAAGTTCATAAGAAATTGAAATTGTTAATATCCCATATTGCATCGCAAAACATTTCTGAGAAAAATCATTACAGTTTCGTCCATTGCATAAAGAATGGATCAGTTTCTTGCAGACAATAAAGAAGTAAAATATAAGGGAGAGATAGAAATGAAAATTCATCACTCACACATACATACGATTAATGCTTTCTCGAAACTTTGCTTTTCGAATTTCGAAAATGTTCTTACAATTTCGATTTGAATATCAAAAACTGTTAAATAAATTAAAGAAAAATTCGTTAAATAATCAAAACTTTCAGATTTAATTAAGGCGGTTTGAATGGCTCATTCACTGTCGCCACCGTCATTTCATAGTTATCAAGTTGCTGGAACTGAATCTCAGCGTCACATTGGTGGATATGGAAGTAGCAGCTATAGACATGTCAATCGAAATGATATGTTGACGAAAGATAAAAATACGTCAGATTCTAAGATGAATTTCGTTTTAAGCTCGCTTAAAGGCAAACCATGGGCAGCATTTGCAGAATCAATGGGAATTGCATCAAGTATTAATAAATAATTTTATTTTGTTATGATTTGAAAATTATTTATTATTTTAACAGGCGATGACGAAACAGATGGAGAAGCAACTGACGACGATCCAATCTCAGCTTCACCAGCTAATTGTCGCCCAAAAGGTTCCATCGTTCGTCTTGAAAAGAAAGACAGTTCAATTTATGGATATTGTCCTCAAACTGATCCTTGCATTCTTGTTGTATGTCGTTACTGCCGAATGGTGCTTAAAGCTCCAAGTCTTAAACGTCATATCGATCGTCACGAAAAGAATCGTCAGGAGAAAGATAAGAAACCAGAATATAGCGAAGCGGTTGTTAAACTTGAAAAGCTTGGAAATGTTGCAGGAAGATCTCAAAGTGTCGATAGAACAAGTGGCGTAACTGAAAAGTTCGATAAAATAACTGTCGTTCATGAAAGTTTTGAGAAAACTCCTGAAATTATTTCTAATTTCAATGCTGTTGAGAAGGTTGAGAAGTCCTCAGACTCAAAGCGTCATCGTCACTTTCAGAAGAAATCCACGGCGCCCTCGGAAAGTTCCAACGACGCCGTTTACTTTGAGCCTCCGTCGACGCAAACGGTATCATCTACGACAGAATCATCAAGTGCGAGTAACAGCCCGCAGCCAAAACGTCGTAAACGAAAGCATGTCGAATCAACTGTGGAAACATTCCAAAGCAGTGCACCTGCATCTCAAACAACGTGTCGCATCATTGTCGAACCATCGGAGATAGTTATAAGAGATGCAAGTTCGCCACCACCATTGGCACCGATAACAAATGAAGCCCCATCAGTTTGGATTGTAACGCCATCGCCTGCAGTCATTATTGATGGGTCATTTGTTGTTAAACCACTTTTGGACGCACAGGAAGCCGAACCTGAGATAGATTTGAAAGATTTAAAAGTTCTCAAACCTGTCGTAAAAGAACCTTTACTGGAAACTCCCACGCTTTTGACACCGTCTAATTGGTATGCAAATCAGCCAAGACCATTAGCGGTGAATACTTTCAACATGAGAAAATTAAATGCACAACGCTATGTTATGGCAACTCAGCGAAAACTTATCGAACTTGGTCGAAATTTAAGAACAGAAGAGAAAACTGTTGGTGGAAAAGTCCCACCGAAAACATGGAGCTTTATTGAGAGAAGCCAAGTGTTCATACCTTTTCGGGTAACTCATTAAATTATCTACATCAAATCAAATTGAAGGGTTCGTTTAAAGAATACTAGGGAAAAGCATAAAAATAACTTATAGGAAACAAAATTAAAAATTCAATGTTTAAATTTGATGACTTTAAAGAAAAAACAAAAATCATCTCCAAACCTCTGTCAACATAAAAGAAAATTAATGAAAAATCAATCTCATTGTATAAAAAAAATTAGTAATTTGTTGTAAGCCAGTAAAATTTAATCAGAAGTTATTAAGAGGCTTAAACTTCCTTCTTCCAATAATCAAACATGTCCAAATAGAATCCCCTTTAACTAAAGTAATTATTACCCTTGTGTGCTAACAAAGAAATTGATGAAAACAAAATTAACGAAAATTCTCTGCTTAAATGTATATAAACTTACAAATTCTGTCGTGAAAAAAATTCATAATTCTGATAGCATAAAATAATTTCCATCTCGGTATAACTATCGAACAACAGAAGAAAAGACCCTGGAAGATGAAGCGCATTAAATAAGAATGAAGAATCAACGTACCGGGTTACATAACGACACTTTAATTCTAAAATATTAAAGGAAAATGAAACTTTACTGTAAATTTATTTGAAAATAATCCATTGAAGTCTGAAGTATTTAATTTATGTGACTGTCACCATGAAAATTTAATTAAATGATAACTTACGACCGACATAGAAAACGAAATGTTAATTTTTGTAAATGTCACTTTTTTCTATGTTTTTTTTATTAAAAATTAGAGAGTTAAACATTGATTGATAAACTGAAGAATTGAAACTTCAAACTTGATAATAATAATTTCTTAATTTTGATTTTGTCGAATTTAGACTGATGTGCGATCATTTTTCTGTAACCAGTAAATTATCTAGATCAAAATCATAGAAAACTGATTGTTTGTAGAATTTTAAATTGTAAGTTCTTTATTATTCTCATAGTTTAAAAATTTTATGCTTTATAACCAGGACAGACACATACATAGAATGTTAGAAATGAAATCATAAACTATGATAAACTAATAAAAAATTCAACAAGGGAAAAACAGTATTAATTGCAGAAATAAACCAAGTGTTGCATTTATTTCATTTATGAAAAGTTTATACGAATTTTCAGAGTGTTTAAATTATTATGAGTAAACAAAGTTGCTTCAGAAGTATGCCCAGGATTTCAACTCAGCTCAAGCGTACAAAATGTAATTAATTAATAGTGAAGACATGTGCGTATGTTTATTTTCTATCTCGAATTTTCGTCAAAGTTGAAATACAAAGAAAATATTTGATACAACACTTTTTTGTTTATTTTTGTTGACTTCTTAACGTGTGTCACTCAATTTTTTTATCCTCATTTTCACAGATTTTCATCATTTTTCACATTCGATTATGCGGAAATTTTGTTTTTCTATTTTTACTATTTTGATTTTTGTTTCGTCGCGGTCTCTAAATTATTTTTCGATGTTTCAAGTGTGATGTCTTTTAAATATTTCAAGATTTTTATTGAAGACACTTCCAGAAAAAATAAATTTAATCTTGACATGAGATGAAATTGTTGAGAAACTTGTGACATGCTTTGAAGTCAACCAGATAGACTTTCCGGCATTCTTTCTTCTCAACAATATGTCTTTGTTCTTCGCCAAGTCCGAACATCCAAGTAAATTCTTTAATTGCATGTTGCCAGTTCTCAAATTTCTTAAGTTCTTCAAACAATTTCTCTATTTGTTCTTGATTGAGTTCTCGTGAGGCTTCATATTCCGTTTCAATAGATGAAAGTAGATTAGTAACGGTTGCAAAACTTTCACTGGCCATTTTATTGTATAAAATTTTTAATAAAATTGTCTCCGTCAAGAATCTAATGTTGATTGTTTCGAAGTAAAACTTAAACTGAGAGAAATGTCTGAACTTTGTGAAAGTGTTTTTCATCTCACATTTTCAGTTTTACGAACTACGAAACAATAATGATTAAGCAGTAAAAATTAAGAGTGTATCGGAAATATTCTTAAAATTTAAAATATGAATGAACTCGTTTACGCGTTTTCCACTCAAGTAACAAATATGTTGTTACTTATTTAAATTTATAAATGTGTTGGCATTGCAGTGTAACTATAAATAGAGAATCATTACAAGAATATATTTATAAAATAAAATCATGAATTATTATCAACTTTCTCATTGGCAAGACTGGCGTGATTCAGACTGAAGCTAATGAAGCGATGCTCCTTAGTCTTACCCTGTCTTGTCAATAAAATTTTTATTGCCTGAAAGCGACATTAATTCGTGATAATATTCATTCCAGGAAAGAAAAAAAAACTTTAAAAGCAATAAATCGGACTGGGATATTTTTATTCTCATTTAAATTACAACACACATTAGAGCATTCGAATTATCTAAATATTTATATTTAAAATGATTGGGAAAATAAGTATCGTGTTAATTTTTCTTGTTAGATGTAAGTTATTAAGAGTTTTGCTGATAAAATTATATTTTAATTGAATTTTAATTCACAGCAATTGCACCTGGTGGAGAGCAACAAGACTGTGAAACAATTCCAGCCACTGCAGATATTTTTGCTAATTATGTGTTAAAACTTGATGAAGAAAAGGCAGAATGTCTTGCAGAATTAGCTCAAATCGAATCTGTTGCTGATATGCTTCCTTTTGACGAATTGAGTCAGCAGCTTTTTGATATTTATGATGAATGCAATCAGGAATTTCAAGATATAATTATTGAAACAGCAACCTTATTAAGCAACATTTTAGAAAAGGATTTCAATGAAGTCATTAATATAGTTAACCAAGGAACTGCATCTATGCAATTTCCTTTAATGTGTGTGGAGAATGATTTGAAAACACTCTTTCCTGAAATGATGACAAGTGACAGCGATATTTATGATAAAGTAGAAGAAATTCTTGAAAATAACATGCCTTCACCACAACCATAATTGAGGAGAGGTAACTAACATAAAACAAGAAATGATTTCGAATAAATTGAATTAAATAAAATTGATTTTTCTTTTTCTGTCTCTCGAATCAAAGAAGTCTTGAGTTTGTAAAATTAGAAGGAAAAAAATGTCTCAGTAATGTTTTAATTCAATATTCTACCACAACTCTGAGCAGAGAATTAATTCATTATTTTCATGCTCAAAGTCTCTGTTCAAGTAATTAAGGAGAGTAGCTCAGAATTTTATTCCCTTTTTTCAATGAACAAGTATAAAAATGCAACTTTGTGCATTAAACATTTAAGAACAATGAATTAACCATCACTTAGACAACTTGAAATTCGAGTATCGCAATAGTTTTTCTTCAACTTTAATCTAATTTTCCTTCAAATATTTAATGCAAGACTCTAGATAAACTTTTGTTTAGTGGAAAATTTTCAAAGACAAAAAACGTTTGTTAGGGAAGAATTTTCACCGTCAATTTAGTTTGCAATTATATTGCAAATTTCATGCTAGTTTTTATAATATTTTCATGTAATTTTATCAGAATCGTGAGAAATGTTCAGACTTTGTTTGATAACAAGCTATCCAAGTGGAGCGAGTCACGAAACCAAGAAGTCATCGTTGGGATTTTCATGAGTTTGATGGAAGTATGTGGCGAAAGGAAAAAAGATTTAAATAAATCACTCTTTCAGACTGCTGACTGCTTGCTCATCACATGCCATATAGTTCACAATAAAATACTAAAGCGAAGAGAATGATTTTCTGCAGACGGCAAACGATACGAGATACAAGTTGAACGTAATCTCTTTTTGTTATTATTCAAAGGGTTGATCGCACAGTAAAGAGTACAATGAAAAATAACATTCATATAACCGACTATCGTTTTCAACATCCGCCCTCGATTTACTTTCCATTGATGCCACCATAAAATGTTATTTTTCTGCGACATCCTGTTCTCATCATTGTCATTTTTTTCCCTCCATCGTCTTGTTCAGAATGATACAACTTGTGGCTGTATGAATGAAAAATAAAAGAAGGAAATTTGAGATGAAGAGAAGAAAGGGTAATATCTTGCTATCATAACGCTGATAACAGCTTCAAAAACATGACGACAAACATTCATGATTGTAAGCCTTCATTCATATCTTCTTCCTTCCCTGTTTTGCTTTTTCTTGTGCTGATGTGAATGAAAAATGTCATATTTTGTCATTTATTTGTTGTTTGTGTGTGGGGGGAAGTTTAGAGAAGCAGAAGGAGGGAAAATTGCTTTATTAATGTGTCATTTGTTGAGTTTATGATAAAGACATGAGTGATGAGATTGTAAAGCAGTCACTTACGAGATGAAAAAGAGATTAATTGATACAAGAACAAAAAATCTTTGAATGTTTATTGTGATGGATTTCAAAAGCTTTTATTAATTTAATCGTGATAATATTTTTATTTCACTATCAAAAGAATACATTTAAATACAACCATACATTTTTTTAACGCGCAATTTATCAGATTCAGTCATTTCCACACGCTGACCCATAATCAGACCGTTCAAGTCATGGATTGGAACAATTGTTGCCTCGTCATTCTTGCTGAAAGAATACGCGCTGTAGTGCAATACTGAACCTGTGAATATTAAACATTACACTTTTAAGCATTAAGTTTTTATCTTAAATCTACCATAGTCGTAAGGAACTCCGAAATGCGTAACATAATTCGTCCCATAAAGATTAAAATTCCCTTCCTTTCCAGGTGTAATATTATCATATTTAATATTCACATAATTTTCTCTGTCGTGTGAGCTTTGCATGTGATGAAAACCTAATGCATGAAGAAATTCATGAACGATTGTAAAGAGACGGAAACATCCCGATTCGATATTATTGGGTTTGAGTTTAATTGTTTGACTTCCACCAACTCTTCCAACTGAAGACGAACATCCAGTAGCATCGCCACTCACTGTGATGTAATCTTTTTGTGATGTTCGGTTAACGAAATTTAAGCAATTCAAAGAATTCAAATAAACGGCAGCTTTGTGAATGTGCTCAGCTTGGTCTGAATCTGTGGAATGTGAGTTAATTAAATTATTTCATATTGACAATCAAATGTTAAATCTCACTGAAATATGTCATATTTATGTAATATGGAACTTCATTGTTTGTCCATCTCAACCTTTCCTCAATTCGGCCATTAAATTTATTGAGTTCTTCTTCAGAAATTATCATGTCACCTTGAAATTCACGTTCCAACTCTTCAGCATGATCATCCTCGTAGTTTGAATGTTCAACTGGAAGAGCTGAAATAATTGCGACAAAACCTAAAATAAAAACAATTTTCATTTCAAAAACTAACAACTGACCCGAACAACGATTTGAAATGAATTGAAGAATTTATTTTTGTCATTTGCAATATTTATGTGAACTTGAAACATTTGCCTTCTTATCGATAAGCTTCAAATCATCATACAGCATTAAAATATCAAAATTATTTTTTTGGTTTCATTATGAATTGACTCGCGTGTTTGATGACAAAAAGAATTTCACTCCACACCAAACTTTTATTGTCGTTCAAGAGATTAAAGAATTATGATAAGATAAAAGAATTGACTTATAAATACAAAAGATAATAAAGTTCTTGAAGTTTGAATTATTGTACCATTGGAAATGCTTTCGTCTCTTAAGACTCAAAGGAAAAGTCAAATGAAAAGCTCAACGTTTTCCCAAAGCGGTTCATCATCAAAAAAAAGTTTTTCATCATGTCGTTGATATCGATGACTTCATGAAAAGTAAGAGGAGAAAGTTTTACTTTTTGTGAAACTTTCGCTCAACCCAAACCTATCTTATCTCTTATATTTCGTGCTTCTCATGTTTTGAAGACAATTGACAGGAAAATCAAATAAAGCAGAGACGCTTTGACGCTCCTGGGAATTTTGCACACGCGTGAGTAAAGTTGACAAAAAGCAAGATAAAATAATATTCATGTGATTCCCTTCAGGCTAAATTGGAGTGAGGAAAGTGGAGACAAAGTTATTGAAAATGTGGAAAATATGCTTATCAAACACAAAACTTTTTCTCTCTTCTACTATCTGCCACTCGACTTACTTTTATTCTGCTTTCTTCTGGCACGTTTTTATTGCATAATGGCGGAGGCTTCTGAATAACTCGGGGGATGTATTGATTTTGCAGTCTCTTTTTTCCTTTCGTTTTGCTTATCTCATCCACGTTTCCGTGAGAAAGAGAAAAATATACAAAATAAAAGCATAAGGAAACGAATTGAATTTTCTTTTGCAACAAAACCTTTGTTTGTTTTTGAACTTTTATCTCTTTTGAATCCTTTAAATTCAATTCTACCCAAGAATATTTTTCATGTTGTTGTGAAGATTTTCAATAAATCAATAGTTTGAAGAGAAGAAAAGGATTTCTTGAAGGATTGATACATTGTGGGGGTGGAGAAAGCATGTTCAATCGAGAAAAATGTGAATAAATTTTGAACATATGAAAAATTGAATTTTGTTTATTTTCGTCTCTTGTTGACACTCTTATAAGCGGTTAAATGCAATTACCCGAAGAAAATCCATGGAATCCTTTGGGATTTGGAGAGATTTTAAAAGAAACGATGAGTAGCTAAAGCAGATAAATTGCTTTCTGAGTCGATTATGTCTAAATGTAAGTTTAACTTCAAAATCAAGGACAAAAGGAAAAGCTTTTTAAAAAGCTTATTTAAAGTAATGTTATGGAAAGGAAAGAAAAGGAAAGTGTGGTCAACATTTTAATTTTCTACCTACTCAAGAGTCTTGACAAATGACCACAAAACGAGAAAGAAAAATTTCATGAAACTTACCGCGATTATGCAACAGACATTTATCATTTTAGTCTTTTCCTTAATCATTTTGTTGCTCCTCGTAAAAGCTTAATGTGAAATAAATTGCTTGGAAAAGAATTTTGCTTTCTTTTCTGAGGTTTTTCTTTTGTAAAGTTTGAACCACTTTTAGGCGCTTCAATTCTTCTCCTAGCCCAGTATTTATATTGTGCCTAACAAATGTTGACAATACTTGAAAGGAGATGAAAAGACGACAGTTTCATTTGAATAATATTCAAGACTTTTCCTTGCAATTCCCAAAACTCATTCAATCACGAAAACAAATTTAAATAAATATGTAGGTGCACAAATTGAGTTTGTTTTTCCCTCAAGCGAGAGCTCAAGAATATATTTAGTTAGATAAATATCTGTCAATTATTTACTCTTACAGCCTACTTAAGCTTGAGTGAAAGTGAAAGTGCTTTAGTCTCTATTATTTCGACCATCAATCGCCTTCATTGACAACCATTTGAGATTTTTCCTGTTTGTTTTCTCGTCGGAAGAAAATTGATGTGATTCAAGCGGAAGAGATGAAAAACACTGATTTTATATCAGGTAACGATGCTTCAATTTATAACGCTATCATTTCCTTACTAAATGGACTCCAATTTGTTGAAGATTAAGTTCTACTTATTTGAGAGAAAGCATATTTGAGGTGAAAAAGAAGCGTTTTTGTGTTCTTTTCTCAAATTGGGTCAATTTATTGATTCATTTATCACTTTTATCTCGCACTTCAACCTCCTTTCCGTCCGCCCTCTTTTTTACATTTTCCCACATCAATGTCGATAGACATAAAAAAGGTTCATAAATAATCATTACACAATAATGGTCCATAGTGAAATTTGAAGCAAGACTTGTAAATTAATCGCAGGTAATAACAGTGATTCATTTGAGAAGTTTTAAAAGATAACAGGCCGGAAGTGAAAGAAAAAAGAAAGTCAGAATATCAGTTTTCGAGAGTTATTTATTTATATTGAAATTTCACTACTCTCAAGGGTTTCGAGTGCTTCAATTTCATTTTTATCAATTATTTCAGTTCCATAACTTTTCCAATTTTCAATTGCAGTTTTGTTAACAAACCCCCAATTCCATTTTTGAGTTGGAGAATTTTCGTCACATTTTGATAAGAAAATTGCATCAACTTCCATTCGATCAATATCAGAGTCAATGCACTCGTTTCGTCTTATACTTCCATGAATAATTTGTTGTGTGTGTGGATTATATCGGAAATATTGATTGCCTTGAGCATGATGACAAATGCCGGTGACAAGCATTCCAAACTCGTTTTGATCAAAACAAAACATCGTGCCACGAAGTTCAATATCACGAAAATGTCGAAGAGTGAAAAATTGAGAGTGCTGTGGGTTCATCTTGTCTGTGGCGCAATAGAAGAAACCTAATTGACTGGTGTCGTCACGACCATATGAATCAATACACAAGTTTGGGTTCATAACACTTTGTATCTGTTCATTGAATGAATCAGAGAACGTGAGAAACATTTTTCGGTCCATAAAAAACTTCACTTACCGTTCCATAAGCGAATGGTGGCGGATCCACCAAGGGATAAAACTCCAACATATCTGTCAATAAAATTTTCTATCTAAGTATGAAATTTAGCCATGGAGAAAATCTACCTGGTGCAACTCTATCAATAAAGTAGCTAAAAGGTTTACACTGAAGCCTCTCTTTTATGGAGTATTGATAACTTAAGTCACCTGGATCAACTTTGTTGAATCTTTCAGGGCTTCGAGCATAAATATATTTAGCATAATCATCCATCCATACTTCAGCAACTCGCTATTTAAATAATTATTAAATCTTTTATGCTTACTTTAGATAATTCACAAACCTTGTAATTTCTAAAAACAATATAAAAGTTAAGCTAAAAGTTAAAAAGTTTAAATTTAAAATTCAACTTACATAGTAAGGAAGTCAATGCCTTTCCGATCATCTGCGAAAGGCATACCACCACGATAAACATGTCCAACTCTAGAACATGGAGCGTCGTACATTTTACCGCCACACAGCCATATCTTGAAACTGAGCTCATATTGTTCACCACCCCAAATGTCAAGACCAGAATCATAACCGCCGATTTCCCAGAAAAACTTTGTTGAAATTGCGAACAATCCACCGGCCATAACTGGTGATTCGAAAAGGTCAGTTGGTGCATTCTGATGATACTTCTTAAGATCAAGTTTTCGGTAGTTAAAATACCAGTCAAAGATTCCACGTGAGCCTTCGTCTTGAATGACATACTCAAATGTTTTGAATTCTATTACGTCTATAAACGGACAAACACAAACTCGATAATCTTCGGCGATTGGTTCAAGTAAAGGTGGCAGCCAATTAGTGTTTGCTTCTGTGTGAGAATCAAGAAATATTAAAACGTCACCTCTTGCTGATCTAGCACCGGCAAGACGGGCCCAAATCAAGCCTGAACGTTTCGGAAGCTCCAATAATTTTACTTTGTCTGGAGGGAAGTTTTCTTTGATGTAAGTTTTTAATGGTTCGTAAAGAAATTCTTTCGTGGACCTGTCATTGACCAGAATTATTTCTCGTAGAAGTTTCTTTGGTGAACGATTTATGACGGAATGAACAGTTCGAAGTAAAACACTTAAATGGTCATTGTAAAAGGGTATGACCACCGAAACAGTTGGCAATTCTTGAAGATATTTCAACTCTTTACAATTTGGATGTCGAAGGTCTTTCAAAGACCGATTGACAGAAATTTTGTCACTTATCAGTCCATTATACCCATTTTCGTCAAAAAGCTTTTTATTGAGAGCTTCTTCATATGGTTTCACTTCATCAATTCCCATCCCATGTTCTCCTGGTCCAACACGTTTAGATTCAACTTCAATAAAATCATAATCATGCCAATCAACTTTGGCATTATCCAAATTATGTATCCGTCGAAAGAATGAATTGATTGGTTCGATGTAGATAAAGTTTCGTTTGATACTTAACGGTGAATTATTAAACTCGATAGTTTTATAAGTTGCAATAAAAGTTATAAATAATATTACGATGAAAGCAATAAAATAATCATAATTTCGTCGAAACTAGAATATAAAAGAAAAGTAAATTTTAAAGTTCAAGGTAATAAATTATTTCAACTCACACTGAATTTAGTTCTAAATCTCGCAACACGACGTTTTTTTAACATTTTAATATCAAAAGTTTTGTGAAATTCATACCAAATTTTGTGCCAATAATCTTCGCACCAATCGCTAAGAAATCATTTACACTTCTGCACATATGAAAAAATTAGTCTTTTGATATTTTGAGTTTTTAAAAGCAGAAGAAGAAAACAAAGACCTGAAATTTGATTGAGATCGAGAGAAGAGAGAATCTTAATGACAAACAAAAATCCATGTGGTTGAAGATGAATCGACCTTGAAGGTGGTTAAAAGCATTAAAAAAAACAAAATAAACTTATAACGGAACATTCTTTTGTCACTTTTTGTGATGTTAACAGTTTAGATGTTTAACTGTTAATTATTAAAAGTAATATGGAACTCTTTATGACCTTTTTTAAAGTAAGTTGTATTTGTTTGAACTCGCTTTAGTGATTGGATAATTAAAATTATTTTATTCGTTAGACATAAGGTGAAAAAAATATTTACAGAAGAAATAACGATGAGATGTCTGTCAACGATTAAAAACTTTGCATAAATCATTAAGAGACTTATAAATAAATCAAACTTCTTCACACAGAAATTACCTTGGGACGGTTTTTTGAAAAAAGCCTCAAGTTGTAAAGGTCACGTCAATTCATGAAAAAGCTATTGGTTTACGAGATCAAGATTAACCAACGAACGCATTTTTCCATTCACTTGGAATTTTATTAATGATGTCTACATCAAATCGATTAATTTCAATTAATGAGTAAATTTTCAATCAATGTTTCAATAGATAAGTTCTTCAAAGTAAATATTTTATGCGTGGGAGTAACAAAGGATTAAACACTTGATTCTAGCACTTATTTATAAATGGAAATTATTTTAATTTTTATTCACATAAACTGTTTAACTCACAAGAAATGTTTAAAAATAAATTCAACAAGTATCAAAGAATGAAATAAATTTTGGGGAAATTTCCAAACAAACTTAGCTACATTAAACAGATGCATAGAAAATTCAATTAACAATTCAAATATCTAGAGAATGGAAAACAAAAAAAGTTAAATAACTGTGGAACATATCAAAGGGGAAATGATGGAAAAAGGATGCTCAAATGTCTGTTCAACCATCTGCCACAAATGTTTGTTTATGTTTTTCTTTAATTATCCATAAAACCTTAACAGAATACATAAATTTTGTTCAGTTTGTTTTCACAAGCTTTAAGTTTTTGATTCAACTCGAAAAAGTCTAAAATAGGCAATAAATCAAAGCTTGGCAATAAAATGAGTTATGATGGATGTCTGCATGAACGTATTGACATGAATTCATCACGTGTCATAAATGTATTTAAAAATGTGCATTGCAGCGAGCTTATAAATTTACATTGTCATTTCATTTCAACATGTCATCATCATTCACGAATGGCCGCTATTTCTGTATGTTTGAAAGATAAAATTCCATTAATAACAATAATAGAGATGTTGCGTGTTGAGTTTGAGAGTGTCAATAAGTGAAATTATGCTAGAAATTATGGGTTATTGAGTTGAAATTGTTGCACTTAAATAAGTAAATATATCACCTCGCCTTCATGTCAATTTATGTTGTTGAATTTAAGGTGACTGAATTTTCATCAACAAATTTTCTACAACAATTTAATGACCTTACTCAACCAACAAGTTTTCACAAAAGTTTCAAATAATTGATTTATTTTTCCTTCACAATCTGTCATCCTTTCAATTAAACTTATCTCTCATTTATCTATCTAAAGTGAATAAATTTTCTACATTTTACACCCCAAAGACTATTTTCCATCTTCTCTCTCACTTCTTTCAATGAACATTTAACATTTAAGATCTTTGTTTCTATTCTTTGTTTATATTCCATTAAAAGCATCTGAGACAATGATAAAGGATAAACAAAGCGTAAAGTTAGTCGAGAAGGGTCACGAAACTTTCTCTTCTTTCGTTTCTCGAAATGTTTTCAGAAACATATTTTCTTTATTTCTATTTGAAAATGATGATTGAAACACTTCAAAAGGGAATTTATCTGATGGTAATCTTAAAGAACACTTTGCTTCTTTTATGTTTTCGAAAGAAATTTTCTTTTACACCCACGACATGAAAGTCTCATCAAAACAAAAATACATAAATTTACAACATGTATAAAAACGCATGTAAAAAAGGTAACAATAAAGATCAAAGAGCATGTGAAAAACAATAAAAATTTAAAGCCAATGAAAACTTAATAAAAATTTTGATATTTCAATATAAAGACTTACATTTATGAATATAGAATAAAAGTTTTTAATTAACTTGATAATGAAGACATTCGTTTATATGTAATTAATTTTTGAAAAGCATTTTCACAAAAAAATTTTACAGGAAGTTTAAATTATTTCTCATTTATTAACATTTTATATTCTGTAAAGCTTCCTGAGAATATTTTTCAGTTTTCTCATAAAAAGGACAATTTAAAAATTCTTTGTACGTTTCTGTTTAATGTTCTCCGCTGCCCATATAGTTAAAGCCATTTCAAAAATTTTAATCGATGTTTTCCCTTTAATTACTCCTACCATCAACCACATCACACTTTATTAACCCATCACCATCATCATCGTTCTACCCTTTATATATCACCGTTTGTGAGAATGTTTCTTTAGACGTAAATATAAATAATAAATAAATAAAAAATGTAAATATTCATATTATTTTCCATACGGAAATCAAGAAAAGGACATTCATAAATTTGAGGGAATAAGAATGAATAAAAGCATATTCTACTTAAAAAATAAAAAATAGCTGTCAACGTAAACATTGAGAATTAATTTTTCTAATGAAAACGAGGTGAACCTTTCCAATCAATTTATCGAACACACAACAAAGGTTGGATCTACTTATAGAGTGAACCATATAATTTGTCATGAAATTTACAAAAATATATTTTCGAAATTATTGAAAGGGGAAACTGTTCGGGTTTTCATGGAACTCATGCGCATTATGAAGAAAAGGAGAATGAAATATTGGGATAGACACTCTAGTGACTCACTAGTAGTGAGTATGAAAATAAGAACGAGAATAAATAAAACGTAAAAAAGCTTACTGGAGCTTTGAAATTCAAATTTATTTATTCAGATTTTCATAACAGTTCTCTCAGTATCTAATTTTTGGTTGCTGAATAGTGATTAGGAATTTCAGAAGTTTTCAACTTTTTATAAGAGCGAAATGCTTAACGCTAATTTTTAGATATTATTGTGAGCTTTCTTTTCAGTCAATTCGACTCTCTTTTGCTGGTGCGGCTTCTTCATCTTCATTGTCATTTCCACAGTCAGAATTACTACCGGAAATGGTTTCCGACGAAACAATAAGAGCATTTTCAAGTTGATTTTTATATTTGATAGCAATGGCAACTTTATCAGGTTGTTCTAAGAACTCATCAGGCAAAGACAAATTAATTTTTTCAAAAATGCTAATTAATTGAAAAAAAGTTAATAAGAAATCAATTTCAGAAAATCAGAATGCTCACCTTTGTAAAATTTTAAAGGATGATTCTTTTAAATCCAGATAACAAGGATGACGATGCGACAGTTCGAAATATTTTAGAGCGTTTTCTTCACTGAGATTACTCATCAGGTAAATCTTACATAATTTTTGCAAATCTGTAACATGATAACGATCTGCAACAGCAAGCAGTTCTTCTGCATTGTTATTCAAATCTTCAACATTGCCAGTATAGATAAAGCGGAGCATTTCTTTGAATACTTCAGGATGAACATCAATTATTTCCTGACATTTTGAAGAACTTTCTCTAAAGCCTCCCGAAAACATTTTTTGAAAAACTGAACTACGATATGAGAGTACATTTTTGTGTACCGGAAACATATTTTCTCCCACTTTAAAAGTGAAATCTGAGTATTGCTTATTCAAAAAAAGATTGTTAGTAAAGTCCATGAGATTTTGATTTTGAATTTCATCCACAAGATTCTCAACAGAAAGTTTACCATTTTTTTCAATCACAGAAATCTGTTGATAAACGAGTCGTTTAGGCAGTTTTCAATAATGATTCATCATAATTTTAAATTGAGCAACAAACCTTTGCATAAAAGGGAAGCAAAGCTGATGGTGAACGCATTAATTCACCTGTATTTAAGAAATTTCTTTTTTCCATTTTGAAAGCTGATTGAAATGCTGTGTAACATTCATCAGATATCACCTTGAGTGCCCCTGCAGGGACGTCCGTTACACATGCAAGGAAAACTTTGATATCACGCTTTATAAAGTTGTTCTTGGGTTGATCTAATACGACAATCACGTTTATAAAGCCTTTACAAGCGCAATCTGGAGATCCACGACAAGATTCACAAAACGAACGGCTTTCAATTGTTAGCATACTGCTTTCAATGGAAATTTATTAGATAATTAGATGCTGAAATCAATTAAAGTTCTGTTTTAAAATACTCACCCTTTAGATATATCTCCAATTATAAATTCTTCTTTTGTTTCCTTGACACTTCTGTCATTTCTTTGGCTAACATTAATAACCAAATCTCTAACGTCACATGAAATTTCTTTTTCGATGATCAGGTCGTTATTTTTTAAGTCATAATACCAAGAACTTCCACTTGATGCCATGTTTTTTCTGAATAAAAAGGAATTATTAAAAAAGTAAAGTTATTTAAGTAATTAAAAATGAACCTACAATTAATAGTACTACCTAGGTAATAATATTAGATTAATACAGTCTAACAGGATTCTTTCCTGATGAAACACTGAAGCAATTCTGACAGGTTAAGAAAGAATTCTTCTGAAAATTTTATAAAAAGGGACTTTTAATTTATCCATTTTGAGAAATATACAATATACGGAACACAGTACTTACATGGCGGTTAAATGATATAATGCGCAATATTAAATTAGCAGGTATAAACGCTTAAATAGATACCTAAATTCTTAGAGAAGAATGTGTTTTTTTCCGCCGTTTTATTTGAAATGACGTTTTCTATTTTCGAAAAGTTGCTAAAGAATTCGTACCTATTTCCATAAGAAGCGATTTTCGACTCTACACGTCAAGTCAAAATAAATTTTACTACCTAAATATTATTTTGAAACTTGTTATTTTCAATTCAAAACAATAGAATATTAGATACAAAGTTAAATTCCCATTAGTCTTCTCCCAAGCTTTATTTATTATTTTTTTTTAAAAGAAATGGATTCAAAATCAACAACAGTGCTTACAAATCTTCAAAGAGGTAACATAGAAGCTAAAATTTCAGCGGCCAAAGCATTAAATTTTTATGAAAAGTGTGGACAAGGTCAGTAAATATTTTGCTTTGTAATTAATTTTATTAATTCTGAAGCATTTAGGTGAAGTGACAGATGATGAAATACGCTATCATAAAAACATTGATGAACCTGATGCAGAAAATGGATTCACTGCTTTGCAATGGGCTTGCTATTACGGCCAACAAAAGATACTTGAAAGACTTGTTGATTTAGGAGCTAATGTTAATTTTCTGGCTAAAAACTATATTTCCGCTCTTCACTTAGCTGCAGCTTATGGTCATCATGAAATAGTTAAATATCTTATTGCTAAAGGTGCAATTGTCAATCAGTTAGACATTTGTGGTAATACTCCATTACATTTTGCTGCTGCTAATAATTTTCCCCATTCAACAAATGAAATTTTAAACTCACAATTTGCTGATATTATGATAGAAAATGAGGATGGGAAAACAGCTTACCACTTGTCAATAGAAAAGAAAGCACAACTTTCTCAAGCAGTGATTGAGAATTTTTTTATGAATGTTATAAGTTAAAACATTGTCACATTCTTTAATTCTAATGTAAGAACTTTTAAAACATTTTCATCAGTAAATAAAATGTATTCGTTTATAAATTGCGTTAGTTTGAATGATTTCTTCTGAATAAGAGATACTCCATAACAACGACGAGTAGACAGTTACAATTTGTAAAGAATCATTTAGTGATAAAACCAGTTATTCTGTTACAAATGCCTTGATCCACTGGCTGAGAACATTGCTCTGAAAAAAAAAATTAAAACTTTGGAACATTTTTGTTACGGAAATCATTTTACGTGGAATTGAAAGTAAAGTTCACATGGTGGTTGAAAATATTAAAAATATCGTCACTGAAAATCGATACATTGTCACACTATTAAATGTTTACCAACAAAACTTTTTTACAAATCGTAATTCACCAAATAATGAAAAAAAAAATTGAACGAAGAATATTTTTCGATGTGAACGTGAAGTGGAAATGCTCGTGAAAATCTGATCAGTTCATTATTTCAAAAACGTGTTTTTATGAATTCTTCATGAATATTTCATCATTGACTCATGTCAAAATAATGAACAAATAGGATTTCAGTGCTAAGTGAATGTAATGATGATAATTAAATTAAATTTTTTTCTCTATTATAATAGAAATAAAGTACGAATTTTAAATCATTTTTGTACATATATGTAAAGTTGAAACATATCTGACTTTTAGCCAACAATATTTAAAATTTAAAGATTTATGCGCAAAGAAAAATTAAATATAACAGAAGCAGAACTTTTTTTCAAAGAAAATTATCCTTTAATAAAAAGAGATTAGTAATGAAACAGGAAGCATCACAAGTTGAAGGAAAAGCAATTATTCAGTTCAACGACGTGTAATAAGATGATAACCCTTGAGAGTACATAGTGCAGAAAATGATGCAGGAAAGCATGAAGCTTAGAAGGAAACATGATAAGCTGATGAAAATACGTGTGTCAAAATTCAGAAAACTCAATTTGTTTTTAATCAACTGTTTCATTTAATGAAAAAATTGTAGGACGGAAATTAGTATCAATTTACTTTTGACTCAAGCATTTTTGTCAATCTATACCTAATTAAATTAAATTAACGAGTTTTCTTCCACAATGAATGAAGATTTCTATAATTGCTTGAGTTTCTTTGTAAAGTGAAAGCTTTCATGAAAGCTTTTCATTACTCTTTTCTCTCATTTCTATCCTCTCTCAAATTTTCTCTCTCACGAGAATAAATTTTCCCCTTTTTCGAAAATTTTAGTAACATTTGGTTTCTAAGGCAGTTCATGTTCTGATTAATAATATCAACGTAGTAGACTTCAAACTAAAATATCTTAAAAATTGCAGATGTCGTCTTGTTTGCATGTTTTACATCGATTATTATTTTTTGTTGTTTTGGCTGAAGATATTTGAAGAACACATAAAATATTCATTGAAACAAAGTTTCACGTTTTGTTTTTGATATTTCGAAGAAAAAATTTAAATCAATTCAATTTCCTATTTTTCAACTGTACTAACAATTAATTATGAGCGTTTGTTATTTCACTTGATTTTTAATTATTTGTCTATAACATTTCGTGCTTTTCCTTTTTTCTGAATTTTAATTCCTCTGCTTCTTGATCTCAAACAACCAAAGGCTCAAAAACCCTTCAAATCTATAATGAAAGCATTTTCTATTTCGTATTCTAAAACCTTCGTGCCTTAATATTTAATTATGTATGAGGGTCTAAAGAAGCGCCAGTTCTTTTTAAGTACTTTGTTGAATCAAGGTATCGTCTACCTATATTCGACCTTTCCAAAGCTACCATTATTAACTTGTGTTTGTTAATTATTCACAACCTGATAATTTGCATATCAATTTAAAGTAGCCTGACTTATAATTGGTTTTTAATTGTTGCTTCACTTTTCCTCTGATAGACGGCTATTGTCGAAAAATCAAGAATTTATTGAAATAAAACAGCAGAATTAAATCGCTATGCAGTTACATAGTTTTTGATAAAGTAATTTCATAACATTAAATGTTGAGTAGCAGAGACTTCAAGTTTCTTCATGATATGCGATTGTATTTCTTTCAACAGATATTTACTGAAAATTTTGATCAATAAAATAATTTATACAAAAGAAGTGTAAATAAATACATATCTACATATATAATTCATAGATATATGTTTATGTTTTAGATAGAAATAATTGCCAACTTGAGGCTGATAAATCTTCGAAAATTACCTCTGAATGTTCTTTTTTCTGCTTATCTAGACATAGTTAAATCAGCTGTTGATAGAAGCAATGAAATGAATTTAATGTTCTGAAATATACCTAATAAAAGAAAGCTTCAGAGGAATATATTTTAGAGATAACAGATGTTTTAGTTTAGCTTTTTAATGAAAGTATTTATGTATGTTCCTTAAAGTAGTTGAGTATGTTCACAGTGACCTTCACATACAAAAATATAACAAATTTCTTTATTAAAAGAAAGAACTTGCTATGATACATATTTAATTTCGAAGGTCGCTCGAAAGCTACTTAGATGGAATATTCAGTCAAAAAAATTGCAAGACTAAAGAATAAGCTCAAATAAGCAACATTTTTAATTAAAAATAAACAACGTAATTTAAGGCAAAAACATGGAAATAAAGATGAAAAAAATTAAAGCCCCAAGAGATTAACATTTGCATTTGGAACTCATATCAGATTAAAACGAGCTTTGAATTGAAAGAATTTTTAGTATTAAAGGTTCCAGCTATCTAAATATAAAATTCAAAATATTTTAGAGTGAGTTTTGAATTGTCAACAATCATCGAACTAAGCCGCAAGGTATTAACTTAATAGTTGAAAATGGAAATTATAATCTTTCACTATTAATAGTATTTAAAGATTAATTGATTTTCAACAGTTTCAATCATCTGTTTGAGACGAGAAATCAAAATACTTTTAATTTCCCATTAATGTTCATATTTAATGCATTCGTACTGGAAGTATAATTTAACATTTTCAAATGAGAAAGTATTTAAGAGTTGTTTTTCATTACTGTAGTCATTAAATGAAACATTTTGCATCCATCTTTAAAATTTAAATAAAATTAATAGGATTTTCCGGGAAATTCACTTAAAGCATTCTTCAATGCTTATGCATTTCACGCTGCATTACCCCATCAATTTCTGTTTGTAGTTTTTAAGCTTTTTAATCTTTCTAGAAGAATAATTTAAGCTTGTTTGCTCCACTCATAACTTCACTGCAATATGTTGCACATTAAATTTCTAACGAATTTTGTTTTCTGTTCCGGGACTGTTTCATCAGTGATGTTCAACATTGAAAGTTTACCTTGAGGTGTTTCTATGATGGAAGGGACAACGAGTAGAGAATAAATTCTTCATTAACATTATAAAGTGCTTGTGCTTTTCCAGGAAAAAAAAACTTTAATTGTTCATAATTGTGACTAATTACAATGTTATTAAGTAGACACCTCCATAATTAATTTATACAGACGAATGAAATATCACGCAAAGTGTTCATTGTTAAATACATCTGGGGGGAGACAGTGAAGTTTATCAATTATGCTTTTGATAAAACAACAAATACTGATTAGTTTGATGTAGGTTTGAAGTAAATTTTATTGTCTGATTTGGATTCTAATCTATGCTCAACCATTTTATTAAGTAAACAACCGAATTTAAAATATTCTAAACCCTTTTTTATGCACAATAACCCTCGATTTATTGATCGGTATGCAAAATGAAAAGCTAATAAAATTGACTTGAAACGCTGATAAGACAATAAGAGAGAAAGTGAAGAATTGATTGACGCACGCTTTATGAATTTTAAGTGAAAATTCTTTTAATAGCTCATTTCCATTTCTCGTTTCTTTTTTATGTTTAATTTATCTAAATAAATCGCTTTGTTGTTTAACTTCTCATTAGGCTTTGAATTATCTCATATGTAAGCATTCTTCTTAAGCCAGGAAAACTTTTCTTCATTCCTAATGAGTTTGTGGCAATTCCGCTGTTGTTAATCTATTTATATACATATAAATAGATGATGTATGTATGTTTATGAAAGATTGTGTGTTTATGTTTTTGTGGTTCAGTATGATATTAACCATTCCCAGTTTCATCCTCCCACGCCTTCAATCTCAAATATCAAGTATTCATGTGTCGCTTGCTTTAATGACATCATCTTATCATCGCATTACCACAATCAAGCAACAGACTTAATTGAATTTTAATGCTTCTATTTGGTAGACTTAAAAAGGAAGCAGAGAAAACTTTTGCTGTTATGTATGTTTAGAAATGATTAAAGTGATGTTCTTGGTTTCAACATCTTGCTTCTGTGAGCGCGATTAGAAAAATATATGAGCTTTACTCTTACATTTTATTCTATCTCAAAAGAGCAAACACGATTTAGATAAATACTATTGTGGGATATAGCTTGCTTCAGGAGTTGATACGAAATGATAGAACTTCGATTTCATCATTTTCCTCAAACATCACATTTTCTTTTATCAGCAAATTTTCTTATCATTCGATGAAAATGGCTGTTTGAGTGGTTTCTCACCTCGAGGGAAAGAAAACGAAACCAAAAAAATGGTGAAGACAGCAGGAACGTGAGAAATCGTTAGGTCAATGTATGTTTACATCACCAAATTTTATTTGTCATTCATATTGAACACTTCAACTTTCAAATATTTAAGAGTTACGATGAAAATCAAAATCCTATAAAGATCTATCACGACTGCTTCAAAACATAAGAAAATATTCAGATATTGCAATGAAAACAAGTGAAACTTTCAAACTCAAACTCATATAAAATTTGAGGGATATTTGATGAATCCTCCAGCTGTGCGCATCAGTCGTAAATCTCTATCACTTTTCTAATAATTCAATTTGCAACTTTTCCTATTTTCTTTCCAATGAGTGATTGGAAAAGTTTTTGAGAGTTCACGAAATCGCTTAAACATGAAAATTTATTGAAAAAGGGAAAAAAAGGAAGTTTTACGATTAATCTTAAATTATTTATAATTTTTTTATAGTTAAGAACTTCTCTGATTTTAAAGTTTTCGTTTTCCTAAGAAATATTTTAAAAGCCAGAAGAGCTTCTTCTTAAAAAAGCAGGCAGATTTGGTGTTACTTACGAAATCTAATTACTTTAATTAAATTTAATTACTCACGAGATTCGAGACGTTGCTATAATTTTAACACGGCACTCGATGCAGGTTGGCACAAACTTTTAATTAAATGAAACAAGTTAACGTGAGAAGATGTGAGAACAGAAGACGATTCGATTCGTTAGGGTGTCATGGAATTTATCGACTCTTTTTTGGCTAGCTTAATAGGAATGATTGTACAATTGATTGCCTGAAGTCTACTGCAAATAAAATATTTTGGAACTTTTTTTTCCCGAGACTTTAGAGTAAATTTTTCTTACGTCGCTTTTGTTTACTATTGGACTTCTCTCGATCTTCTTTCTCCTCCATTTCCAGCACAACCCAAGGCAGTTTTATTTGAGGGTTCAGTGACAAATAGAAATAGCAAATAAAAGTCGAAAGAAAATGTTTTAATCTTGTTAAGCGATAAATTGCCGTAAATAAAAGTCATCGAGAAGATTGTAATCGTTCACTTGAGAGCAGTTTTATTGTGCTTTTCCTCTTGCTTTATCTCTTCGACTTTCCGATTCACGCATGAAATTGATGACTTTTAGAAATCGGTTTTAAATGAGATTTAGTAGTAAAAGAATGACACGAATATCCGTAAAATTAAACGAGAAGGAAGATTTGTTAAAATCAGCAAAAAATTGTGATTTCTATTCGTAATTCAGAACTCCGACACTTAATTTCTAATTCGTTTTATCAAAATGTTTACTTGAATAATAAATTTACATAAGTACTAGATACGATATTCATAAAAGTTTTATTCATTTTAATATTTTCTAAAATAAAATTCCTAAAATTGTTGAGCCATATGTTGGGGTTTGAATTAATTTGAGATAGGAAGAGAAATTTAGTTAATAGTGAAAGCTGGGACTTGGATTAATCGAAAAGCATTTGTTTTGCTGATAGAAAACTGAAATGTTTAATTTTACTTAACTTTTTGAACATAAAAAAAGGCAAAATTATCATCTTTGAAACATCAATTGCTTTAAATCTTTACATCAATTACATTTGCTTGGATCTTATAATAATGGGTGACTTTGGTTTCCTTTTTTTTATTAAGGGAAATTGTTTTCCTATTCATGTAGATATTTATGAAATTCTTTCATTATTTACTGCATAAAATACTCGATATTGTTACATCTCTCTAATAAATCTTGGAATTTTTCAATTAAGTAGCATAATGAAACAAAATTGTTTAAAAATTGCGAATGGAACAAATTTGTAGCTTTATACGATTTTTCCTTTAGACACATTTTCCTCAGCTTCCCTCTAGTTCAACTTGAAAGGGAAAAGTTTAAAATAAATCTAGTCAAAGACAAACAAAAACAGAAAATATGCTACTTACTTAATTTCTTAATTGAGAGTAATTAACAGAGAAAAAAGAACGCCCTCATTTGACTCATTTTCCTTTTTCATGAAAAACACTTTCAAATTCAGATTGAGATAAGAGTGCTTAAGAATTAGGAGAAAAAAATCCTTCGGGTGAAAAAATGATGTTAATTTTATCTTAATTACTGTTTATGCTGCAATGAAGACAGCTGAAGGGAAATGTTTCAAACGTCACGAAGATAAAAGAATCTTTTAAGTACATAGAAAAAGCACTTAGAAATATCTTTGAAAAAACTTTATTTCTGCGTGTTCTCTTGGAAACATCTTTAAAATACGTTTTCCTAAGTAAACAACAAAATTTGAGAAGGCGAATGTTTGAAAAAGTCAATAAATTCTTCAGCTCGATTGGACATTGATTTATTGGCCTCGTTCGTTTAAGGGACACAATCACTGACCTTTTCGTATTATTCTTGTTTATTTATATGAAAAAAGGCGAAAAGTTTCCATGTTAAATTCGCTAGGCTAAAACATTTCTTTTTCTTTTCTATTTCTACCTTGATTGAGTCCTATGAGGATTTAAGAAGAGCTGCTTTGATTCCATTCGTTTCTTAAGATTTTGTGCTTCTTATAAATGTTTTCACAGCTAATACAAAGTTCTTTAAAATTCATCTAAGATAAAAATTTTTAGAGTCGAATAGTGCGTGTGAGCGTTTACAACAGACAAAAGAAAGAAAAGCTTTCGTTTTTTTTTGACAGCATTAAGCTTCACACTTCATTGCGGTTAAATTCCCCATTTGACAGCTTCAACACTTCTCACTCAATTTTCTCATTTCATGTTATTCATTTTCAGTATTTTTCCACAAGCATGACTCTAATTTGACAGTGCAATAAAAACCAGCTCAATCAAGTGATTTGGGTGAAGTCAAGTGTTAATACATGAATGTTTGTGTCGAATTAAATATGTTCATGTTGCATGAATTAATAATAAAAATAAAACATTTACAAATTCTTCATTTCTTCTTAATTAAAATAACTAAAATATGTTTTGATGAAGTTTGGTATTTATCTATGAAACAAATTCACAATTTGAATAGAATTCGAATGCTTCAAATTTTAAGAATAATTTATTTTATTACATTTTGCTTGCTTAGAATCAATAATCTCGGAGAGTATTTAAAAAAAGCACAACACAAAAGAAGAGAAATTGAGCAGGAGTTGAGCTTTCAATGATTATCAAAGCTTCACAATTTTATGTGAATTTCCAAAGCTCTCATGAATTTCATAGTCATTTAGCATTTGTCCTTCACATAAATATATGTAATAAAATTAAAAACTTGTAGTTCAGATAAAACAAATAAGACTCCAATTGAAATTCGCAAAGACTATTAAAGTCAAAAGTTATCGCTGCTAATAAAATTCACAAATTGTTGGGTTGAAGTTAAGATTGAAAAATTAAAATTTTAAAGTAATGCAAATTTGGTTGAATTGATAACAAACGCTGTTTATTTGAACTATAAAAGTAAACGAGTTTCATAAATACTTCAATGTTATTATTGTGCAGTGAAAAATGAATATAAAACTCCTTGCCATTATTTGTTTCTCGTTTCTAGACGAATTAAAGGGAGAACAAGGAGAGAATAATTTGTGCAAAGGATTTTGTCCATCAAATGAAATTTTCACTCAATGTAGCCTTGGACAGTTTCAATCAACATGTTGGAATAGTAGAAAATTGCAATTCTTTCATATATGCGAGCTTGGATGCGCCTGTCAAGAAGGTTTTATTCGTCATCCTGACACTTACGAATGCATTCCCTTCAACGAATGTCCACCGAAACCTGATGTCAGCAGTCATATTTGTCCGAAAAATGAGAAGTGGGATAGATGTGGATATGGATGTGACCAAACCTGTGGATTACATTTTAGAGACTTCACTTGTCGTTCATGTTTCCCGGGATGTGTTTGCCAAAAGAATTATGTCAGAAGCTCAATAAACGGCCAATGTATCTTAGATTCGGAATGTAAAAGTGAGAAAACATTTTTGAACATTTGTAGAAAAGTTTTTTACATTCCATTTTCTATTCTTATTCAGATTGTCCTAGAGGATATTTTTTGGATCCGAGAGCTAAACTTTGCAGCTTTTGTAACAACGGATGTTCAGAAAATGAATTTTATAATGAGTGTGGATCAAGGTGCGAGAAAACTTGTGAGAATCCATCGGGTGCTGGAGTCGATTGTGATACTTGTAAACCTCGTTGTGAATGTATTTTTGGTTTATTACGCGATTTGAAAACTAATGATTGTGTAAAACCTCAAGAATGTACTTAGTTCTGCTTAACAATGAATTTCTTTCTAATGAATTTCAAGTTTTCAATCAAGTGCCCTATTGTGGTAATAATTGAAATTTGAGAAGAAAATAAAAAAGCGTTTATAATATCCAGAAACAGAAAATAATTTGAAATAATTAACATAAAAATTGTTTCCACTTATCTCGAAAAAAAAAACTAATGATTCGATAGCTTTCATAGTTTCAGTATTTATAATTTCTGAATAATTGCTCAACATGACCCTCGTCATGGAATTAAACTAAATTTTCAACACCGTTCACATTCAATCTTTAAAGTCAATACTGCATTGATGATAACTTAATTTTTAAATATCAATGAAAACATGCTTTTTAAAAAGCGTTAAATTAAGGAGTTATAAATGATAACGTTTGTTGTACTGCATAAGCTTTTTGACTTTGCCTGCATGAACCGAAAAAATGTTTGATTGAGCTTCAATATTTTTTAAAAAAGATGTCGCTATGGTCGTTGAAGAGAAAGAAGTTTCAACTTCTGATGGAAATTTACATAAATCCAATAAATAATTTGACTTGAATCTTATAATTGTGGAACATAAATCGTTTTAATATTTTACAATCAATTATGATAATTACTTCATATACGAAATAAATCGTGATTTTTATTTAAATGCTTCCTAAATCAAATGAAAGAATAAAAATAATATTTCGAATCATTATTAGCAAGTTAAGGATAAGCGAAGTGTAAAATCTCCAAAAGTTCCATTAAAACAGAAATGAAGAATAATCAAAAAACTACAATTTTCAGAAATTAATAAGTAGGTATTAATTAATGGAAATTGATATTGAATGAAAATTTTTCCATTCATATTAAATATTTAAACATTTCAAAAAACATTTAATGAGCTCATAATTCAAGGTTGAGTTACTTTTTTGAAAAGTTCTTTAAATTTGTGATCTGTTTTAATGATTAATGTTCAATTCAAAACTCGTTGAAAGAAATTCTTTCCATACTTTTCTGTTGTTTAAACATGTAATTGGATCATTTTAGCGCGCTGTTATTAATCAACTTATTATTAATTAATGATACTTTTATTTATCAATACTCTGATTGCTGTTTTCTCATAAACCGAAAATATTAGAAATTGTCTGACATTGCCCTCGACCTCTAACTTAAGTTATGAATGTATTATGAAATGATATATGATATGTCTACAGAAGAAGAATGTAATCAAGTTAAGTTGTTACTTTTTTGTAGAAACAATAATCAACTTTTTGCGGAAATGTGTTGCTAGTAAAACAAACTTTTTCTCCATAATTTTCAAGCTATAAAGAGTTTGTAGAAATGTTTTAGTTTAAAATGGTAATGAGTATTCTGGAAAAGTGTTCAGTTTAATGTCAGACATTTTATAGTAAAGTTATTCAAAGATATGTTTAAATTAATTTTCTTTTGTTCATTTATGGGATTTCAAATTGCATTTTCTCAAGACCTACATCTGTCGGATGATATGCAATTCAAGCAAAATTTCAATGAAGAGAAAAATATTTATGGAGTTGTTCAAGAAGGATTTAAAAGTGATGAAGAGGACTTGAATATTGCACAAAGTGCGATCAATTTAAGAGTCAAACGTCAAGATGAAGAAGAAGAAACGGATGCAGGTGAAAATGAGATGGAGGGTGAAGAGGGGGGAGAAGAAGAAGAAGAAACTGCTACAACTGAGAAGACAACAAGAGATGGATCCAGACGAAGAGGGCGAAAAGGGGAAGGTAAAGGTAAAGGCAAAAATAGAGGAAGAGGGAAAGGAAAAGGAAGAAATGGACAACGCAAGAAAACAAGAGGAAACGGATCAGTGACAAGAAGCAATTCACCACAACGCCGTCAAAATGGCAGAGCCCGTACATCTAAAGTCAAAAAAACAGTCAACTTTCCTAGATAAGCAAAAACTTTGATGTACCCTTCAAACTATTTGAAGAACTTAATATGATTGAGAAAACTATAAATTTTCTTCCATCCAAATAATTATTGATTTGATTTTTTAATATTAATATCGAGATGAGATTTACACGATTGCGACTTAAAAGATTCGATCATAATTCCAATGGCATTGAGGTAGGTCAATGGAAAAGTCTCGTTCTAATGGATGTCAGGTGAATTATAAACGATGGAAAATTCTACTGGAAGCAAATTTTGCTCATCTTTCCAGTTTCCTTTAATCTAATCAAACAATTCTTCTGCTTATTCCTCTCTTAATCACGCTAAGAATTAATTCTCTTCTTTACATTTTCCTTCTTCGCCAAATCATCATCATTAAATTGCGATTAAATTTCGTAAGACGATGAAAATGGAAAGAGAATAAAAAGAGGAAATTTAAGACCGTTCCGGTTCGTAGGAAGTTTAATTAAATTGTTCTTATCGCCTTGATTTTTCAAATGAATACGAAATGAATAAATTGAAAAAAGAAATTAATTAATTTTCTTGTTGAATCAATTAATTAGAAATGATATCTACTTGTAATTTTTTCCTCCCACGAAGCGGAAAAGTAATTTTAAACTGATACATTGTTTAGCCAACGTGAACTTAATTTGGTAATTAATTATTTTATATTCGACATTATGATTCAATATTGAAATGATACTGTATTTAATCATTGAGAGGAAAGAAAATAATCTCGAAATAAATCAGACTAAAGCTCGACATACGAAAGCAGGAAAACAAACCATTATTTGACCAAACAATTGCTCGTTATAACGCCCTGAAAATATTTATTTCTGTCATTGAGTGAACATAAAAACAGAAAAGTTAGAAAGCTGTTCTCACACTTATTAGAACGCAAAAAATTTTCTGAACTCTGCATAAGCAAAAGTGAAAAAGTTTTTCTCGGAAAATGAAAGTCGTCATTTATGTTCGACCATTTGTCAAACTGTGAACTGCTGTTTGGAAATCATATGGCGCTGGAACCGTTCTTAATAATTGAGCAATTTGATTTTCCTTAATATTTATTTTGTTGGAAAAACGGACATGCTGAGTATTTAGTTATTATTTTTTATGAGAAATATGAGTGAGTAAATTAAATAAAATAAACACGAAAAGTAATTATCTATTAGTGACTATTTATAAACATTGTTATGGATAAGCCAATTATTTATTAAAAAAAATTCTTGATAAGAATCTTAAAGCAATTGATATGTCTTCATAATTGGAAGTTTACTTCGAATTCATAAAAGACGAATAATGGCAACGATTAATTCTTGTAATTCATCTGGTAAGTTTACCATTTCATATGATAAAAAAAAGATTCTTCGGAGAGGGTACACATTTTTCCACCTGATAACAATCATTTCTCGTCAAATCATCATATTTATACGATGCTTATGTAAATGTATTGTTAAGCTTAAGAATATCGATGGATTTCATGTGTAAACTTGTTCGTGTCGGGAGAAGTCTTTACATCTTCTACCACATAAAAGCGCCCATAAATCATCTATTGAATATAGAATGAAGGAAAAATCCATTTGAAGTGAAAAAAAATCTTTTATCCAAATTTTACGCACGACACGACCTCAGAGAAAAAAATTGACGCTCAATTTTTCCTGTTTTATGTTGATGGGGTTAACGTGTGAGAATCAATTTATTGTTAGTTTTGTAAAAGCATTTTAAGAGAAGTTCACCATTTAATAGAACAAAATGCTCATAAGCTAACCAGAATCTTATCTAAATCTAAATTTTGCTTTTATTTGCTGCCGAAAATATAAAGAAAATTAACATTTTTACAAATGATTTTCCGCCATCTTCCAACTTGTGAAAAGTGAAAGCACTGAAATATAAATTGAATTATAAAGGAACGAAATGGAAGCTGTATAGTACAAACCATCCAACAATAGCCTGGAGAGCCAGAAAATATTTGAGAAATTGTGATCAGGAGGAAAGAAAGATGGATAAACTTTTTATGACTTTTTTATTGCAAGACAGCGGGGGTGAAGCTAAGCTTTCTACCATCAGACTTGACAGTAGAAAGACAACACGAATATACAAGCACTAAATTCTTCTTGTCAAAGAAAGCTACACAAATCATCGAGTCATTTTATTTAGTTAGCTTCTTCTCCTTGGCTATGCAATGAGCTTTAAAAAAATAATCTTAAAATTTCATTACATAAAGTGATAAAGACAAAATAAGATCGATAATTTGTCGACATTTTTCTTCAAAGAATTTTCTTATTCAGTGCGCTTTAAAATAATTTTCAAGAGTAGTTGACGTCATCATCATCATCATTAAAAAAATAAAGTTTGATAAAATTAAATATGTCGTAAGTTGGTTTGAAAATGTAAAACTAACAAAGTAGATAAGTAAAATTTACGGAAGAAAAGTTTATGAAAAAATAAAAATGAACGAAAATGATGTTTCTATGTAAAAATATATTCTTTATTAAGCTAATGTGATTATTTCGTTTTCTCATGTTGACTTACTGAATGATATATTAATTTTTATTTTTTGTGAAAGTGAACAAAAACTTTTATCTGTAGATTCGTGCTGAGCGAACGACCCACTCAATGACCTTGATAAATTGCTTACTTTGAACGTATACCTGAATTGTTCTGAATAGCAATTTCATTCTTGTTGAGTTTCCTGGGCCAAAGTTAGGAGAATTTAAGAAATGTAGCCAATCGATTTGAATTAAAATTAACAATTTTATACAAAGCTGCTGGAAATATAGCTTTAGGTGAAAAACTTTTTCAGAAAAAGAAAAGGAAGTCAGTGCCTTTATAAGCCAAACGAAAGATGATGAAATATCTCTAAAGATTTGCTTTTAAGGAAATGAAAGCTTTTTGGTCGAGAACGTATTCATGTGACAGTTGTTGATGTTTGAATTTCAACATAACTTGAATACTATGCTATTAAGGAAAACAGAAGGAAAAGGTCTCATAATTCTGACAACAACAGATTTTAGAAAGGCTTTGTAAATAGGACTTTCATCAGGCCTTAGCTGTACAATCATAGCATGAAAGAGGACTTCAAACGGAAATAATAGACAATACTATTAAGCCTGCATATTATTTCATCAAATAGTCACAACTCATGTTTTACTTGATGTAATCTGACAAATGAAAGTCAACTGGGTCAATTGATTTCTTATTTGCATTTCTATTCAATTTGTTCGAATGACTGGATCGCTTATAAATCACTTAATGGTATGAATAGAATTTGTTTATAATTTACAAATATCAACAATGAACAACATAATAAAAGTTTTCTTTTTAATTTATTCATTTTCATACCTCAGCTTACGCTTCTGTGGATGGTAACAATTGAAACAAATTCAAAAGATCCACAATCGCAATAAAACACTTTTGTTTGTTAACTTTAACAAAATTTGTTGGAAATTAATTTAATAGCAATTTCATTTAATAAATTCAGGGAATAAATTTTTGAAAGAACTTGGGCTTTCATAAAAATTCGGTTATATCTTTCAATTTATGTCGAAATATTTTTTTAATATCAACTTTTGCAGTCTCATTGAGCTTCATCACACGCACAATATAGCAACACACCCAAATGTTTTCGCTTCCATGTGTTCCCATTTTTCATATTAAGCAGCGACATTTTTGTTAGCTTCACTGCAACATAAATACTGGAGAAGGCGAAGAAAGAAAGCTGTTTGACTATGAATAAGTAATTGAATGAGAATATTTTACACGACATGCCCTTCGTCTGGAGAAGGAAGAAAGTAAAAAAGGGTTTTCAGGCTTTCGAAGAGCTTTTGCTTTCTCTTTTTATTTTCATTCTTTTCCCTAAAAGAAATCGAGGATTTTCTCTTTCGAACTTTACCGCAAAACATAAACTCAAAGTAATTACTATGGAAAACAGAAACCTTTCTTATTTTACTCAAAGAATTCTTGCAGTTTTATTTTTTTCTTTCACCTTTTTGCGTGAAACGTTTAATATAATTCTGGGTTGCATCGTGCAACTTTTTCCAAGGAAAAAGAAAATTTAAATTTCATTTTAGTAAAGTTTCATATTTATCAAAGTAATGTTAAATTTAGAAGGAAAGGCATACTAAATAATTCATACTGATGTAGAGCTCTTACAGTGAAGCGAGTTGTGGTGGAAAATCGATACGTCCCAGATATTTAAGTTATTATAAGTGGACTTCTCTATACAATTTGAGTTTTGGTCTCTTTTGATGTTCATAACGCGACAAAACATGAGAAATCGTCATCAATTTTAGTTGTAACATTATAAAAATCCCATGTTCATGTTTGAGTGGCATTAAAAACTACTTTGTTTAATTTTTATTTCGAATTTGATTCCTAAGCTTTGATAAAAGTGTTGATTTAGGCTCTGCTTGTTTTACTCATAACATATGTTCGAACTCAGTAGGGAGGATGAGAGAAAAAGCGACACAAAATCGTGAAGAAAATAATTTCATTCATGTCTGCGTTTATGTTTCAATGCTAAACATGTTATAGAGATACTTACTGACATAGTTTTCCTTCCTTTTCTAATCTAATCTTATGTTGGACGCTTTTTTTCTTGATCATTAAATATTTAGGAAAGAATTGTTCAAGTCGACCATACACAATGCATATTTAATTAAGATGGGATTGTAAGGCAGAATTTCATAGAAAAAGTTACTTAATCAAGCAGTTGTAAATGTCAACGCTGTTGACGAAAGATTAATTAACTTTTCTTTTGAAATTTTATTTTACTCCACTTCAGCAGTCTGATATTGTTAATCAGGAAAAAGGATTTCCAAGCTTTTCTCACTTCCTTTTCAACACCTGAAATCGAAGCAAACACGTTATCGAGATATTTTATAACAAGCATTATTAAATGGAAATTAGAATTTGAGATTTTAATTGAAAATTGAAGCTGAATTGAAAGCTTTCCTTTGAAATCGAAATTAAATTCACAATTATGTGTTTATTCCTCTTCAAAAACAGATGATCCGATATCATATCATAAAGGATTATGTTTCATCTCCAGCATTTTCCAATAACAATAATAATATTATTATGTAAAAATAGAATGTCGCCCCGAATACATTTCAGAATCACAAAGTTGTGGTTCACGCAATCGACTCCAACTACATTATTCAGTAGAATATTCAATTTCATTGTATTTTGGTATTAATTAAGTGACAGCAACTATGTACGTTATTTTTAAACAATATGTTCACTTACCTAACTGAGTGGGTGTAGAATATTTTGGAGTTGTCATGTCATCAAAACGTACTTTGAACATTTTGGGGACAATTATCGCTTTGATAAATGACATCAGAATATTAAATCTAACGATGAATTGCTTGAATTTTGCACTGTAAGTTTAATAAACATTTCTTTTACAATGCTTCAACATGTTAATTTACATTGCATAAAAGCTCTCAGAGGGATTGAAATCCCCGTTCAACGTGAATCATATCATAGTTTTGAATATTAACTTCAACTCTCTTGAATTAGATTAAACAATTTTTGTACCCCCAAATGTTATACTTACTAGATGTTTGATTTATTTATTGGTTGTTTGGATCTTGAAATTAATAATGATTGTTTGTAAACCAAATTCGACGGTGATCAAAGCTACCCTTTTCCAAAATTTAGGATTTAGGAAATGTCAAGACCATACATTTCTGGTATAATATTTAAAGCTCCTCTCATTTCAATACCCTCCATTTCACCCGTAGATTTTTGTTTTCAATTTGCTTTGACCTCATGAACAGTTAAGTAGAAATCAATAGAAACACAAGAATCCAATCAATGCTGAAACATTTTCTATAAAAATTGGAATTTGATGAGTCGAAACGTGAGTGATATGAACGGAAAAGTGGAACAAATTAATAAATAAATCTTCGCTATCGTTAACATAAGACAATTCAGGGTTGAGGTTGACATTTTCCGGTATTTCAATAAATTTTTTGCGCGGCAACAGTTTTCGCTTCTTTTTTTTTGATGGTCAAAAGCTGTCGAATGAATGAATAAAACTTAATCACGCAACATTCAAAAATAAATGTTTGAACGTGAAAAGCACGAACAAAAATGCTTAATCGATTATGTCGAGGCACTTGTCATCACAATTTCCTATTAAACAATAAACAATGAAATGGATTCATATCAGGTTTGTTGTGTTTACTTAAATCATTCCAATGGAATATTTTCCAGTAAAGCTGCATTTTCCATTATTTTCCTTTCTTCTTCATAAGACTTCGAGACGAAAAACGTTTTAGTTTCATCGTGACTTTCACTACGGAAGCATTTTAATTCGTGAGGTTTCCGCGTCAATCGATTTTTCTCTTTTTAATTGTGAAACTTTATTTCTTTAATGTGCCTGGAATCAAAACATATCATTACAGTATAAACTGCGAAAGATTATAAAACAGTTTCGAAGAATAAATGATTGTCGGATAATATCAGTCTTTACGATCACCAAAAACCCATTATCAATGACCACAAATGGCCCATGAATAGTTCATTTCTGTGCTTTACTCTTTTATGACTCCCTTGACATCGACCCAGTGGAGAGAGAAAAACAAAAAAGGAGCACAAATATTTCCACATCACTTTTTGTTTTGCTAATTACGAATTGTGCAAATTTTTCATTATATGAAAAGCCCACCTGGAGGAGAAAAGTGAAAAAAAAAGGTTTATGGAAATTCTGATACTACTAGTCACTGAATTTACCTGACTGGAGCTTTTGGGATTCAGAAATTGTGGATATTTCAAAAAAGAAAGAAGTTACATGTGAAAAGACAAGAAAAAAGGTAAATCAAGTTTTAATGAATGGAATAAACTTGTGAAAGACTTTTTAAAAAAAAGTTTTCGGGTTTGTTGAACTGCGTCAATTTATTTAATGAGCCTTGTTTATGAATAATGTTTCAAATAATATGGTGGGAATGTATATAATCTTGAGGATATTTGATCACATGAAAATTTGATGAATTTCACAATGGAACATTAGGTTGAAGCAGAGAAGGGTTCATTTTGCCTCAAATGTATATTGTTTTATTTTATTTCCTTCTCTCTTCTTTTTCCTCATAACAAAATGTGCTTCACATTAGTTTGCTTACTTTTCATCATTTACTATGTTCACTTATCATTTGAAAAGGCTTCACACACATAGAATGTCGAAAATTTCGATTTGTTTATTTATGAAGCAAAGAGGAAAAATTCAATTTGAATTATTTATAAACTGCTTAAGATATATGGCAAAGCTTTTCCTTACACCTACAGGAAATTAAAGTTTGAAAGTTTATCCTAAGCTTTCAATCTTCCTTTCTTTCTTTATTTTTGTTATATACATAAATGAGAGCGAAATGTCTGAAAAGAAGTTGTCAACAAATCCCTCGTCTCGAACTTAAATTTTAACTTTGATAAGATAAGTTTTGAGCCATACGAATGTGAGACATATACCGACTATCTATTGCATTTCAACTGTTTCCCCCATTGGGATGACTCGTATAATTTTCAAAGTTATCTTTAAGAGCAAATCCATGTTTCTAAGCTGGAAAATGTTGCTGTTGAAATACCGCCATTCAATAGCAGAAGCTTCGTGATTAAGTGGGTTTAATGTTGAACAGACGTAATCAGACTGCTAGATAAATGCTGTAAATTTCCTTTGAACAACTTTCTTTATTGGCTTCTAATTTCACTTTCTTTACATTATTTTGTTTATTTCAAGTCGTCATAAATTCTTATTTTCTATGAATGCTTTCACGAGCCTCCGACTCCTAGAAACAATCTGAAAATATACAAGAAAAAAAGGACATAATCAGTTTGATTAAATTACGATGAGATGATTTTCGTACGATGTGATAAAAATAATATTTCGAAACTGAACTTTATGCGTTGACCTTTTTGGTGTCTTTTAGCAATGTCCAACAGCTTGGATAATTTACTTTATGTGGATGGTTGCGCATAAGCAACAAGGGACGTTTATGCTTGACAAAAAAAATCATGTGAATATTGTTAGACTAACTGAAGAGGAGTATCAGGGATAAAAAAGACATTGAACTTCAAAACCTTCCTCCGATGAAGATGAAAATTGAGCTTCTCCGAAGCTATTTTTATTCAGAACTCGTGTAAGCCTTTCAAACTTCAAAAGGGTTTCCTTATTTTTTTGAAGTGTCGCCTAAACCTTTTCTCCATGCACTCAAAAATGTTTTATAAGCAACTCGTACTCAACTATATCGACACCAATTCCTTACATTATAAAACGTTCGCTGACTTTAAAAAAAGAAAAGCATAGAAAACAAACTGCACAAAATCAACTTAAAGAAGAAAATAAAAGAATAAAAAAAAGTTTTCAAAACTGTACGACTGCATTGCGGATGGTTTTATTCGTGCTGATATGGTGAAAAATCTAGCGAATTATTTTATTTAGGAATAAAGCAGAATCGAGGTCAGAAAATTTATTTTAAAATAATTTTATGTTTTAACCAGCGAGATATTTATGATTACAATTGTAATCGAATCGCTTTCCTTGATTCAAAATTATTTCTTAATTACTTTTTTAAAACTCGTGAATTGTTGAAACATGAAATGAATTGTGATTGACGTTTTCTAAATTGAAATGAAGAGCTTTAGATTGTATTGATTTAGCAGGGAAAAATCTCGTCTATCCAACCATGTAGGTAGAATTTGCACAAGTTATTTCAACACTCACGCGAATCACTTGTGGGTAGTTTGCATATGAATATGATTGGGGGATGTTGTTAAATGGAATTTATGATATGATGAACGATGTGACTAACACTTACACTTAAATATGTTAAAAGATATAATTTATGCAGTGTTGTAATATTTGCCAACATGGTTGACTTTACTTGCCGAGATATGGATAGATTTCATATAATCAAACAATCACTTCTAATCAGCACAATTCAGTGAATCGTTTGAATTTCTCATCTGAATAATGAACCCAAAACGGTTGAAAATCTATTGAATAATTAAACCATTGAGGTTATAAATGAATGTTTAATTAAAGTTTATTTAGTTCATGATGAGAATTTCGAGTATAAAGTTTTCATGTTTGTAATCCCTTCTCGAGAATCCCTTTTTAAATAAAGTCGTACTCAGCTCTTAAAATACTTCATTCAAGCGTTCATTTAACGTTTCACATCTTTATTCGTCATTTCAAATTAAAACTGCATAGCAATTTAAAACGGAAATACTTCAGAAAATACGGAGAATATCAAAGTGTATTGTTTGAATCTTCCTCCTGAATTCACTTGAGTTAGAAGCACACAGTTAAGTCACGAATATACTTCAGAGAGCTTCTGTACATACTGCTAGGAGAATTTAATATTAGCTGCATGTTCTAAGCTTAAAATCAACCGTAAATTTTGTGGAAAGTAATTTAATTGTTCATATGCAGCTTTTCCTCCATAATTTCCATGAATACCTTATGTTCGTATAGATTAAGGATATGTGAACTCTTAACAAACTGCTAAATTCGAAAGATCATCAGCTCAAATTCTTATCAGTTCTTGTTATGTTTCTGCTTTCTTTTTTTTATACGACGATAATCAGAAATTTTGCTGTATAATCTTTAATGTAGCTGGCAAATATTCTTTTAGAAGATTATAAGCAATTTTCGAGTATTAAGCTAATAACTGTTAAACAAACTTCAACGAAAATGCAAAGAAAAAGATGAAAGCTGAAAGCTTACATGGAATCATCAGTTTTCATCGTCTTGAAGAGTTTTTATATTCTTGAGAAGCATTCTTCTTGTTGTTTTCTTAAGTATTTGCTTTTGACTTAAGAAAATAACATTCATTTTGCCCTCTCGAGACTGCGGAACGTGACCAGCATGTTGAAAAGTTGGCGACTTATTTCTTTTCTTTCGAATTTTTTTTCTCTTGTCCTGGTGATTTTTTTCGTTGACGCGTGAAAGTGAAAACTCGATATCAACTCTTGAAATTAAATTAAGACACCGAAAATTATGGTTGAACTGGGAGGAATTTTGTAAAGTTTTCTTCTTTGCTTCTTATTTAAGGTCACTGTAAAAAGCTTTTGTTATAAGCTTTTTTTTGTCCTCGATGAATAAAACTCACATAAAAGTTCTTCGTCTAAGAACCTCAGCAAATTACCCTCAAAAACCTCATTGAAAAATAAATCTCAAAGCCCAAACCAAGAACGTACGTTGGAAAAGAATTTCTTTTTGAAGCTATTCTCATATAAAATAATGAAAATAAAAGGAAAACTTAGCACAGGAAATTGAAAAAAAGGGGGAACAAGAGATAGGAAAGAAAATCTGAGAGAAAATCCATTTAAGAGGAATTTACTTTTACGGTCGGAAACATGAGTCATTGAATGTTGTAAATCACGATTTTGGCAACGAGCTTTCTTCTTGAAGTTAACGTAAGTTATTGCCAAAACGTATTACATTTGATCCTCAACTTATTTCCTGATAACATCGATGACATGTGTTGTGATCGAGGTCAAGGTTGGTACACATAATTCAATAAATATTCTTATTGCTTTTGGTCGAGATTTCTCCTGATATAAAGAACATAATTGTATCATCAAAATATGCTTCACGAATTAACATTTAATCAAGCACAATATTGTTTCGAAGCGTACGTGATGAGAATTTCATTCTGAGTTGAGAAAATGATTTCGGTTATGAGAGACTCTTTAAGTGATAAGGAAACTCATAAAAATTAAGTAGAAAAAGAAGAGAGAGAATTAATTATTTCTATAAGCTTCATGAAGATTTGGGGAAGAGAAATTAGGCCACGAAAAGTTGCAATATTCGATGTAACTGTGCACTTTAACCTCGAACTGTTTGGATGAATTATTCATGGTCGAGTCAACATAACCAGAAATGTTCTCCCGTTCGTGAAGCACGAAACAGACGTAAAGCAAGTTAATGAAGGCATTTTCGTCAGCAATGAAGTAAAGTCATGGAGTAACTTCAAATTCTGACTCTGAGTGCAGAAGGCTCCTCGATGTTACTCACTATAACCATTTTTTGGATTTCATTGGCCTTCCACTCTAACTTACTTACGACGAAAAAAAGAAGTTTTTCTTCATGTGCCTCTCATTTTGAAATAAAAAATCATTTTTTATACATGCGTTATTTTTGTTTTTTTCTTTACATTTTTATATTTTATTTATAAAGCACGATACACGTAAAGCGATGCTTTCTTATGGTAGATTTGACATGATGCGATGTGTGTGTAGTGAATGAATAAATTATAGAGAATGAAGCGGTAGCTGAAAGTGAGAGAGAGACACACACTCAGTGAGAGAGAGAGATAAAGAAAAGGCAAGGAAAAAGGATTTTTCATAGCAAGTTCCCAATTGAAATGAATGTCAGATCCAAGTTTGTTTAATCGTTGAATCAATAAACGTTTCATGATTTTCATTCATTTCATTTCCAACGTTGCCTGACTTTTTATTTTCCTTTTAACTTTTCTTTTTCATCTTTCCTTTATCTCCGATTTTCCGGTCACAAAGCAAGACAATAAAATAACAACAAAGGAAGAGAGAAAATCGCTTCTCAAGTTAATTTTAAAGGAAAGGCAGGCAAATTTAGGATAATAACAATGACAATATCCATCTTCGGTCAGGGATCATTAGCAGTGAAAATTAAAAGCTTTGAACGAAACTTTCTTTCTGTGAGTTTTGCAGAAAAATTATCCTGTCATCGTTACTGCCGTTAGAAAAAGGTTTTTTTTTGGGTCGTGGGAGAGTTCAAACGAAGCGATCTGCCTGAAGGAGAACGTAAAATTTAAATTGTCGGAAAATTAATCCTCGTGAGTGAAATTTCTTTCGTGAGTTGATGTGCAATTTTCCTTCAGCAGCTGAATGTGATTATCAGCGCCACGCTATTCTCTCTTTCTTTCATCGCTTACCTTTTGCCTTCTCATGACTTGTATTTATCAGTGTCGAGGTTTCCTCTCTTTAAGCTTTCGGTTTTTGAAATTTCTCGTTATGGGTAGCGAGAGAAAGTCTTACTTTACAGCACACAACAAAATATCATTAATGTAAAAGTCTTGTTCTCATTATTAAGCAACAGCTTTGTAGGAAACTGTTCCGGGGATTCTAAAATAATTTCAGTGGCTTTCCCAGATTTTATAATGTAAGCCTCCTTTACGTTTCATCTAAACAGCAGTTGTGATGGATAACATCAAAGCTATTTTAGTTTCTTTACTTTTCTCGAACGAAGACGAGTTCTAAGTTCGTGCAGATTTGAAAGCACTTTTGAACATTTCACATGTGTAGGTGAAATATCTCTAGGAAAAAATAAAAATGAGAAAGTGGATGATAAAGCACACATTTCTACGATATTACGTCACGTAAGTGCTTGAAAACGAGCTCATGAGGTGAAGGGTAAAGATTTCCGAGTCTTTAAGCGTCACTTCTGACAGCGGCGTTCTATTTTTCTCAAGAGAATTCTTGGATTTACAGAAAGAGCCTTTTGGAAAGAATTACGAAGCAAACAATAAAAAAAAATAGAAACAACTTAATGTACAAAACAGAAGAACATAAATATTTCATAAAGGCGATTTATTGAGGTGAATAAGCTTTGTAAACATCGTGTCTTAAGTAGGAAACATTCTCAATTAATGTTCGATAAAAATAATCCACTTCACACTCTCTTGATTTTGATGAAGTATTTATTTTGATATCGTTACAACAATATCTCCGCCCCCATCTTGTTTCTTCCCTAGATAATCACCAAATATAAATTGCGAACTTTTCACCAGATTATTTGCTATTTTTTCTCTAATTTACTTCGCAAGCCTGATAATCCCACGATTGAAAACTCAATCGTTGAAATGTTTGTTTGTTAAACTTTGAAATTTCATGGTTTCTAAGGCTTAGTACTTAGAACACCAGATTTATTTATTTTTTGCAAGAATTTAGCTAAACATATTGAATTTCATTTGCTATTTTCGTATAAATTCGGCTAACGTGTTTTAATCTCTCGTGATAAAAATTGTTGACTTAGATTGTCAAATAACTTGATTTGTTTTTGCAGCACTTGAATTGAAATTGTTTTTTTTAAGAAGTTCTGTTGTCGATGTAAGGCAAAACAACAAAATTTTGCAAAAAACAATTTGTCTCGACGTTGAAGCAAGTCTGTGCCTTTTGGGCAAAGGGATCACGATGCAATCTTACATTTTCTTTCAAAACATTCTGTTGCTTATTTTCCGATCCACTAAACATTTCGGCTTCCTAGGGACGATTTAAAAGAGATCATTGCGAAGGCTTCAACTCCATGTAAAATGAATTGTGAAGACAATTATTGATTGCCTCGTTCTAATCAACAATTTATTTGAACAGAAAAGGTCGTGATACTTCGTAATGACAATTTCTTATGTTTTTTACTTTCCTCTCTTCCTTACCTTCATTTCAACTTTGGCTGTTTAACTTTGAAGCCGTCAAAACAAATCAAAAATCAAATAATAAATCAGTTGGAAGCCCAATAACTTTTTTGCTACTTCGTTTCGATATTACCTACGCCCCGAAACGAAAGAATGAACAATGGGTTGAGTTAAATAATCAAGCAGATATCCAGAAAGACTTACTTAGTTAACAATAAAACTCATACTGTCAAGGGAAAAGAAAGAGTTCAAATCAATGAGCTACAATAGAAAGTTATATGAGAACTTAATAACATTTCAATCCGAAAGCGAAAATAAAAAAGTTTGTGGGCACGTCACTGACTTTATTATTACAGCAAAACTAAGCTTTATTGAGTCACTTCGGAAAGTCTTAAGTGAATTCATAAGGGTATATACATTCTATTTATGAACTTTTGTTAGGGGAGAATGAAACACAGAAGGAGAAAGCGGGCGTAAAAATAGAAGACTCGGAAACAGGAAAGTGACACGGCACGCGAATTATTACAAAAGGAATTGTTCATTGAACAAAAACATGAAAGCAGAAGCTTCCATTCGTGGGAATCTCAATTGCAATTGGAATTTTTCATGGGAAAATCTGGAAATTTTTACACGTTAGAAGTTCAACATTAACTCGCAAAACAAACATTAATTTCTAACATGAGCTAAACATGATCAAATTAAATTAATTACAAGATGAACTAGCAAAAATTAATTTTCTTTTATTTATTTCTCTTGCAGTGCTAATTAAGATTAAATCTGAGGCCGACAGGTGGAAGGAAAAATCTAAAATGCTTTTCTCCGAAAGTAATCCCAAACTGAATACCCAGAAATGTGACGACTTTATTACCTTCTGTTGAAAAAAAGTGAAACAAAACAACAAAAGTTGTAGGATGGGATACAGAAATGAAAGCTTCATTAGAGTGAATAATGTTAGGAATGTGAATGTGGAGACTCATTAGTGTGTATTAAAGTAAACCAGTGATAAATGACTCGATAGTGATCAGGATAATAGAAGAAAAACCAAAAAGATTTTCCCTTCTGTGATAAGTGTAATCATTACAGAGAAACTTAAACAATTCAACTTCAGTAAACTCTTGCAGTTCAAACTAATTTAGAAAAAAACTGAGATGGAATTTATGAAGTAAAAAAAAATCCAAATACGTGGCGGTCGGGATTTGTAAAGGTGAAAATAGGAAATCGTTTTAATGAAAATTATTCCCGAAGAAATTAAGAAAAAGGGCAGATAACAGGATTATACGAAAAGGTTGAACGAGAAGCAAAGGTAATTAGCAAAGCGCTTATCATTAATTCTCATTTCGATGGACATTCATGATACGCTTCGACCCTCAAAACAACTCTAGGGATTTAAATCATTTGACAGATGATGAGAATGATTTTCAAAGGGAATTCTTTTTATCGGCCACAAGACCGCAAGTTTCGGAATTTTATTAGCGTTTTCTTCTTTACCTTTGGCTGAGATTCTTTTTCTTCTTTTTCGCCAATTTTCTTGATGAATAAAAAAGTTTTTCAAGGAAAGTCATCCATCAATACATCATTATCGATAATGAGAAGCTCTCAACGGAGATTATCTTATGTAAAAGCTTTTACTTTCCCAATTTTTCCAAGCACGGTGACTTTGATTGCGAAATAAGTGAGCGCACGTTTTACCTGCCGCCTCCGTTCCTACCACTACAATGTACATTGATTAAATGTAAAGTTATGAAAATTTCATTCAATGGGAAGAAAACTTGAAAGAATCAAAATAAATAAATGTCTAAGTTAAGTATTTTCTTGCTCGTTGCAGGTAAAAAAATGAAATGTGAGTGTGGATGTGTGAGTTTGAATGTTTTTATTTTCGAGCTCAGCCTTGCTCAATCGTTAAATCAATAATCGTTCTCGAGGTGCTTTTACAACGTTGCCAAATTTGTATTTTTCACGTCTATTACACTGTTGTTGTTTCAAACATCCACTCGTAGCGTTTTTTTCCGGTCACAAAACAAAGAAAAATGAGGAAGAAGAAAAAATGTTTTATGAGTTCAAGCTTCATTTTCTGCTTATACATATTACCTCCCATTCTTAAGTGCTGGCAAACGGCAGACAATATTCATAAATTTTCTTTAATGTTAACAATACGAGGAGAAATAAAATCTTTGTCGGGGATATTTTTCTCTGCTATTCTTGCGAGACCCAAAAGTGACCAAAACAAATTAAATCAAAGTATAGGAATGCTAAATGGAATTTTAAGTAGGGACGCAATGACATTTTCTTGAGTAAGGTTTTTCGTGAAATCTGAAACTGAACATAAATCATTGACGTCCTTTTATGAATGATGAGATGCAATTATATCACATAATGGAAACGTTTCGCATTTCTCTTGAATTAAGATCCACCCAGATGATGTTTCATATCATTTAAATGCAAACTCAATTGACTTTTCGTTATGTAAATGCTTCTAAGCAATTCATAAATATGAATATATTTAAAGAATGTTTTCGTGAGAAAAGAGAATTGAATCGAAGGTTAAGTTGGATGAATATTTTGAGTGAAATGTTTACCAGCGTACAACAAAGTTCAATGAAATAAATTGTTTGAAACTTCAAGTTGAAGCCACTTTTTTTCGCTTTTATTTTTCATTTCGAAGAGCTATGTGAAAATTGAGAATGGAAAAGCAGAAACTCTTAAAATCTCAAGATTTTCAAGCTTTTCTTCTTTCATCTTGTTGAGTTGAGGGTGATTATTCTTTGTCATACAAATCTCTGAGAAAGAAAAAGCTGACTTTTGTTTTCCTTGCTTTCTCTGTTCTAATTTTTTTCCCTGTAGACTTAAAAGCAATTCCTTTGCTCAAAAAGTTTTTCTTTTATCTTAAACATCGAGGATTTCTTCTTTTGCTCAAACACAGCAAAATTTTCAGATAATTGAAGACTTGAAAATGAAAAAAATTTTGTTTTCGATTGTCTTCCCTTGTAAGTTTATGTTACGTGACATAACAAGAACATTCTGTATTATGCTTGTAACATAACGAAATGTCTAATTAAAATTTGTTTATGATACATTTTGTTTCAAATTTTCGAATAAGATGAAGCTATAATGAACTTGTTTTCATTCCATTGTATTCAGTTTTTACCTGTACGATGTTACATTTTATGTTTGTTTTGGACAAGAGAGAAGAGAGATTTAACATACTTGCAAAACATTTATTAAAGTACATTTTACTTAAGCTTATTTATCTAAAACGAGAATTATTATTTTCTATCATCATCAGCAATGAAAAATGATGATGAGAGCGAGCACGATTCGGCTCAATTTATTTTAATAAAAAAAATGTTGCTGTTGATGTTGATAAGAAAAAAACAGAGGATTAGAGTTCAGGAAGTTTCTTGATTACTGCTTCATGCGTGGAGACATTGCGCAACATGAACATGATTATTTAATTTCACATAATCTTTTTCTTTTTGATGAAAAATCTTGAGAAAGAAGAAGAAATGAAGATAAGTGGATTTCACTTTATCATTTTAATAAATGTCGAGAATGAGAAGAATACGAACAACATATGAAAATGTGTTATAATCGCGCAAGTTTTTTTGTGTTTATTATGTTTCATTTCAGAAAGTTCACTTTGAAACATTAATAAATATTCCTTTCTAAACTTTCCCGAGTGCTTTTCAACAAGTTCAAAATTCAGCTCCTTTTTGCTTAATTAAAATGATATTACACAACTTTTTTTATTTATCAACTGAGTTGAATAAGATTGTGTTACAAATTTTAATTCAAAAAATGAAGTAAAAATTTTCTTTCATATAAAAAAGAGAATAAAAGATGTTCATCAGAGTAATTTTGATTGCTTAACATCTGCTTAGAAGTGATGAGAGATTTTAACTGATTAATTATGTTAATCATTCTTAAAAATAACTAGAACAGAAATAGGAGAAAAGTAATGACAATGGCACTAGACTTAACAAACCCGCTTAAACACGCAATGCCATCAAAAAACACGTTCAAAGTCTAAGTGTTCGTGAAATAAATGTAATTACACGCTCGTTAAAGCAGTTTATGACGTAAACAGTGAAAGCAGAAAATTACACACAATTTTTTTTCATACTCTAATAAAACGATTTTTCATTTTTCTTTCAAGGATTTTGGAAAACTTCAGAAGGCACTTCTGCTGAGCTTCAATTGTGATAACGTAATTCATAAATTACAAAGACGCTTGACAAACGATGCTGAACGATAAAATTTTAGTCATAGTTTTACTTTTGATTGGTAAGTCTTTTGAAAATTATTTACTTATAAATCAAAAGAGAAATGAAAAGAAATACTATCCGTTTATGACGTCATAAAATGTGTCGACACGATTTAACATTCAAAAATGATTTTGGAAGCACACGAGCAACTGAAACAAAAAAACAAAATTGCGTGTTTCGCACATTTCAGATTTGGACGGAATTTACAAGAAGGATTAACAGTAAAAAATGAAGGATTTTCCTGACGTTCAGATACTTTTTCTTTACTCCACCCACTAGTTTTGTGCGCTCTTATGCGTGCTATGGCCTTTTCTATCATCCATTTGTCGTCTAACTCTAAGAAATCGATTTTCGTACAAATCCCGCTTTCCAACTTTCTTGTTAACGTCCTATTAAACATGAGTCTAAACGGTGATTTCCTTGTTAATTGTCGGAAACATGGCAAGTGTAAAAAGGTGACAAAGTAAATTATCAAAGCTCCAATAATTTTTACTTTCATTTGTTGAAGAGACAAACCTTGTGTTTAAAAAGTATCTCATTGTGTATCTTTATCCTTTCTTAAAGTTTTCTTTATATTCCCTTCATAAAAATTCTGAATCTTCCCTTTAATTGTTCATGCTTTAAAAAGGATAAGAAAGTTCTTCAAACTTCATACTAGCGACATCTACCACTTTTAACATGGACTAAAATAATATTTTGAAACTCGAGGTTCTCGAATTCATCATTAAATGAGTCTTTGCTAAAACCATGTGTTGTGTCTTCGCTTAAAAGGAGTTGAAAGCTTTTTGAGCTGAGAATAATTTCTCAAAGCTCTGAAAATCTAATGACAACAATATTTAAACATAAATTTACCAAATGGTTTACATTTTCAATTTGTCGTTTATGTTTTTTCGTGTCTGTGACAAGAATTGCGAGTTATTTTTGTTTATACTATTCTCGTTCACATTAATAATGTTTTTCTTATGATAATTTGCAAGTCTCACGGAATCGATTAATTTTCGCGTTTTATCATGGCAATGAATTTAAATGAGTAATTTGGGATTGGTTCTTGTAAGAGTTCTAGCGACAGTCGTTGAATGAAGTTAGAAACTTGTGTACTAGATATTCAGAAACATTTTAAATATTCATTTCAAATATTTCAAGTCGATAAATTTTACGAGAAAACCTTGAATGTGACTTCAAGCGTTGAAAATCTACTTTGCTTATGAATTATTTGAAAGGAACTTGAAATTTTAATAAATAAAAATTGTTTCTCATTTTGAGTATTGTAAGGATTACATAATTTTAAACAAAAATAATTCAGTCTAGCACATTAAGTTTCAATTGGAATAAAAAGTCCATTGTGCCAAAAAAATTTTATAAATTTTCTTTTCTTTTTATTCCACTTCTGTATTTTTGCTTGAAAACGAACTTTTAAAAGTTTAAATTCATTTTTTTTTGTTCTGAATAAAATTATTGGCGAAGTGCTTGCAATCTCTGAAGCTCAAGAGAAATTAAAAACCACAAAATTTCTATGAAAAATTTATTACGAAAACAAAAAAATTGAAATTTATGGTGTGAAAAATTGAGTGATAAAGTTCTTGCTTGTAGCTTATGGTTCATTAAGGATCATGCATATATGTTTTCTTTTCTATGATTTCCTTTCAAAAAAAATTTCTACACATTTTTGCTGACTTGCCCATCGTCCTTTTGAGCTTCAATATATCTTCCTTTACTAGAGAAATTTAATTAACCTTACTTAATGAATATTTTCGCGCTTCATTAAACTTCGTTTTGTAATAAATTTAATCCAGAGCTTCTGCCTAACCATCAACTTTGCTTTCATCAGCCGTAAAAGTTTAATGTAATTATGTGTTTAATAACTTGTTAATGAAGGTTTCAGATGATGCTTCGCATTTGACGCTTCAGTAAATTACTGAGAAAAATTATAAGAGGCAAAGGAGAAACAACTTTTTTGAAGTTATTCTTAAACACACTGCAGAATAAAAATGTACGGGATTTGATGAAACATTAATAATTAAAGTTTTCATCAAAAGAGATTCTTAAATTCTCCAAAAATTTCATCATGATATCCAACCTAATTTATTATTGCATCAACACAAGGTCAAAGCATTAGACTTACACTAAATCTCGTAAAAATTCTCACCACCCACTTATTAAATAAATTACAAGGCATTGAGCAAAAAGAATAATTTCACGCGCACCGAAACTTAATTGAATTTCTCAGTCGGACGCTTTCCCCAAACCCAAAAGAATAGAAGAAGAAAAAAGCGGAAGTAAAAACAAACTCAAGGTAGAAAATTATAGCAAGCAGATGTGGCGCGACAAAACTGCTTAACATTGGTAAGAGACACGATGGGGAAGCATGATTATTGGCAGAGAAGCGAACAACGAGGCTAACGCATCATTAGGTAAATGGAGAGAAAATGAGATAAAAAGCCAACATTAAGCCGATTGGTTCGGAAAATAATCAGATTTGTTGTTAAATAATTAAAAGCGAGTACATAATGCCAACAGCGTTGTTTCGCATTAATGTGAATGATAATTGTTCTCACTACATACAATAATTTATAACACATTGTGACAGTTAGTGTACATTAAAATAATTAATAAACTCTTAAATTTGGTTAGATAAACATGTCGACGATATATTCATGAGGTTTAAAACTTACAAGATGCAAATAACTTCCATTTGTCGTCAATAACATGACTTGTTGTCAAGATGAGCTTTATTTTCTTGTTATACTCCTCAAACCCTTGAGATTCGTTTTTTCTTTCGCTTAACAAATATTTACTTTCTCTGTATGTTAACCACATCAGAAAATCTTCAGAGCTGCTTTTTTTTCTTGACAACCTCAAGTAAAGCAAACGAAGCGCTCACAAAGTGGGAGACGGAGAATGTTGATGAATGACATTAAATTCAATCTAATTTTTCATTGCTTTTTATTTTTATTTTTTGCCCTGTCATTGAGTTTTCCCAATGAAACAAAGCTGAGAAATTGATATGATGGTGTCGTGAAAACCGAGAAAGATTTTTCATTTGTAAATGTTTGATGTCGCGATATATACGAAACAGTAAGAAGAAAGACTTGTTGAATGTTATGATATGGTACGAATTGAAAATGAAAAAATAATCGTAAAAGATGAGATAAATTCTTTGGATTTTTATTTCAACAATTTTCATTCGTCTCTTTACCGAAACATTTCTCAAGAAGAAACAGAAAAAAAAATTGAATTTACATCAATTTATGGGGAGAGGGAAGGAGGGTTGCGTGTACGACAACAGCAAATGAGGGAAAAATTGCGTAATGAAGCTTCTCGGCTTTTTATGAGAATTTAATAACATCAGTAAAAAAGTGTGGGGGTTGAATTTAAGCAATATAACTTCACCGCTTGTAGAAAATGGAGAAAAAACTGTCGCGATAAATAGCAATTAATGGGATCATTAAACGTGGAATTAAAAGGCGCACAAAACACCCGCTAAGACAAGTTGAACCGGTGTTTAGCTGAGGGAAATTCACGGATAAGGGAAGAGGAAACATTAAACACAGCAATTAAAAGGCAATAAGTGGAGATTGTGCTTAATCTTGTTTCGTTTGAGAAGCTCCGCACTAATGAGCGCAACGACAGTGAGTTTATCACTGAAGCTTCAGGAAAGAATGAAAACAAGCAAAAGAAAGATAGAAAGAATTTAAAATTTAATCAGATATCTTTTTTATAACGAGAATGAGCACTCAATCCCTCATCATTGATCTGATCATGCAGAAGTCATCATTGCTGAGATGTAATTCGATTTTTTTTTAATTCTCAAGAGTAATATGAATATGGTGAAGAAGAAATCATTTCATCATATACAAAGCTTCTTGAACTTTAATAATTCAAGTCATCGTCTCGCTATTCATCGACTTTTCATCTTTCTTCCAGCAATTTTTTATTCATTTTTTTATCAGATCAACGTTGAAATGGGAAAAAAGATTTTTTCAGAATTTTTTACGATTTTAAGAGTGCTTCAGTACCGACCAAAGTAGAACGTATCTTGAAGGATGATCTAGCCGTCTCAATGGCTTTATTATTTTCTTAATATTTTTACAACCTAAAAGCTCAACAAATGAAATTGTGAAATATTTTTTAGATTGTTTCTTTCTCTCTTCTTCTGTTGTCGTCGTGCTTACAGTAACAATGAAGATTGAGCATAATTTTCTTTGTTTAAGAGACAAAAGCAATTCAACTGTAAAGGTTTATTCATGAAGTGACGGTTAAGAGAAAATGTTAATCAGAAAGAACAGAAAAAAAGAAGAAAAATATTTCATTAAACAAGAATTCGCTCATCTTTTTCCGACTCGCTGCAGTAACCATGAGTTTAATTAAACTCCCATTTAGCATCACCCGTTTAAGAGCTTTTCATCATCGTGCTCTTTCTACGATTTTGCATTTGCTTAAGGCGAAGACACTGGAGAGTATCTCAAAAGTTGGTGGAAATGTCAACAACCATCATTGTACGACTCGAGTAAGCTTCATGGTTTAGGGATCAAAAATAACATCCTTTTCCGTATTTCATTTTTCACCGTACTTCGACTACATACTTCATGGCTCACTGAGGAAGCCACCTCGAATAGGATCAGAAAAAAGCAATTAAAAATGAATAAACTTAAGAGCAGCCCTGTCAACGTTTCTCCTTCTCTCAAGAGCCCTTTGACAATTAAGATCTACAGAATTTAACAGTGAACTCATGAATATCTAAATAAAAAGAAAGCTTAAGCCGACCAAGGCTTGATAAAAAGAATCGCAAGAATGCTACCTAGCAAAGTTTTATTGTTGTCATCTTGTGACTGGGATGAAGAAGATTTTTTCCCTTCTTCAAGAAAACAATAATGTAAATAAAGAGAATAACAGGAAAAAATTTCAAAGTCATGACACGGAAGAGTCATGAAAATGAAGATAATAAAGGCATAAAGTAAAGAAAAGGAGGAAGAGAAAAGAAAGTTGATGAAGAGGCTGAAGAATTGAAGGCAAAGCTAGTAAACTTTTAGAGATATATCAGGTCAAAAGCTCGAAACATAATTCAACGTTCATTTCTCTCCCTCGGAAAACTTTATTACCATTTAACGCCCAATCTTCTTGCTGCCTCAATTTCACAGCTCAAAAGTAACAAAAGAAAAGAATGAAACTTTTAATAGTTGTTGTCTTACCATTCATGCTTCCTTCTCATCATCTCTTCTCCGTGATTGTTTTCAACTCCGTGTCGGCCTGGCACTCAATTTGTCAAGTGTTTATTGTTCTCCATTAGCAGACTTTTTATGATTCTTTTTCTTCTTTGAGAAGTTTTCTTTTCTTCGTCTCTTGAAAAACATTCTCATCATGTTTTCCTCTTGAGCCGGAAAATTTGTGCTTCAGGAAAAACGTCTCAACTCGAGTTTTCCTTCCGATGGATTAAGTTATCGCCAGTTTTGTTCATGAGAAAAATTTTCTTGCCTTTCTGCACGAAGAATTTCTCAAAGTTGTCAACACGGGAAAGAAAGTTGTTCTTGGTTTTGAAATGATCTGGAGATTATTCGCATTTTTCACACATAGAACATTTTTCGGAAATTCTCACGTCACTTTTATCACAGCTTAACATTTTTGTCTGATACTTTAAGGTGAATAAGGAAAAATTCTTTCCTTCTAAACTTTTCCAAAGGCTTCCGGCAATTTTTTTTTATATTTTGTTTGTGCTCGTTTTGTTTTCGTTGATTTTCCCTCGACTATTTTTTTCTTTTAAACATTAAAGATATGTCAAGCGACATAATATCTTTGCAAAAGATATAATTCACTGTCGAGTTTGAAACCAACAATATTTCATAAAATTCTACTTGCAGTTTAATCAAAAACTGAACGAAAAAAAGGTTTATCTGTAACTGACTCAATTCCCTTTATATCAGAAGGAAATGTTGGAAAGCCAAACTTGAACAGCAATCTATCGAGAAGGGAAGAACTTCAAAAAGAAATGAAGTCATGATAAAAAGAAAAAGAATTACTTCCGGTTTCAAGTTTACAAAAGAATTTGAAAAAGTTTAGTTCACCCCATGTTGTCAATGCTTTTTAAAACTTTCCACCAACATAATAGTCATAAGCAAGGAAAAAGTAAGACTTAAATTTAAACAGTGAACTGTTTTGTTGCCAATGTCTCCACATGTATTCGATACTCGACATTTTTAACCTAGTCGTACTATTTTTGTCCATTTTTTCACTTCTAACTAGCTTTTATTTTGTTCCAGTTCGAATGACTTCCAGAGGCATTTTTTGCAATATTTTTTATTTCATTTGTTCATTTGCTGTGGCCTCCACAAATTCAAATGAAATTTATTGTATCGGAATTACTTTTTTTCCTCCCTCCTTGGATATCTTCTTTTTTTACATGTAAATTGCACACAAAGCCATTGGAAAAATAACAGAACGAAAAACTTTAGCTATTGTGAATTGTATTTTCATTTCGAGTGAGGTTGAAAAATCTTTATTCGTTTTTTATTCTATTTGGAAAAAAATCGTTTATATTTTTCCACTGTAATTTGTAATGATAAAAGCAGAACAAGTTTGGAATATATTGAAGGTAGAACTGACTTGTGTTCATATAATTTTGCAATTTCATCTTGTACTGATGATTTCACGTCTGTCGAAAATTTTTATGCACATGATGTTTAAGAAAATGACCAGAAAGTAGACGAATCATGAGCGTATTTTATTATCGTAATTTATACTATTGATTTTTCACTATCAGCAACAACGTCTATAAATTATTTTACAATTATTTCAAACAACAGCAACACAAACTTTCTTTTATTATCCAAATATTCAAACGTACAATAAAAAATAAAGACGAAAATTTTCACGCGACTTAATTTAATAAATGGAAATAACACAGTCGCGAACAATTCATGCCTATAATCTCAAAGAAACTGAATGACAAGATCCTTTACTTCACAAATATCCGATTTTCGTATATCGAAACATTCCCGAAGTGATATCGAAAAGCATGGGGAATGAAGGGGAAATGAAAAGAAAGAGAGCGAAAAAGACGAAAGCTTTCAAAAATTCTCTCTCGAAAGCTCTCCACGCTTGATAAATTTCATTTTCCTCTCATATTTTCATATTTTTCCTTAACTTTTTCTCTTATTTCGTGAAAAGTCCCCTTTCACAAATATTTCGAAATCAAAATCAAAATTGAATAAGAAATCCTTTTTCGCACTTCGCAAATCGTATTTTAGTTCGTTTTGTTACTTGCCGGGACTCACAAGTGCATTTTGTGTGTTCTCGTTTATTCTTCCCCGTCATCTCGTAGAGTGAAAACTAACAGAAAAGTGCATTCCTTAAATTAATAAGTAATCGAATTACAACTTAATAAGAAAAGCAAAAATATAAAAAATAAAAGCAAAAGTATGAAATGAATAAATAATTCAATTCAAGAGTGAGCAAAGATAATCTACGTGTATGATAGAAATATGAAGTGGAAATCAATATAAACATTGAATTGAATGCCTAAGAATACAAAACTGACAATAGGAAAAATTTACTTCACATTTTCCGCACGAGAAATTATTTACTGAAATCAACTTCAGCTACAGAACCCACAGTTACATTTCATTACTATTCATGCTCTCAGTTGTAAATTTTTTTATTGTAATATAAAATTTTCTGTTAGATAAAAATTAAATTAAAAGCTTTGCTTATTATTTAACCTTCTCGTTTGTTTTTTCTTTTCTTTTAATTCCATTTAATTAACGAGCTGATAAAATGAAATGTAAACAAAATTGAAATTGAAAGAAAACTTTAATTAGAATTCACAAAACATTTTCTCCTATAAAGTCGACAATAAACAAATAAATATTTCATGAAAGTCTACAGCATAAATAAAATGCAACTGAATTGCTAAGCCGCCAATAGCAGCTCGTTTTAATTTTGCTTTAGAATCTTTTGTTTAATTTTCAAATTAAATTTTGCGGCATGAATTGTACTGTTGGGCTTTTTAGCCAGTCTCGATTGAGCCTACAGTTCATTTATTATTAAGCCTTCATAAAATTTTATATGGTTGGTAAAAAGAAACTAATTTTCCACCGTTTCATTTAGAAAAAAAATTTCTAAGCCCCTTTTGTTTCTGCATTCACTCATTTAGTCTCCCGCTGTCGAGTGTCGTGTATTCGAACCCTGAAAGTTTACTATTTTCACCTGCAGACTTTTCTATCAAGAAGAGAACAAGGAAAGAAAAGTAGAAAGAATTTTATTGTTATTAGTTTTATTAGCTCGTTTTAGTTGTGGTCAGATTTGCCACTAACTTGCTTTATCGTTTAAATAGATTGCTACCAATAGTTTTGTTCTCCGACTTATTCTTTTCTCAGAACTCTTTTATTCGCATTACTCGTGATTTTAATTTATTTCTGGTCATAAAAACTTGTTTAAGTTGTGATAGAAGCAGTAAAGGGTGACAGAACATAAAAAAGGCGATTTGAAAATGAAAAATAAAACCGAAAAGGAAACTCAAGAGAGGACACAGTTGACTTTTTAATTAGTTGACAATGGGTTGGACACGATTGTCCTTCCACATTAGTGTGTGAATGGTGAAGTGATTTAAAGTGAATATAAAGCTGGATTTGAGAGAAGACTCCACATGTCATTTTAATGTGTTTCTATTCTTTCTATTATTATGATCTATGATTTGCATGTTGCTTTGTTGAACTAAAAATCACGCACTTGTCGTATTTATTTTTGTAATATAGCAATAAAGATTAGCTTGACGAGTCGGCCTGCCCTAACTGAAAAGAAAGAGAAAGAAAGAAAAATTGTCGTTGGGAGGCGAGAAAATTCAATAATAAAAGACGAAAGTAAATGAATGCCGAAAAATATAAAAGTCAATTCAAGAAAGGGCTGATAGCGAAAATATTTCCACTTAAATTGCCCTTTTTTTTTGACGAGCCCCAAGCTGATTTCGAACTTCCCACATTATTAATAGTGCGATGAAACTAAATTTGATTTGAGTTCCCTAGTGGATTGCTTTCAATTAATTTTTTTGTGATGTTTTTGTAGCTTTTTTCTTGATGGTCATTTGATTAGTTTTCCACTACCCAAAGGTGCTCCCGTCCCGCCATTCATGAATATAATATGAAATGAAAATATTTTCATGCTTTTGACCACGAAAATTTCTGTAGACATGAAAAGAAATAGAAAAATAAAACCAAAAAGCGCGTTTGCGAGTTATGTTAATTCGTTTTTTATTAGTTTTAATAACAGAAAAAAAAATCACTTCTCCACGTTATCGCAGTCGGCTGTATGTAAAACTTTTGTGAATGGCAAAAGTAAAACAATTTGCCAACAAAAATTGGACAAGCGAAGAAAATTTTGATGTTTTACTTGAGTCAGAATAAATAAAAATTGCATTTTCATTATTATTGTTGGGTGTGATTAAATGTTAATTTAAACATCAGAATTTCATGATGATCTTGCTTAAGTAAATATTTTTGGAGGCTTTCATAGGAAGCCGAAAACAATCGAAACGGCTACATAAGCTCGACTGTGATAAGACTCACGCGCACTGAAAATATTTTTATTTACTCTTTTTGCTATTGTTGTGTTATAGAACGAAGAATCTTGATTTGTTTCTCCCCAGACTCGCGATCCTACATTTTTATGCTTTCAACTCTTTCGATTTTCATGCGACTTTTCTAGTTTTGAACCAGTCGAGTTATTCTGTATGCAAATACATGTTTCCCTGCTCAATGACCTAAAAATAAACCACAATCTGATCGCTGATTAATCATAATTGTACTTGGAAATTGTAGAAACGAATGAAAATTCTGAAACAACTTTACGTCGCCAATTTTTATCGATTCTCAGTGAGAAGTAAAGAATTTTCCGTTGTTCTTTTTTTAACAATTTTCCGGACTGGTCAAAAATGTTATTGTTGAATTTGAGGGACAAATAATATTCATGGTTGTGTTAATTGATTAACAAGCAAGTCAATAATCAATGAAAGTGTGAAAAGAGGGAAGTGGGAGAGATTGCTCAATGTTATCGGTGGAATTTTTCACGCCCCGATGAGCAATTTTCAGAAGAGAAAAGCACGAGGGAGAAATAAATTTTCACCTTAATGTGCTAATGAAAAAACACTTTTTACACAGCCATTAACACGGAGCAGAACATAACATAACATCAGATATAATAAACGGACACAACAATCATGGGACGATGAATCCCAAAAGAGAGCGAATGAGTGAGTAAGGAAAACGTTAAACGAATCAGTTGAACTTGTTTACATTTATAGCAGTTGATGTGAAGTGAATTTTTCCTTTCGGTCTCGCATTATAATACTTCGACAGACAATCAAGTGAAATGAAAAAAAGATATCTAACAAAAGAAAGAAAAGTCAAATCGAAGGTTCATTTTTCTTCGAGAAAATAATTCATAATTCAATTATTCATAATTCTATCGATTTTTTTTTTTCGTTAACCGAAAAGTTATTTTTAGAACGCAATCCAAAGTTAAAGAAACGAAAAAATAAAAAGAAAAGAAAAAAACGCAAAATGGATGAAAAGACTCGTAAAGACTAAGAAACATATTGAAAGAAGTGCAGAAAGAAAAATATCGAATTTCAATCATCAAGAAAATATAATAATTGGAGAAAACCTCAGAAAGTTTTTCATCAAATTATTTGTTAATGAAACATCATCAAATTTATACCTGAATGGGTCGCATTGGATCGATTGCTTATCATGCGTTTGTGTGGCTGTTTCTCGTACAATTGCACAAATGCAGCGAATTTCCTGAGCGTGAATGTTGCGATCCAATTTATCCGTTGGTTCCTGAACTCGATCCACTTCCACCCGCATTACCGACAACGACAATATCTTCATCATCATCACCTTATGGTGGTGGATCGAGTGCTGGAGTTTTAACAGGGAGATCTGGTAGGTTGAAATTAAGTTATAAAGGATCATGGTGTTCATTCCTCGAGTTTGAAAAGCAAATAAGTAATAAAAAAACTGAAACTTTTTGTTGAGATTAATTCCTCTGGAGATTGCGAACTCCCGTCGAGAGATCTGCTTCTTCTCAGGATATTGAATTTCCATCTAAACCTGAAGTTTTTCTTCTTTGTTCTTCCCATCTAACATCAGTATTAATGGACATTAACTCGATATTGAAACTTGTTTCAAAACTTTTCTCTCTTTATTTCTTCTACTGCTTATTCGTCCGTGTACCTCTTTCAGTTCATAAGAGGGAGAGACGAGGCAAAAAGCGATCGAATGAAGGAAAGTTTGTCGGCATTCGTAAATTACACGATAAATGTGTCTGATAAGCGACTAGATTGTTGTCTCGATTTCGTCTCCACCTCCACGCCGTGGCGAAATAAGAAGCGAAAACTTTTATTTTTTATTGCTTTCAATTATCGTTGGAAAGAAGTGAAGCAAAGCAATAATCGTAATAATGATAAAGGACGAAGTTGAAAGCGATGACAAATCAGCTTTGACAGTCTATTAGAATGAATACAATAACTTCTACTTCCAACCATTAAATCATTATTTTTATTCGACAAAAAGAAGAAAAACAGGAAAAATGTAAAAGAATTTGTTTAACCTTGACCTGACAAACAAATAAATTTTGACTGTATGTCTGCTGTGTATAACCATCGAAAAATAACAACAAGAAAGAAAAATGTCACATGACAATTAACAAAAATAAACAAAAAAAGCTTTTAAAATAAAACCGAATACAATTTCCTTTAAATATTTTATGAAAGTTCATAAAGGAACAATTTTCCTAGCAAGTTCATTTTAAAGTTTTGACGGTAATTGCAGACGAGAAATGTTGGTCATGTTTTTTGTCTGATTTCATGTTTTCGACATTCACCAAAATAAAATAAAGAAAGAAATTTCTCTGCAACCACAACAGAAGAACCACATTGTCAAGTTCAACTTTTTGTTCCATTGTTTTATACTTTTTCCTTCGTCCTTCGACCTCATAAATTTTCTTTGATATTTCGTTTCGCGTAGATCGATTTTCGCTTCCGCCATGCCATCTAAAGTTCATGCTTTGTTTTCTTTCCTAGTTTTATTACAATTTTGATTGAAATGAAAAGGAAGCAAGACATGCTCTTAAAATAAATGCTCGCTTATTTTGAAATTCATGACAGTGTTTATGTGGAAATGAGGGAGAAAGCGAAAGTCCGACAAGCAACATAATAATCGAGAAAAAGTCCATCAAGAAAAGTTTAGCAATTAAATCTTAATGAAAATTGTATGAATCGAAGAAGATTCCTTGTAAGTTGTAAAGCAAGGAAAAAAAGTTTCTTTCTTTATTTCTCCATTCCTCTTCTAGATGAGCATTCAATCGATTTTATTCGTTCGACCCTCGATTTTATTAATAATTTATTAAGTCGCCTTTTTTTTATTCTTTTCTCATGTTTTTCCTTCTCTTTTATTTCATTCCTTTATAGGTCCGAATGTGAAAATAGCCATAGCAATACTTAACTGCATCCTAGCGCGTCAATTATGCTTCGAAGATCCTTCGTGTTCGGCAATACTTGAGATCATACCTCGTGTGTGCGGCCCTGTGCCAGGTGAGTGAACAGAACTAAGCAAAATAAAATAAAATAAAATTATGTAATCGAACATCGGAAAATGTCTTCCATCGAACTCTTATCTCTAAGCATGATTTCGTTCCTTAAAAAAACGATATATTTTACCTCTAACGATTCCTGCGGTTGTCTCCTTCCAAAGCTCTTTGGCTTCACTACACATTGATGATCTAGTTTCCATGAGTTTTACGACGAATTTGCTTTTACGACGCTTCATCATTTTAACATTAACTTATCATAAAGTCATTGAAGTAGCTTTCGATACCGGGTTCACTTTATGCTATTTAAACTTGAGGTTGGGGAGGCTGCTTTGCCTTCAATGTACACTACATTGAGAAAAAAGAAATCAATGAGTCCTGTTAAATTTTTCTTGCTTATGTTTGGATGGAAACCAGTATAGCAAATATGAACCAACAGTTCACTTCAATGAAAGGAAAAGCAAGAAAAATCATCTAAACGAGAACGACAAAAATAAGAGAAAAAGAAAATAAAAAAATGTGAAGCAAGAAAATATAATTTGATAAGGTTAAGAGACTGTAGTAGATACGTACACACGTATCTAATGAATTTACGATTGACACAGAGATAAAAAGCAGAAAAACGAAAATGACACGAGCACTTTCCTTCATTATAAATTAAATTATTGAGTACATAAATATTTATTAGATAATTGATTGAAATTGTCTGATTTTTCCTGATGTCTTTGACCATTAACATCAAGCAGTTCATCAACTCATATCTACCTTGCTTGTTAGTTGCTTAGATTTACCAAACTCTTATAACAAAAATACTTCAATATGTTTGAATTCTTCTTAGAAATTAATAAAACTAGAAAAGAAACTCGAGAAATAAGATAAACTCAACATTTCCTATTTTACATACGAAAGAATTTTCAACAAGTTACTGAAGAGTTGAGGAGAAACAATCTAAGCTTTCAACAAGTTATAAAACTTTTCTAAATAGCTGGGAAGATTAAACTAAATAAAGCTTATTGTTATGTTTATACGAATCCTTGAAACTCATTGAAGAAAATAACTTGAAAACCTAAAACAATCTTAATCAATACCTATGAAAGGAAATTAATGCCTTGGAAATGCTTTCATCTTGTGCTTAACAATAAACAAAAGAGACTTAAGAGCTCAACACACTCGAAACTTTGACGTTTATTTCACACAAAGTCTTTTGTTATAAACTTATGTACAAAGATGCTTTATGCAATCAAGCGTATCAAACATTTTTTCTTTCAACATATTTACTTCAAAAAAACATAAGAAAATCAATGAATAAACAATAAGCGATAATAAACAAAAGCTTTGACTTGTCGTCTCTCTTTTCTGCTTCTTCTTCACTCTTTTTTATCACTCATGAATGAAGGAAAGAAAAATAAAATAAGTAAAGAAAACTGACATAGAAAGCACGTTGTTTACAAGTTTTTCTCTTCACGAATATTCTTTTCCTGATGAAATGTCATTTCACGATGTCATCGACATAATTTATCATTTGTTTATCGGGAAAAAAGCGATTGAAAGAAATTGATGAAAAAGAGCAAAGAAATGACAGAAGTTGCGTTGTCCTTATGTGACTGACATTACATCGATTAATGAAGGCAGCTCAACAATTTTCCGAGTTTCGACCTCAATTTGTTCTGTAAAGGTCTTTGAAGACGATGTTCAAACGCTTTTTATATTTAAAAATCTTCTTTTTTCCAGTTGCCTGCAGCACCGTGACTGTAACGAAATGTCAAGCAGCGCTTCGCACACTGCAGGCTTTTCCTTTCTTTCGGCCGACGTGTCTTTGTAAAGAGCCTGGAGTCGATCCCGACTGCAACTACTTCAAAGACTTTCTCTTCGACCACCCATGCGGATTCGTTCTCAAAAAAGGTAAATAAAGACTTCGATTAAATATTTGATGTTCAATCTGTTTTCGAATGTTCAATTAAAAAGAAATTAGCTTTGTAATTAAGATTTCAACTTCAAATGTCATGTTAATTGAAAGTAAAGTATCCATTATAAATATTTTAGATGTCATGAGAGAAAGTTCTTCTTTTTAAATCAGAATTTATTTATGCGTCTCGACATAAGATTCCTAATTGTTTCTGAAATTAAATTAATGCTCTTTGTTATCGTTACTTATGTTAGTTGTTGAGCAAGCACTCCAATCATTATTCATAATTAGCGCTCTTTACGAATGTCTCAAACCCTCAACTTGATTCGAAGCAAAGGAACGAGAATTGAACTTTCAAGTCAATTTTATTTTCAACTTACAAACTTTTTCGTTTGTTCACACGAAGTCGATGTAATTATACTCAACTTGCAAGTCTTTCTTCTTGTAATTATACTTAATTAGACGTTCCTTATTTATGAACAAGATTTATATCGTGTCTTGAGGCAGTTAATTCATTTTCTTAAAACCGAAAGAAAAAGTTTTAAAAAAAGTTGCTTCAAGGAGAGTCAATGAAGTTTAAAAGTCGCATTTTATAGGATTTGCGTGAATTACGCTTTCATCGCCTCGTTGCTACGAGCAAGAAAGTTGCACAACAATTTCAAAACATGCAACAGAGCTTCAAGGCACAAACAATTGGAATAGAAAAATAGAAAATTGCTCTAATTAAGTAATGCAATCAAACTGCAAAGTTTAGAAAGAATTTTCAATGATAAAAACACAAAAATTCTTCTCATTCTTTTCATTTTCATTATTTCCAGAGAAAGATCCTTATCCAGTTGATGCCTTACCGACGTGCAATCATGCATTATCCGTATGTCAACAGGAGCGAAGATGCATAAAACTCTTCGAAGACTTCAAGACACATTGCAAAGTTCGTGAAAATAAGTGTCGAATGGAAGACAGGTGAGAAACTCACTAAACTACGTAACGTCGTAAACTTTATTTCCATTTTTCGATTACACATCGAGATTGCTTAGCTGACTTTTCAATTAAGGAAACTGACATATTTTTCATTTGAAATCGTGAATAAACTGGAATTCAATTATGTGAAAAATCATTAGAATTTTCTCGCAAGCAAATGTCTAAAATAGTTTCTTTCCTTTATCTTATAATCCACAGAGACGCATGTCATGAAGCGTGGACGAATCTTCGTCTGTCGCCGATGTTTGGCTGCATCTGTCCAAATAATCACATGAAACGAAGATGTGATAAAATATTTAATGTAGTTAATCATAATCCATGTGTCGGTAAGAAAAACTTTGCTCATCACTTAAAGAAAAAAATGGAAAAATCATTGAAAACTCAAAAAAGTTTTCATTGAATTTTAAATTTCTTTTCCAAGCTTTTATTTACGGAAATTTATTCGAAAGTGTTTTTCTTTATTTTTTTTCCTTTCAACAAGTCTTCCTCTCTTTTTGTGATGAAAATTGAAGGAAAATTTTGTTATTCTTTCTCGATTTTCATTCGCTAGTTTTTTATGACCAGTTTTTCTTCTTTCTGTAAGAGTTAACATGACTTGACAATTGTTATCTCATTTCTTATCTTGTTTCATCTTTCTCCATTTTTTTTACCATTCAATTTTTGTTTGTTTTTCCATCGATGGAGAAATTGAAAGATTTTCGTTTTCAATTATTCTTTCTGTCACATTTTTCTTCTTCTAAATAAGTAAATACTTAAATGTTGAAAATCTTTTATGTTTCTCATGTTATGACTTGTAAAAGATGAAATTGTTTTGTAACTGTTATCTTTATCATAAATTTTAGAAGTTCAAGTGACGATTGTTCGTCTTTATCATCAACCATTGCATGATATCACGTGCGTTACATAAAATATCTTTGAAGAAATGTTCCACACTATTAAAATTGTTATTGAAAATTTTCTATTGTTGAGTTTTTCTTTCTGCAATAAAATATTGAATTCCATCTCGAATGTGAAATTAATAGCAATAATTATTCGCCCTCGTCGTAATTTTTATGACCAAAACGTGAAGGTTTTCCTCTTGTTCTGAAGCATCGCTTGTTGGTCTTTGCCTAAATCGAGAACGAGATCGAAGAAACCCCCAAAAGCATTCTTCACACCCGCTGCTAATCGAGATTTAAAGCCTTTCTGTGTAAGAATCTGATCTAAGATTTTCTTTCAAAACACGTTCAAGAATTCATTGAATATTTGAAATCTCTTCAAGGGGATGATAAAGAAGGAAAAACATGTTAAATGGAGAGCTTAACATCAATGTGATTCAGTTTCTCCTTCAAGCGCACAACTTCTAAGCACATTCTGCATCTTCTTTAGATCATCTAATGTTTGCTCATCGGCTTCAACTCTTTCCCTTTCCCATTTCATGATTTCATAACAAGAAAAATTTTCGACAACGCGCTCCAAATAAAACGTGATGCAATGTAAATGCATTTTCTTCCTTTCATTTTACTTTACACATTTTAGGAAAATGAATTTTTTACTGCTTCATAGCTACATCTAAAAATGAATTTTTATTGCACGAGAAACCATAAATATGGAAATTCAATATTGAATTTCGTTTCTCAAATTGCTTAAATTTCACAAAGTTGCGCTTTTTAATGCATAAAGTGTTTTAGTCTTCTCCTCTATCGCTGCCCTTTTGTTCTCTTTTCGCCTACAAGCACGATGAGAAAGCAGCCGAAGCGAACAAGGAAACTTTAAAGATTTATTGCCCTTGAAGAGAATTTTCTTTCCTTATGTTTTTTTTTGTTTTTTGGATAGAGGAGTTGAGACAAACAAGTGAAGTTTGTAACTCGCTACTGCAATTCACAATCTGTTACACGAAGCTTAAGTGGTAGAAAGGAATTTAATCGATTTCCTTAAATTGCATAAACAAAACCAACGAAGCAAGTAAGCGAACGAGGGCGGCGGTTTGAGAAAAAAGCGGGAAGCAAACAGAAAGGAAATGAAAGTGAAGTTTCATGGCACATTTGCAAGAGTTATTTAACTTAATTTAGCAGAAAAATATGTTTAATGAAAGTGCTTAAGAAAGAGAATAAAAACTGTTTTGGAAACTTTGAATGCAAACTCAGACCTTCCGCTCATTCCGTTCGAGTGACGCTTAAATATTCATTAGGTTGTTCAACCAACAACATTGCGATCCCACAGAGAAGAAAATTTCTCGTTAATCGAAAGAAACATTTCCACAGCATTTCGGTGACTCCTAATGACTTTTACCATCATTATTGCAAGAGAGATTTCCAATTCGGTAGACTCAAGTCCTGTGAACGGAAATCTTCACTCCATCCCTCCCCTTTTTTCCCCCCGCAACAACAGGAAAATTTAAATGCAGCTTTTTCCTAAGTATTAGCCGCTTCTCGCTACAACAAAAATTTTAATCGCTTTTCTGTTATCATTTTAAGTTTCTTTTTTATCTTACTTGGCTGTTTCACTTCTTGCCACTGGAGATTGAAGAAGAAGTGAAAACACAGAGTTTTTTGCACTAAATTAAAATCACATTTAAATGAGTTTGTGTTTGTTTTGCAGATGTTCTTCCTTCAGCACTTGATATTTCCTCTGGCACATCAACTAATTCCATTAATGCAAACTATTATCCATCATCCGATTGGATCGGTGAGATTCGTCCCCGATCTCGATACCCTTACACGTTCCCATACTTTCTCTTCCCACCAAATCCTCAAAAATATTCCCAATTTTCTTCCAATAATCCCGAATCGTCTTATGATCTTTATGCACAATACAACCCCAACGGCACTAAGATGCACTTAAGTCGGATTTATAATCACACAATGCACAAATTTCCACAGCACTTTGAGAATGTTAGTGATATTAATGTCAATAGGACTGATGATGCACGCGATGGACGATTACGATTACAAACGCAAAAGGAATTGCTTAGAGATTTCAAAAATATTGGTAAGAAAATTTTTTGTTGCACAATTTCTTCTTTCTTTAACAGCACAATTACACGAAAGCACATAAATGAATATTGCATGTATTTATCTTCACAATTTCACAAAATCACCTTAAAAATAAAAAAAAAGTGAGAGAGAAAGAGGGAGAGAAAGTGAAAGAGAGAAATTCACATGAACAGAGGCGACAATGAAAACTGAAAGGGGTGAAGAACACTTGAAAGAGTTTAAATCGTGAGCTTTCATCTCCAGTGTTCATTTCTTTTCTCTTTCAGCTTTATCTGTTTTGTTTACAAAAGAAGAGTTTTCACTTGCGCCTCTGGACAGAGTGATGTATAACACCCACCCCATTTTTATACTTTTCTCTTATGTTTTGCGTTATTTTGATGAAAGTCGTTCGTTCTCTGTTTTTGCTGTTTGTTTTGCCTCTCGTCATCAAATAAAAGGATTTTCTTTCCATCCATCTCCCCAGTTTTCATCATCAAAAGACCTCAGTTTCAGTTTGTTTTTATGATTTTTTATGTTGTTTCCTTCCCCCTTCCTACAGATTTTTCTTTATTTCATTTTCATCGTTGCTTTTGTTATTTCATATTTCATGATCCATTTAACTACAAAAAGTACCAACAACAACAGCAACAACAAAAGCTTTTCTCGTGAAGCTTCACTTGTTCTCGTCGCATCATGTCTGTCTCTGCTCATTGCTTTCGTTCGTTATCATGCGAGACGAAATAGCAGCAGTTGGATTCACTTTGTTCTTATGTTTATCGATGAATTATCGAAAGACTTGAGTTTGTTAGGTGATTGATCAATGAAAAGCTCTTCTTCTATCCTAAATATTTAATGTTCAATGTAGTGATGTGTATGATGATGTAAGCTGAGAGTTTTTAGATCATTTGGGATATTGTAGATTAGTCTCAAAGGGTGAAGGTAATAAAGCTTTCCAACCCTTTTATATTTTCTTTCTTACTCGGTACAATTATCTAAGCCTTGGTCAGTAAGATCACGACTCACGAGATAATCATGATTTATGGTTATTTTTATGATTTATGAAGTTTATTTGTTAAAGCGAGTTACAATTATTTTTTTTAATGCTACAAATGACGACATTAAATAATAATTTCAACTTTATCACCGATTACAATTTCTTTACGAACATGAACATAATTTAACTTCTTTAAATAATCAAAACTTTAGCTTGTTATATTCAAACTTTCATTCCTCGAAAACAGGCCAACTCTTTCATTTTGTTTTAATTAATTAATTTAAATTAAGCAAAAGAAAGGAAAGCTGCTTGTAATCAAGAACACTTCATTTACTTATTTATACAACTTTTTCAATTCAAACTTCATTTCTTTCTCTCTCTTTTATGTTGGTTGTTTGTACACTTTTTCATGCAATTTATAATGAAAAATCTTCTTGCTTTTCCTCCTTGTTTTCATTTTCTCCCCCACCAACACTTAATCATCATAATTAAAAATGAAATAATTGAGTGTTGTTATTTCGTTTTGATAACAATTGTTTATTTCGTAATAAGATTCTTAAGTTTGTCGTCGTACATAACAAAGAATGAATGAATGACGATTAGAAGGTCTAAAATTAGGAAAATTCTGCTGTCTCCGACTTGATAATGTTAGTTCAACATACACTTGAAACATTTTTAAAGTCACTCATCTGCTGCTAGAAATGTTACACAATAGCTCGCGGTGAAATTCATTTTACAAAGTTCACTTTCTCATAACATTCTCAATTGCAAAAAATAAACAAAGGAAGAGAAGAAAAGTTTTCAATGTTTTGAAGCGATTTTTGAACTTTGAATGAGTTTAAGTAACTTAACAAAAACAAGACAAATTAATAATGATAAATAAATTTAATAAAAAATCGAGTAAAATTTAAAATAAAATCTACAAAATTGTTAGAGAATGTTAGAAGAAAAAAAAAACTTCAACTCCAACTCCCTCCAATTGCAGTCCGCGCCATGGGAATTGATGAAAATTACAGCCGAGCTTTGGACGAGAACATGGCACTGATTGAGTCCCCGTTACTTGCGCCATCCAATTCACATTTTCGTCAACATTATAAAACTGCACTTTATCCATACAACATAACATCACAAATCACACAAGTGAATGGTGGAGGTGGAACTTATGCGACAAATGAACAGGATTTGACCGTTCATGGGAATGGCGATGGACATTTCTACAACGTGGAGAAACAAAGTAGGTATCAACCGCAAAATGTGTCAATGTTAAAGCTACGAGGGATGTGGTTGGGTGATTGGGCGATTCATTAGTAGGGGGAAAAGTTTTCTTCAGATGAAAAATTGGTCAATTCTATAACTAAACAAACAAGATAAAAAAACGAGCAACATGATTTGGTGTTTATTTTGTTGAAAAGTTCGGTACATTTTATGCCTTAGTTTTCACAACAATTAGGAAAGAAAAACAAACATTTATGTTCCGGGGATTATGAAAAGAAATTCTATGAAAAAAACTTTTTTAAATATCTCTGCGCTGCTTGGAATGTTGACTGAGTGCTTTTGTACAACTTACCGCTGTTGCTGCTGCTGCTACTGCTGATGCTGCATAGTCTTTTGCTATGAAGCTCATCAAAATTAGTAAACATCGCATTTATTTAAGTTCAAATGATCTCGAACAACAAAAAATTTAAATTTCGGAATATTCGACGTTGAAATGAAACAAAACCAAAGTATTTGCAATTAATCGGATTCCGTCAACTTTATTTATTTTTTCCTTATTTTTTGCTATTCTTGCAAACTTCCTTTTTTTTCTTCTTTTGCTGTTTAGCGAAACACAAGCAATAAACACATTAAAGCTTTTATTTTATTCTTGATTTTTATTTCTCATTCAAGCATAGTTGAAAAGAATTTAGTTAAAAGCAATTGCTGAAGCTGTAGACAAGTATAATTGCCCACCTTCACTGATTTTTTTTAAAACATCCTAAAGTATTAAACAAATAACGAAAAACATTCAATTCTAGTCAATTCAATCATTTACTGAATTTTCTAAGAATATTTGAAGAAAATTCTTCAATGTTTGTTTTCGTTCCATCGCATAATTCGTCAGGTAGAAATTAAATGTCTCTCGGCTTCTTACAAAGAATCTTCAGAGTGTGATGATGAAAAAGTGAATTTCCACGTTAATAAATTATTCACTAGACGCCGTCGCTTCTCCGAAAGCTTTTTTAACCATATAAAAGAAAGCAAAAAGAGAGAAAGTGGGAATCTGCTTGAAAATGTTTATTTTTACTTATGAATTATTAAGCAGATTCTCATTCCATACCATCATTGTGAATATTTTCCGACGGAAATTGTTTATATTTTGATCTGCTTAATAATCGCAGAATTTATGGACATCGCTTAGAATAAAATGAAAAGCTTCATGATGATCCTTTTTATAATAATGATAGAAATCTTTTTATTATCCCGCTTCTTCAAGTTTTTAGTTTATTGACATGAGCTTTGCTGAAAGCTTATTTCGGGATTTGATAAGCAAAAGTCTAAAGTTTTGACTTTGAAAGCTTAATAAAACAAAGAAATTTTAGCACTGCATTTGAATGACAGATAAACAACGCATTAGCCTCAAATATAGTTCAAGCTAAGCATGATTGAACTTAATATCAATAACATTTCCAATCATCTTTCTATGCGCATCAAAAAATTGATCATAAGATTTGAAATTGATGAAAGAAATCTTCAAGAAAAATATTTTTGTATTTTGTCTGCAAGGGAAATTTGAAATCGTCAAAAGTCTTTTATCCTCAGGTATCTGTTGCAATCGCAATCATAACTTTGACGTCATTTTTTTCTTCATTTTCAATTATTCTCAGACATTATAAGTTTCATTTCATTTCTTTCAATCATAAATTTCAGTTGGGTAATATTTTCGTACATTTTCTTTCCATTTTAAGAAGAAAATTAACCTTTTGATTTTCTTTCTTTTTTCCTTTTCTAAATCATAAATTTTCACAGTTTTTTGAAGCAAATTTATGCATGCAATTAAATGCACTTTTTTCTCACTTTCTTAAATACTTCACCTTTTTACAACTCTTTTATCTCTTTCGCAAACAAAAAAAATTCATATTTATGCGAAGAGATTTTTTATGCTAATTTTCTTCTTTTTTGATATTTTTCCTTTCTGATAATTTTCTTTCCAACACACACCCACACACATTTTCTCGAGATATTTAAATTTCTTTTCTTCTTTCACCTTGCACATTTTAAATCTTACTTTTCTGGAAATAATTCTCTTTACGAAATTGACTTTTTAACACCAAAAATGATAGCCTGAAGAAGAGTAAGTTATGAATTTTCCACTAAGCTTAACAATTCTTCTTCTTTACACAAAAGAGAGAAAAAAAATAAAAGAAAATGTGACTTGTGAAAGTAGGACGAGAGTCGAAAAAGATATTTAGAAGGTAAAGGCACTCACGAGAAGATGAAAAATTATAGTTTCACATCGTGCACCATCACCTTGTCTTGACTTGATGTTCAGGAAGGGGGTGAGAGGTGGGAAGACAGAGAGAAGGCAAACGCCTATGAAAGAATAGATATCTTCATCAACAGTAAAAATCACCTTTCTATTTTACCTTCTTCAAATACTTAGTTACATGTATACAACAATGAGCACCAGTTCAGTTTTGTTCTTTCTTTCTTTTCATTTTTCTTTTATTTTTTTTTTCTACGAAGTATTGGCGTAAACACCTTTTTTGTGATGCAAAATAAAACATGAGAAGAAAAAAAGAAACAGACAAAAGAGATAAGAACCAATTTGATTGAGTGATTAGGTTGATTCTCATTTATCATTTTTTGAACAAAAGGCAAACAAGAGCAGGGAAAAAAAAGATACAGCGGCAAAATGAAAACGAAATCGCTTTTCTTCTATTAAAGAGAAAGACGAGAGGAAATTGCAAGATATTAAGCTGGATGCTGTTAAGCAGAAGAACAATACGAAACAAGAAATATAAAATAAAAGTAAAGACAATAAGAAAACTAGGCTTTACGAGCTGAATTTGATTCATGTCTCGTTGTTGTATTCTCTCAATCTTCCCCAAGGGGATTTGATACCTTTTCTCACTGTGCCGAATGACCAATCTCATCTTCACGACTTCACAAAGATTCGAATATCAAGGGGAAAACATACGAAGTTGTCCAATTTTTTTTCTATCAAGTTCTTGGGGGAAATCCTTCAGAATCAAATGATGATGATGATACTCAAAGAGATTTTGATTGACTTTAAAAATGAAAGAAATGAAAAGAAAACAAAAAAAAAATCTTTTCTCTCTTCAACTTGTTTAGATTCCGACGATATTGAGACTGATCCTGAGTCCCATCCTATACATTTCCAGGTAAGAATTTATATTGATTTTAGATCAATTGATTTGATGTTGATATTCTTGTTTAGAGTACCTGCCATCTAGCTCTCGACTCATGTCGTGATGAGTCGACTTGCTCAAGTTCATTACAAACTGTCATCATGCATTGTGACATTGATCGTTGCAATCGGAATGCATGTATGGAATCACTTCAACATTTCTATCGTGATGATACACACGAAGACATTAATCTTGATGCTGCATTGTGTCTTTGTCGAAAGACACCTTCACGTTACGATTCGTGCATGTTGGCAAAAGAAAAATTACATCCTGTTTGCGCTCAACGACCGCCCGATTCAACATCTACACCAGCATCGAATGGCGCGATTTATAATCCACTGCCGGCATGTCATACTGTAGCGGATTTATGCAAAGAAGATCCCGAGTGTCGGTAAGATGATCGAAATCTACGGTCGACCAACTAACATTAATTACTTTTGTCTTTCTTCTTCCTTTACATTCTTCTTCCCGCAGCTCTCGCTTAGAGATTTATGAACAATCGTGTGCCGTAGATAGCGTAACGAAAAAGTGTGCGGGGAAGACAAACAGCTGTCGAATTGCATTGTTGGGCATCATGGGAACCCCATTGAGAACGCTCTGTGCTTGTCATGGTTCTGATTTGCAACAGCTTTACGAATGTCTCGGATGGCAGAGGCTTTTGTGGTTAAATCCTTGTGTTGGTAAGTTCCAAAGAGTTAAATTAGAAATGAAAGTTTTGTAAATTTTAATCAGAAAACGTAAAATTTATTTTTACTCACTCACAGTTGAATCACAGAAAGATTTTCATGTCAAACGCTTAGCTGAGTTAGGTTTGTTATTCACAACCACGACAACAACAACAACACAAAGAACAACAACAACATCAACGACAAGCACATCAACAACATCGACATCATCACCCATTCGTGTTGTAATTATGGAAAGAGAAAGACTGCAAACTCTTGCACCACTCCCGCCAATACCGGAAATTGTAAGTGAAGTGGAAGAATAAGAAGTGTCATTTATTAATGAGATGATTGTTATCGCTTAGACATACCACCGTCCAATTGAACATGAACACGAACATGAAATCGAATCAAATTATATTGATGGTCAAGATAGTTACATTCCAAGTGAACTCTTTGACAATGACAATAAAGATGAAGAATTTTATGGAGGTGTGACAACAGAAATGCTTGAAATGGAAATGACAACTCACATGTCGACGACAACGACAGTTGAAACCACGACCATTCCGATCAGTGAGTGTGAAATTGGAAATTTTTTGAATGTTCATGTTCTAATTTTGTGATTTTCATTTGACCAGGATATTGCGTCGTTCAAAGACCACACACAGTTGAGCAGTACATTGCTGAAGGGAAGAGTCGTAGAGTGAGTTGCAATTAAATTTACAAAAAATCATTTTGAGATTATTTAGGGATGTCGATGCATATTTTCAACAATTAATTGAAAAACTTTCAAATAACATCACGAGAATAATATATTTTTCCAGATGAAAAAATTACAAAAAAAACATTCCAGGTTTATATTATTGCGGGCAGAAAATTGCGGAACGATTTTTAAAATTTTAACCGTTAAAAATTAAATGCGTGACAAAATATTTTGCAAATTTTAATTTTAATTACGAAATGTCATAAGAAGTGAAAATATAATGTATTTAGCATTATAATTTATTATCTTAATCATTAAATCATGAAGAATTTAATTTTAATAACATAAGATTAAATTCTTACTTTGATATTTATAACGGTAAAAATTTCAAATATATCCGCAATTTTCTGGCATGGAATAATTTTTCCGCAATAATCTGGTTGTGGAATAGTTTATTTCCGGAAATATATATTCTTCTCGTTTTTTTAAACTTCACTTGAATTTGAGTTGAACCTTTCAAAATGACCAGAATTTCGTTTTATTTCACAGTTTTCTTGTGCATTTATGGTAAGGAATATAATTTTTGATGGCATGATATGAAAGTTTTGTATTCCTTTAGCTCTTGCCATCATCGGCTTGGTAAATGCTGGAGGTGATGTGCCTTCTTCTAAACCAGAATGTGGACTTGTTTCCCTACCTTGTGCAACGCTTAATTGCCCAGAAGGTGTCGAAAAGATTTATGAAGGTGCCGGATTCTGCTGTTGTTACTTTTAATTTGGTCACTTCAGCTGAACAGTTCTGTTAAAAAGTTGTTTTGTTCTCCAAGGTTAAAATCAATAAATAAATCTAACAATGATGATTTAAGTTTCGTCTTAACTTATCAATTTAACTGTAAATTACAAAAAAGAAATACCTAAATAAACATTACAACTTGTGAGCTTTAACAAATCTTTTAGTACCTATAGAAACAATTTTATTTTTGTATTGTGAGTTCTTCTTCGACTTCCACCTATACTTTGTTTATTAAATATCTACAATATTTATCTAATCACTTCCTAATAGGTTAGCGATAAGATTGTTTTGTTTTCTTTTTTTTATCAGAAGTTAGTTGTTTTCTGTAATTTGTCGAATTCAGACCGTACTCGTGAAAATTAATTAAACAAATATTAAAATGGTAACNATGCATATTTTCAACAATTAATTGAAAAACTTTCAAATAACATCACAGCAAAATTATTTGTCAATCAACAACTCTAAATTTTAATTAAACAAATTAATAAAATTCTTTCTCTCATGAAGCTTTACATTATGGATGATCAAGAGTGCAGCGAATTATGTTCATGCGGTTTGGAAACTCTGGCGCTTTCATGTCACGCACTTTGTGTAAGTTCAAGCAGTGTAATTAATGAAGCAATTGAATGAATCATAAACGATTTTTATTCTAAAGGTGCCACTTGTTCCATGCCGTACTTCGCTAGCTTATTACAGTCATGCAGCGCCAGCTTATCAAGCGTTTCGAGGTCGTTGTTTGTGCTACTCAGGACGCTTTATTTGCATGCGACCACCACCTGGCGAGTACAAGGTAAGTGAAGAAACGTTACAGCAATTACTTAACCTTTCTAAATCTTCACTTAAAATTCCTTTTCTGCTCTCATTTCTCAAACTTGACTTTTAATTTTTAATGAAAAATTTTCCAACGTTCAATGTCGGTCGATTCAAATGGAATTCGATAGCTGCCTGGTGGAATATTTTTGTTACTCGGCTATAGCTCGACCGATGAAGCATTATTACGCCCTCATACAAATCTTGGCGTTCAGGATGCTGTAAGAGCGCTTCAACAATACGTCGTTCAGCACATTAATAATCAAGTGAGTTTGCTTTCGATTTTCCGTCTTCTTATTTTCCCATCACATCGAGACAAGATAAAATAAATAAAAAACGATTTTTCTCTGTTATCCACAGACAATGTGCACGCTTTCCTTGTTTAACATTACTGACGAAAATATAATTTTATCGGTTCGACTTCCATTCGATCAAAAAATGTCCGCGATTGAGATGCTGCGAAAAGAGAAGGTAATTTGGACTTAATGTCGAAGATATATTTAGCAATGCATGTCATGTAATAAATCGAAAAAAAGAATGAAGAAAAAGAAGAGAAAGAAAATCAATCTAATATTTATTTCTAACAATCATTCATTTATTCAGCAACATTGTACATCAATTTTGGAAACGATAAGTCATCATATCAATACAGAATACGATGAATTGTCAGCCCATCGACTTTTGAGTATTTTTAAAATGGCAGAAGTTCAGATAATTTGGCCGGAGGTGAATGCAGCAGCAGGTCCAAAGAACGTTATGGGAATTTCACTTATCTTTACTGTCTTCATGACAGTTTATATTAACTGTCGATGGCACAGTTATCGATTGGATCAAACGTGACGTTAAATTCAAAATTCATTTCCGCTTCTTGTCAAAAACCTTTTTTTATTTTTAAACAAAATATTTTTACGTAATTTTGATATCGAAACATGGAAAAGCAATTTATAGTTAAAGTGAAACATATTTCTTAAATGAGAACTGACATAAAGGTCGAGTTGAACAAAAGCGTAGATGTTTTGGTTGGGGTGAAGAAGTGAAAGGAAGAATTGTCAAAATCTTCAACACTCCAACTGCGTCTTCGAAAGCGATTTGAAAATTTTTTTCAACAAAAAACTTTCTGAATAAATATTCATTAACGCATTGTTTCTTATTCTTCTTGTTATTTCGGTTAAATTTTTATTTCACAAGCACAAGAAGAAATTTTTTCAAAGATGCCAAAGAGAGAAAAATCACTTTTTTATTTCGTTTTCTTCTTCACAAAGTTCAACGCTAATGTTGCGACTAAAATTGTCATCGTTTGTTTAGCGACCGCAAAGAAAAACGAAAAAGAAAACATTCAAAAAGAAAAATTTCTTTTTCATTGCTCAAGAAAAGGAAAAATAAATATTTTCTCTCGTTGCCGTTTCATAAAATATTTAGGAATCATTCATGAGTGAAAATAGAAAACTCTCAATGCGCGCTTTATGGCGGAAAGTGAAAAAAGGGTTTTAAGTGGACGGGAAAAGTCACAAAAGCGTGAAAATGAATGTAAGAAAATTAAGGGAAAGTTTTTTTTCCGCTATAAGTTGTAAGAATTTCCTCAGGATATTCAAAAAGTTTTCTTTCTTGTTGTAAAGGACAAAACGAGTCATTTAACTTTGAAGCTTGGAAAATAATTATCAAAGACTGAGAATAGGACAGAAAAGCTTCATTTCTCTTATGTTGATGACGAGTGGTGCTTAAAAACAATGAAAGGAAAATTCTCTGGAAAATCTTTGGGGATCGAATCAAAGCGAAATTATTGTCCATCGTAAAGAAAAGAAAAACTGATAGCAAATGGTCATGTCCTCGAACGAAAATGTTGAATTAACTTCAAAATTATATAAAGAACTATGTCTTCTGCTAAAATACATATCAAAGCATATTTATACAGAAATGGTTTTAACATATTTAAGATATATCTCTCTCACTCACCCACTTTCTCTTTTTTGAAGGAAAAACTTACATTTTTAATACATTTTTTAAAAATATATTTGTTCTTAAAAATATGTATAAACAACAAACGGTTTTACTTTCAGAGACATAAGAAAAAGCATTAAAAAGATATAAATTGAATAGACTCTTTCACCCATTTTATGGTAGATGATATGATGAGAAACCACATCATCTTAATACGACTAAGATGCACACAACATATGAACACACTCAAAATAACATACATATCCGAATAAAGTAACAAGGACACATTAAACACATATGCCGCATAATTTATGTTAGTTGAAAGAAAAAAAAGAAAAAATGTAACACAACATAATATTCATAAATATGTTTCCCAAAAGAATTTCCCAGAAAAGCGTAATGATAAAGCATTAATCGGAAAGTAATTTCTTTTTCCATGTTGGCTCTGTTCATAGCGTCGCCATTTAATTTCACTGGGACAAAGAATGGACAAAGAATCATTTCTGAATGGAAACACCAAAAATTAGTAAAGAAATCTATTACTGAAACAACTGGTCATGGCACAATAAATAAACTCATTAAAAAGTAGTTGAATGCACATTGAACCTCAACTTGTATTGGTTATGATTTCTCTCACTTCATATAACAAAATTAGCTTTGAGTAAAATATTTAAAATATTCAAATGAAAATCATCATTCGAATTCATGAAGTTTCAAAAGTTTCACGAGATTTTTTTTTAAAAAATCACAATCATGAAAAATAAAAATGTCTTCCTGAACAAACAAGTAAAATTATATTATCGAAAATATAAAATAATAGTTGAATATTAAGGTAGTTATGACGTATCTTTGTACATACATAGAATCAATGGTTGATGAGTATTTAAAGAAAAATTATAATAAACAATTTATGAACAATAAAATTGAAAAGGAAAAGAAGTTGAATGAAACATGATTATAGCGTAATTAATACATAATCGTTGTTAAATATGAAACAATGTGGAGTTGTTTAAAAAAATCCTCCCCTGCTAAATAAATAATTAATTGAGCTCTATCGTTTTGTGCATGTAAATATCTACTTTCCTCAAATCTGCTAAATATTTAATTCTTCCGTTGTTTTCTCTGAATATCTGCTCGTTCGATATATTTAATATTGTTGAATAACAATAGAAAAAAACAAAACGAAATATTTCCAAACAATTGTTAAACATGACATGAAATTTTTAAAACACGAAAATTACCTAACAACAAGTTTGTTTATTGTTCATTTCTATCAGAATATTATTGAAAGCTTCAATCTTAATTATAATGATTTTAAACTACATGTAGATACTTATTTCGTTAAACGAAAGTGGTTTAATTTATTCACAAGAAAATTAATGAAATTTAAAATTTGTGTTCATTATAATTGAGATGATTGAAATGATGGCAAAGAAAAAGAAAATCTAAACTTTTGATTTCATAAATTAAAATCATCTGCCATTCTTCACATCACAGGTGCGTGCTATTTACTAGGTTTTTATCATAATGAATACAGTTAATTATAATAATTGATATCGATTTGTTTATAATAATAATAATAAACCATAATAATAAGAAACAATAATGTAAAGCGTTGTCCACAAATAAATAAAATAAATGAAAAAGTAATAAGATGAAAATTTAAAGTGAATTTAATTAGTTGTATGACTTTTCTTTCAGATTTTCTTTTAAAGATTTTCCTGTGGAAATTCACCTCAAACCTTATCCGCTTCCTGCTTTTCATCTTGTCAGTTGTGCTTTACGTTATTAGATTTTTGTTTATTCTTTCCCCATCTTACACGTTACTTCAATTTCCTCATTACGTCATGCCCAGATACTTTTTTCCTTATGTCTAGAATTTTTCCTTCCATTGAATCATCATGAGAGTGATGTGAAATGAAAAGAGCGATGGATAACAAGACAGCAAATTTTATCGATTGTTGGACAACTTAATAAAGCAAATAAGGAAAATGTTTTGCTAGTTCTTCCGTTCTTGATTCCTATTCTACTTATAAACGTCATCGAGAGTTGAGAGGGAAATCTAATGGAATGAGATGAACAATAAGTTGATCACTTGAAGCTTATTGTGAGCTTGAAGTCTTCTGTTCGTAGTCAAGTTATTTATTTTTTTCATTCTTTTTCATCTTTCGATTGAGGAACCGTCAATTAAAGATAAGGTCGATAAATTTCAATCAAGAGGGAACGTTGTTACCACCACACCACCCTGATAACCAATTTCACGCCAATAAAAAAACTTATTTTCACTTCATATTCATTTATTTTCGAAAATAAAGAAGAAAATTGTTCCGTTAAGTGTGTTGTAATGACAGCTGCTAATATTTCCCATGTTTTGTTCCTTTGGATCCTACTCACGAATCATATTATGAAAATTATCATAAATGAAGGATGACGCGTCGAATTCAATTAATTCAACGAAAAAGAACTTGCGGAAGTTCTCGCAAGAGTCAAAATTAAAAGGAAAAGAAGTAAAATGTGATATGCTTTTCAAAGTGAGTGCTTTAAAATATGTATGACGTGTCAGCCTTAATTCAAATTTAACAAAACTGACATTCACATAATTGTTCACATTGAAAAATTTATTTTACCTCATTTGTTTCACATCAGTCAATTTTCATCAACTTTACTTCTTATCGATTACCTTTTTTTCCTTCTTCTATTCTACTTTTCCCTTCCTTACCTTGCGCATCGTATTTTCACGAGGTATATTTATTTTCATTGTATCATGGAAAAAGAGAACCTTGATGGGAATATGTATGTAGATATACGATTGTTATTTTTAGAGTCTTTTTATTTAATTTTCATACGTATATGTAGCGACGTCATTCAACATCTACTTCTACTTTTATATTTCTTGACTGACATTCTCTTGAGTATTGAAGTTGAATCACAGGTGGAAAGACTTTCATTCATCTGAATATGTTGATACAAATGTTGCTTATGGGCACGGAATGGACGAAATATGATAAAAGATGTTCTCCAGACTGTTGTCATCAATATTCAATATAAACTCAATAAAAGTTGATGACAAATTTGTTGAATGTTTGATTGTTATTCGGATTGGGAAGGAGTGTAAACAAACAAAATAGTAACCGATTTAACATTTTGTCATTTTGTTTTACTAGACAGAATCATATACATAAATGAAGTTTGTATATTTTATGTCTATGACGATAACAGAGGTCAAAGATTCTTTCAGCTTTCTGTTGTTTACATGATTCATATTACATATTAATCAAGTGCGATTAAGGAAGTTCAATCCTCTCTCTTTCAACCAATTATAAGAGTTATGAAAAATTCAAAGATCCCTGCATAAAGTTGATTGTTTGCCACTTTGGTTCAGAATTTAAAGCTTTATGAACTTTTGAAATTACTTTGAATTGAAAAATCCTAAACTTTCAATGATCCAAACAATCATAAAACGATGACGACACGCATAATGTGAAATAAAAACATGTTTGAGAACAATAAAAAAGCAATTCACGACCGGGTTGTGAGTGCGTTTACGATGCCACTCCGAGATGGGCCGTGAAAAGCTATCACAGAAGATTTACAGTCAGCAAAAAAATGATTAATTTTGTTTCCAGTGTTATGTGCTTTGGCTTTTGGAAATGTTGCCAATTTGAAGTGCGAACGAAAACTGCATGTTTTTTAAATTTGTGGCTCGGCTTGAGGAAGATAAATATAAATGTTTCATGAAGATAAAACTCACATTGATAACTTAATTTCACGTTTGATGGATTTCTGGTTTTTTATATGAAACATTTAAAATATTCAGTGTTGTATTGATGTCAATAAAGCGCGAGTAAATGAACACGTTTGGAATGACACGCTACAACTCATTTTATTGTCATTTGCCTTCAACAATTCACTGCCTCAAACAATTCAAAATTCATTGTAAAAAAATTGTTTTCATGAATATAAAGTGGAATATTTTTGAGGTTTACAACGACCCTCGATGGTTAAAAAATAAACTTTTTTAAGAAGGTGCGACGCGACATTGTTGGAGATAACCATTAGAAAATAAAAACGAAGACACAAACAGGAGACTTGACAATGAACTCCTCCACCTCCAACGTCTGCAAGCTTCTTTTGTGTATTGAAGGTTCAAACTTTTGTAAGGTAAACTGCTTCTACCGAAAGAGACGCAAATTGAGAGTTTACACAATGTTTTCAAATTCTTCTTTTTATTGCTTACTTCGTGTCACCCTTTACCGATCCCCATTCAAGTTAATTAATTTGTGTCGCTTCTTTGCAAACCTACTTCTTGGATATAATTAACGAAGAACTTTCATTCTTTTGAAAGCATAAAACATGAAGCACGAAGAGATTAAGACACCGTGTCGTCGGGACTTTGTAAGAGCTCAAGAAAGAAATTTTAATTAATTAAAAAAGTAAACAAGGTTCATTCTTTATCTACCTCAATGTTCCACTTCTTTCCTTTCCTTTCTTCTCAAATCATATTGAATTGTAAAATGAAGAAAAGAACAAGGTAACACCATGTTTTCCTTGCTTGTAAGCTACTTTTTCCCTATCGTGTTCCCCTTTTCTCCCTGCTTTAGTTTTCCACTTTTTCGCTTTCAAATTTTACGAAAACTCGCTCGCTCTTCACAAGAGATTTCATAAAACTTTTTGTGTATCTAACCTTATTCTTTTCCCCGTTCTTTAGAAAAAAACTTTCACCTTTAATTAACATGAATATCTTAAAAGGAAGTGAGATGATTTCGTGACCTTCAAAGTTTGTTTCTCTTCTTTAAACTTTTGAAAGAAAAGCAAAATCAAATTTGAAAGGGAATTTGGATAACCTTTCGTGGTGCTATTAAATCATTCATAATTGGACTCGGATAAGATGAATAAAAAAGTGAAATTGTGTGAAAAAAAAATACAAAAATTCACAGTCAAGAAGAAAGGTAGAAAGAAAAATTTATTTAGTTAGGATTTATGTTTTTCCTGCTTCGTTCGATGATAAATGGCTCATCTCCATTTTCTGCACATTTTTTTCGCTGGCCTTTCAATGGATGACCGAAAAAGAAGAAAAAAAATACTGAAGAGGGTGAAAGAGAAGAATCAAAATTTCTTCCAAAGTTATGATCTGAGAAGAATGAGAACATTTCAAGAAAATTTCATTTTGATGGATAATAAAAAGCGAATCCATTGGCTTATCTGGATTTACAGTTGATTGTACTTGATCGTGGTATGTCAATGAGATGATGTTCAACAATTTCATATCTGTTTACCATAATTAGATTTTATTTTATGATCAAAGAATTATTTCTTAACCAGAGGTCAGTTATCATCAATCACAATTAAGATGAGAAAAAAGTTAGTAAAGAAAGTCTTTCTACAGTCTGGGTCATCGAGTAAATTGGGCAGAGAAGAAACGAAAGAAGGGAAGTCTTGATTTATAGCTTCTTTTTTCTTTACGTTTCTTTTTTCAGTTGCGTGCGGGAGTTTTCGTGCAAAATTTATGGAAAAATTATTTCAAAATTCTCAACAATCGCTGATCATTTTGTTTTAATGAAATAGGAAGTTTTCGGATTTGTTGAGAGTCTGCAACAAACAATAAATTTTCTCGAGAATTTCTCGTGACTAGCAAAACTAATATACACGTCTTTTCTCACACCCTTCGAAATTTGTTTCAATTAAACCATTAAGTCGATAACTCAAACTAACTGTCAGTTATGACGATGAGCATATGGCGGAAAGCTTTCAAAATAAAAATTTATTGATGTTGTTACATAGTTTTCACTTTTCGGTGTAGTTACTCATAGAAAGTGAGAAGAAATATTTTTTCCTACTATACATTGTTTATAGCTACTTATTTGTTAACACGAAATCATTATCATGTGATTATTAAGTTTCTAGTGGAATTACCTACTCTTTCCAATACAATTAAAATCAACATTCCTGTGAAAATATTTTTAATAAACTGTTTGAAAATCTCATTAAAATATAATTTTCGAATTTTTAAAATCCAATTTTCATTTCATATTAGATTTTAACAAGTTCCTAGTAAACTGAAATACTGCTTAAGTTCTCTTTTATTTTTAGGAGATTTTGAGCAGACGAAATAAAATTAAAACGAAGAGCTTTTATTCACAAGAGCTTTCAATGATGGTTTATGTCTTGGCTATGAAAGGATATTAAGAGACAGCACCTTATGTGCTTCAGAGCTCTTTAACTGTTATAAGGTTTTCTTTTTAAAATTTTAATCTAACTGATTCATTATTAAAAAAATGAAATTAGAATTAGAAATGTTAAAATATGAACTAAATAACTAAAAAACTGTATCTAACAAGCAAACAAATATTGTAATTATTATACAACAGTTAAATAAAAAAAAGTTGATGAACTTTTCACTCGGCAATAAAAATTTTATTTGAGAAATTTCCAATACATTTTCAAATATCGACTCGACAGTCATGATTCTGGTAGTTTAAATGACTTTTTCGTGTTAATTTGACTTCATCGCGAATATAACAGACCTGAAGTCATCCAAAGCTTGCGTTTCCTTTTCCTTATCAATTGTCTTATTGAATACAATGGCAGGAACTCCACCAAGTTCGCTGACAGGCTTTTCTGATAATATTTCATATTCAAGTTGAAGTTTAATTCCTTCAGGTCCATTCATACATTCTTCTATTGCGTCACCATCCAGTTGCAAGCTTGAAATGCATTCTTGGATAGTGGAAACAGTGGTCATTGCACAAAAAACGATTGCCACTCTTTCATCTTGTGTTTTAGCATTGTTTAACGCACAAGTTTGGAACATATTTCCCTCACACTTATCAAAGAATAATTAATTAATTTTTCTTTTTCTTTAAAAAGATTATTCTTACCTCGTTTGGCCCATGTTGACATGTAAATGTAATACTTCCGTCAGCATTAATCACACTCTGCCATCAGAAATCAAAATTAAAATTGATTGGAATTTTCGTTCCTAATAAACTTACTTCTGAATGTCCAAAAGGATAAAAATGCAATACGATGAAATCTTTTATTTCTTCGTAATTTGGTTCAAGTTGCTCCCTTATAAATTTTTTTGAGTATGGACAATTATTTTCATAGTAAATGTCTACTATTATTCTACCTGTCGACACGGAAAATTTCACAAAAGAAGTGCAAAATATTGCTAATGCAACAAAAATGTGATCAGTGATTTTCATATTTTTTACGTTTACTTAGCGTTGATGAGCAAAAGTTACAACTCTAACAGAATTTAAATGAATATGTTAACCGCCGAGGGAATTTGCTCCCTTTTTATACTTTTTTATTCGTTTTGAGTTAAAAAACGTGCCATTGTAGTCATGAAATTTAGTTGGAATTAAGTTGATAGTTAACCGAACGATAAAAATAAGTTATGAAACTTTGAATAATTTGACCTTTGCTATTAGTTTATAGATGGCGTTAAGTTCAATTATTAAAGGGCTGGTTTTTTAAATTGCAAAGTTCAGTTAAAAAAGCCTGTAATATGTCAATTTCTATTTATAAAAGACATTATTTTATGTTCTTATGAAAATTAAGTCAATCTCTATATCATTCAGACCTTTTGCAATTAAATTTGAAATTTGTCATTTCTTGTACCATCAAAGCTGACATTCTTCAATGAAAATTTTAAGAACTTTTGTGTCGTGTAAAAGTCACCCACGCATGTAGCTACTTATGCCTCACTTGTCATTTAAGCTTTTTCTTTTCTTTTATTTTTGGGGCGTGGGAGGTTGAACAACTCATCGAAATAAAAGTGATAGTAAAAGTGATAAAAGAAGGGTTGAGCTCATTCAGAACTCATTGACATTTCTTTGTTATCTTATAATAGAATCAAGTAATCGACTGTAATATGTTCATTGTTCCCTAAATTCGATATGTCACGAAACGTTGTTATTTAAAACGAAGAAAGACAAGAAAGGAGTTCGCGAGTTGTCATAAGATTGTTGTCGAAAACATGTGTTCTACCTATAAAAAGATATTTATGCATCGTCAATAACCAACTGAACTGAATCCCTGCTACTAATAATAATAAAATAAGTAGTTAAGGGTAGGAAAAAATTATCATATCGGTTGTTACTTTCATTATTTGCTAGCATTTCATTCAAAAAGTATCTTAAGTTAATTTGCTTTTATTTGATGTTTATTTGTTGAATGAATTTTCATTTCATTGAACAAATATCGAATAAAAATAATCCAAATTTCCCTTACCTTTAGGATACAAATTTTCAAGTCTCGAATTGTAAGAAATTCTTTTTCTTCCCCCGACTTTTCTAATCACAATCGCGTTACATTCACGTATTTACTCCCTCCATACATCTTATTATCACATATCGCCTCTTTAAGTCCCTGCTCGTGAATCATAATCAAAATTTCATTACATCGAACAACAGAAACGAAGAAAAAAAATTCATTGATTATCAATTTATATCACATACCTACAGAGAGATGCGTGATGTTCTTGTGGAGTAATTTTCGACGAGTTCGCAAAGGGAGAAGATGATAATAAACTCTCAAGTACAACATAAAGGTACTTCGACGTCAACTTCCTGATCTGAAGCACATTCTAATGCATGAGTTTTCTTTGCCTCTCCTTTTATTTCGATGTGATGAAGATTTCTAAATCACATGAATGCGAATAAGAAGAAAACATTTTCTTCGGATACGCTTCTTTCTTCCTCCTTTGATTAAATTATAAACCTCGCGAGTGTGGAATATGTTTCAAGTATACGAACTCAAGTGAGACGATAATGTGATAATGATGATGAAATATGGGTTAAAATATTTCCACAGCAGTAACAACATCACCAGCAGCAGCAGCAGCAGTAGTAGCTAAGAGAAAAAGCAGAAGAGAATTTTCACTTTCTAAATGTTAATAAATGGTGGAATATGTTTACAGTGAAATGTATGCTACACACTTCCACCCCGCAATCTTTTTCCGTTGTTGAAGTTTAACATAACATATTACTTGCTCCCCTCCCCCAACCTTTTCTTCCCATCGAGAGTTAAGATAAAGAAATGTAAAAATCTGCTGAAAAGTGAAAGTGAAAATTCGCGTAAATTATTTTACGCTTTTCTCGTCGGATGTTCATTTTTTTTCTTTTTACTTGTGAAAATCTGTTAAATATTGAGAATATATGTTGGGTTTAAAACATAAGTTTTTATCAGCAAACATTACGGAGATTTTCCATACGTTTTCACCTGCTTCATTATGTATGGAAATTTAATATTTTCCTTCTTCCCACATTCGTACTTTTCAAGTTTTTTTTTCCATCTTCGACATGTAAGTTCGGATTTCCTCAATTTAAAAAAGGCAGATAGAAAATGATATTTGACTACGAGACTTTTAAAGCTGTGAAGAGTGAGAATCGACAGCATGCAAACGAGTCTATACGAGGGAAATTCTTTAACGAGGATTTTCCCGTAGATTTTCCTTATCTATTCGAATGCATAATTTTCCAATATTCAAATGTTATTGTTATGTGCTTGATTATTATGTTTCAATGGGAATTCGAGAATATCTACATGATTTTACATTCGCTTTGCTTGCGTCTCTTAAGTACGTGATAATAATTTCATTAGTAACATGCACGCACATTTGAATAGGAAGAAGAAAAGGTGAAAGAAGAAAGGAAAATTTCCAAAGGCAATTTTCGGTTGTAAGAAAAGTCGCGAGTTTTACTTATCGTGTTTTGGGTCAAAAATTAGGAAATTACATATTCGTTGCATTACCTTAAGCACATAAGTATATGGCACATATTCGTCCTTTAAAGAAGGTGGAAAGCAAACGGAAAAATATGGAAATCACTTGCGAGAACGGAAATCAGATCACATTTCCATAAGAATTAAATTATATTCATCAAATAAGGTTTTTTTGTGCTTTCGCACATGTTAATGGTGAGTAGACGAAAGCGAATCAATAAAATGAAAAGCAAAAAAGATTTTGAGACAAGGTGAATGAGTGAGAAAAGAGTGAGAAAGTGGTTAAAAGGTGACCGAAAAGGGTGTCATTAAACATTTTCCTTATCATACTTACATGTTAAAATTATGTGGGTTATAAATGGTAATTGGAAAACATGGCAGCATCGACGTAAATGCACACGCATAGCATTACAAATTACTAAAGAACTCACGCGAGAAAACGATTTGAAAGGTAAGAAATAAAAATAACTGACATGAATTGTTTTGCCACTGAGCTTCGTTTCGACTGCTGTTTGTTCAGACTTCATCATAACTCACTTCGGGAATGTCTGCACAAAGCCAGAAGCCACCGGAAACCCGCCACATCAATAACCATAATTCAATCAAAACAGAAGAAATGAAGAAGCAATAACATCTTCCACAAATATTATATTTAACCGCAAGGCATTTTAACATCAAAAAGAAATGAAATGATCGTGAAAGATAATGCGATATAAACATGATGTTTATTATTCTGTTTAATGATGTTTCCTCTTACACGTTGGTTTCCTTTTTTGGCTGCTTAAGTAAGATATTTGGGGCTGTTTTGGGGGTGATTTCTTCTTTGAAAAGCGAGAAAAATTTTATATTCTCTTAATGAAAAGAGTCCGAAATAACATTATTGAGTCATTTGATTCTTTTTCCCCTTAAAGACTTTAATTTTAATGCTTCGACTCTGGAGGATGTTTGAATATTTCAAAGCTTTTAGCAACATAAATATCTTCTTCAACATTTTCATTTTAAGATCACGCAGAGAGAAAGTTTTAATTAGAATTTTAATGTTGAAACAAAAGTTTCTTTAAGAAAATATGAAAATTTATTTTACAAGTTGACCTCGTGAGTTTTGATCGTTCATTTAAAAAAGTTAATCGAAGTCATAAATACATGGAAAGTTTTTATACAATTTCATGAATCTTTATATTGTTTCATGCTGATGTCATGTTTGAAAATCCTTTAGTAATAAAAATAAACGTAATGCATGAAAAACTAAGCGTCATCATGCGAATTTTCAATTAAAAAACTGAAAGAATAATGAAATAATTCAAGCAAAGCATAAAATATTTCGGAGACATGATGATTTAATTTTTTATTCATAAAAATTTGAATTGTTGAAAGATAAAGCAAACAATGAACGAACGAAAAACGAATGAAAATATCTCAAGAGCATAATTATGATTATTCATTATTAATATTACACAACGACATAGCCAACATAGCTTAAGCATAAATAAATAAAATCTCATTGAGTTATCAACGTTCATTGAGAAAAAGAAAATTAAAATGTTTTGTTTAAAATATTCAACGAAACCACATCAACAGTAAACGTCGTTGGAAAATATTTTACACAATATTTTCCATTAAACTATGTTGCTAATAGCATAATCAATTTCACAAATTAACACAACAAAAGCTATCAAAACAACACATTAAGTACTCATGAAAACCTTTCCGTTTTCAAATGTCCCATGGTCATCTTCCCTGCAATTGACTTTTCACAGCTTTTAAATGCCCGAACCACTCATTGTTTCATTTGTTGACCCTTCCAAGCCTTCAACTACAATTTCATGTAATGAATGCTCGCTTTGTAATCAATTTGTTCACTTTTAACAACGATAATCTGGCAAATTGCTGGCCACAACATGTGAACAATTGTAAATTGACCCTTAGGGGACTGGACTCAAGTGAAGAGAGAGTAAAAAAGGGTTTTGTGATGACTTTAATGACCACTCGCTAATGTTGTTATTGTTCATCGCTTAACACATTCATTCGATTATACGATAAACATTTTATGGTCACGATTTTGATTAAATTCATGTGTCAGTACAAATGATTTGTTTTCAGATTTTATTTTACACTTTTGACTGCTTACAAGAAGAAACTTAATGTGAATTTCAATAAATATTTAACTGTTTGTGTATTGAACTTGTCTCGATGCAACTGCAGCGACAAGAGCGGCACCACGACCACTTCCATCTTCCGACAGAACAAACTTAAATCGGTAGTTTGATGGAATTAATTCCTTCACCTTTTTTGTCATTAAATCATCAAACTTTGGATGGTGACGATAAACAGAACCGTCAACACCAATTGTGATGTCAGGATCGCCCATTCTAAGGATTAAAGTTGCAAGTGCTGTTGCTACCAGATGAGCTGATCTTCTTGTGACACTTTCACAAACATAACGAACATTTACACAATCTTCATCTGATGGTTCATTAATTCCTAAGTCAATCAAAACTTTACGAACAACATTAATTGAATCTTCTGCTTCTGTTTCAATTTCTGACACAAACTTTGTGAAAAATTGATGTTGTGTGGAGAGTTGCTTTGAAATTTGTCCATTAAAGAGATGACCTTGTGACGTCAAATGCACCAAAACTAATCGAACAAGTTCACCAAGATACATTCCTGACAGCATTTTCTCAAATATTTGATTTCCTGGATTTAAACTGTGATGATCAACTTCTTTGTCGTAGCATGTTGTGATGAAATCTAATGAACCGAAATCGCCAAATGCACCCCACTCTGTGTTTATTACGACTTTCTCGTCATCGAATTTGTTTTGTTTCTCAAACAATTCAGCATTTGTTGTCCTCTCAAGGTAACAAGCATTCGAACCTGTGCCAAGAATTACTCCAATTTTGCAATCGTGATGCTTCCATGCACACGACATTAAAGTTCCAGTTGTGTCGTTAAGAATTGCGCAAATGAGAATTTTTATATCCTGAAAAAATATTTTTAAAGATTTATTTTCGCTTGGAATTCAAGAATTCTTCTTACATTTCGTCTTTTAAGAGCATCTTCAAGAAGTTCGACAACATTCTGATTCACAACGCCTTTACAATTGAATCCTTTTGTCCATTTGATCAGCAAGCCTTCTGTTAATCCATTTTGACGACATGGAAAGGAAAATGTGAAGCCAAGCGGAAGCACTTCATGTTGAATATTCATCTCGATAGCAAACTCTGCTAAACATTTTGCAATATGATCAAAGAGTTCTACGCCAAGACCGGTCATTATGTTTTGAGGAATTGCGAAAATTTTCGACTGAAACTCGTAATCTTCTTCGCCTTTAAGATGAATCAAAAGCACGCGGAAGTTTGTTCCACCCAAATCCAAAGCAAGAAACTTTCCTCTTTCTGTTCCGTTTGGCAAATCTTGGACAAAAGTCACAAAGCATTTCGTTTCCGCCGAACTGTGAGTTGATCTCTTTAAACCTTTTTTAATTTCACGTTCAAATTTCACCATCACTTCTTTCAATGTTTCATTGTCAAGCGAGAATTTAGGGTCGACAATCTTTTTGATATTTGACGATACTGAAGGCAATTTACTCATTTTTTTTATCTTTTTAATGTTTTTAAATAATAAAAGAAGAAAATTAAACAAAAATTTATTCTATAATGTCAATAATTGTCTATTTAGCTGTGACAACTTTAATATCTCAACAGTGAATGAAATATTTTCGTCGTACGTAGATTTATTTAACCACTTTCCATGTATTTAAACGTGTGAGCTAATAAACTGATAACTTATCGCAATGCATAATAAAATAAATCGTGTTTTGACTTTTAAAATCTTGACACATTTCAGCGAATTTACGTTCATTCACAAAATTTTACTTTCAATCGCTTAACTTGTAGATCAAGACAATCAACTAACAACATTGTCATTTTAATGAAAACTATTTATTAACGATCAGAAATCAATCAATCAACAATTCATTTCAGTGGTTACTACGATTGTAATCAGTTTAGCAAGAAATAAGATAGCAAAATATTTCCTAGGAAAAAATTTATCTTATCAGTTCTTAACTTGCATTTTGTTTACACTTCCACTACAATCTAATAATTCTGGATAAGATTAAATTGTATGAATTAGAATCTTTTTGTTTTAATCATCCATTGACACTTCTACAGTAGCTAATAATTGCAATAAATGGTGAAACTTCTCGCTTATATTCAACCTTCATATTCAGCAAAGTCATTCACAATTCAAAGGAAAACTTACAAAATTTGTTAATTAATCTTTAATGAAAAATCATTTTCATTTTCTTTTTTCCAACAAAATGGAATTTTCATTCCATTTAGATAGCATGAAATGCTAAAACGTAATAAAACGCATCATGTGTGTTGTCATTGCTATTTGCTTTGCCATGTTTGAAGATTTCATCTTAGTTTCGATATGAAACTTCTCGACCCTAAAAACTGATAGCAAAAATAAAACAGTGGAAAAGATGGCAGAATAGAAAAATCACCCACGAAATGTTTAGAAATTCGTCACGAACACACACACAATCACACTCATATGGTGAATAATCAGATTTTTATGAGTCTTTTCGAATCAACGGGATTTGTTTGACTCTTTGCAATGACGTGATGTGTAAGGGAAGAGTGAAAAATAAGAAATGAGGGTTGTTGTAATACTCTAAACATTAAACTAAGTAGATGCAAAGTCCTTTTTATGTTTCTTTCCCTTCTTAAAGAAAAAAACTGAAGCTCTCCATTCTTATGGCTTTGTTTTAATTTAAAAAGATTTCATGTTGTCACTGCGACCAACTTCTGCTGAAGATTCGTTCCCGTCATCCCATCGAAGGCTTTGTAAAACTCCTTTCTTTTCTTTATTAAAATGAAATACCAGGAAGCAGGAGAAAAACAAATCCCGTAAACATAAATTTATATGTTGGATCAGAACAACAAGAAGAGAAAAGTCCTTCGAGACTTTTCTTTTTCACCATTTTCTTCATCGCGGAGTTTTTCTTTTCATTGAAAAGGGTTGCAAAAAGAAAAAAGGAAAAGCAGGAAAATCTTCTTATAATATGGCTGAGTTTTTGTATAATTTAAACAAAAGGGTTGCAAAAGAAATTTTTGTCTTTTTTTTCATCCGTCGAACATCTTCCTGAGCAACTCAAAGTTTCTTTTCAAATCACGCAAGACTGGAAAATAAAATTTCGTTCGTCGTTTTACTACCAAACATTGGAACTCTCGTTTTTTTATTGCTGTAGCATCCGTTGATGATGAAAAGATGCTGAATTTCCTATATTAGGGTGAATTTTTAATTAACAGAAAATATGCAGATGATTTTTTTTTGTTATTCAAGCCATTTGAATTCGTTTCATTGAATGAGTACACGAATAACATTCAATTCAATGCTGAATTTATGGCGGTTTATGTTTTGTTTCCTTCCAATATTCAACTACAGTTGATTGTTGATACACAAAACTCATATGAGTTTCCCTCTTTTGTTTCAGCATCACCCAACGGCTTGCTTTTTGTGCCCCTAACGAACAAGAATCATGTATGATGTCTGATGGTGTCTGTGATATGCAAATTAGGTTTAAATTTAGAAGAAACGTCACATGATATTTCAAACATCACCGTTTGAATGCAAAAACTATTTCATTGTAAGCACACAACATCCCTTGAAACTTTCCAAATCGCGGATTGTTTAAATTTGAAGACAGTTCCGCGAGTGCTGCCATTGGAACCCTCTTTGAAAATGTTTAACCCTCAAACGTCCCGCTTTCACTCCCTTGCTTCTTATTCTTCTTATCCATGCTATGTGCTTCATAAATATCATAATACGTTTAAGATATTAGTTGTATCTGGCAAATGAATTCGTTGTCAATATTTTATGCAAGAAATGAAAATATATTTCCCCATCACCGTTTCACTCGACTCTGCTTTCTTCATCCACCTTCTGGGTTTGTCGATGTTTTCAACGGAATTTTTATTTCTGATGATAAAGTGAGACACAGTCGCATCATTTATAACTGTAAAAACAAACATTTTATAGCCAAATTTGAAGAATAATTCATTACGTAATCAAGATTTATTGAAAATATTCTCCACTTACGCCTCAGAGCTTCATTTTCTTATTTGATATTTGAGAAGTGAAACTTGATATTTTATCGTCTTTCAACGTATAGAAATTATTGAAGAAAAAAATCGATCAAGAGAAGAGAAACGCTTTATGCATAATCATAAATCTTCCCAATGATATCCTGACTAAATTAAGAGATTCTGCTTCTTGATGCTTCGATGACGTTGCCAGTTTTTACTTCTTCTCGTATTAAGTTGAATTTGTAAGTATAGAAACAACATAAAAAAAAGAAATTAAATAGTCAATCAAGCAAAAACAACTTAAACTCGTCATAAATCATCAGTCTAATAAAATGTCTATTTCATTTTAATCAGATATCTTGATGTGAAGATAACATTTTCAAATTATAGCAAAATATCTAGAAATGACATTAATAAATCGTTCGCTCCACAAAAATAAAAGAAAAACTCTCCCTTTGTGTGGAAAAAATATTTTCCTCTTTGTCTCAATACATTACATTACGACATGAACATATTTTTTGTTTGGAATGTTGGTTTGGTGAGTTGTTGGGTGTAGAGAAAGGATAAGAAAGGGTTACAGGTTAAAGTAAAGCAACATGAAACAATATTTTTATGACATTCAACAAAGAAAAACAGGAAAATTCCTTACATGACATGAAACCCAACCCAATTGATAGTCAGTAGCCAAGAAAAAAAAAGCGAAAAGCTGATAGTTTTGTGTTCTTCATTTTCTTTCATTTGTCGTAAAAGTTTTTATTTCCTTTCATTACGACTGTTGTCATTTTTCCTGCCTTCCTTCACCCAATTATTCATAAGAATTGATGTTACTTTTGCAGGTAAGTATGAGCGTCAGTTCGTTATCTAATATTAAAATCGAGTAGTCAAATGTAACATGCTTCATTTCCATTTCTTTTTGTTTTACATTTGATGTAGCTAACACGAAATCGATTTTGAAGGAGGTTAAAATAAATTGTTTTCAATACCTTTAATATTTATCAGACATGAACATGAGAAAGAAGAAAAAGAACAAGAAAAAAAGGTTAAAGGCGGAAGAAAAACTGGCGGCGTGATTCTGTTAATGAGACGTTCATTTCAGTGGTAAAAGAATTTGTTACAATTATAACAAGTCATCATTTGATGACCCTTGACGTGTTAATTATCAGCAAACAAGACGCATACAAACATGCAATGTGAAATCTAAGATAAACGTTGATTGGAATATTCTTTAACTATGCATGTTTAACCTTCAAATCGGTCATTCACAAAACATGTTCAATGAAGTGAATTCAAGCGTTAAAACTTCTAAACAAATATGCCATGTGGTAATGCAACGCTTGCAATAAAGAGTGCAATTTTTATAAGAAACAGTTTAACATTTGTTTAGAATAAATTCACAATTTACACGTTGATTGACCACCTGGCCCTTTCAACTTTTGACCTTGATATGCCTCATGTTCTGGTCTTCTAGTTCACCTTCTAAATTGCATTTAGTTTTAATTTTCTTAAACACTAATTTCCAATTTCCGGTGTGCTTGCTTTTTCTTCTGCTTCAAATTGTCAATCAATTTCATGTAGTTCATGTCCGCATGCAGAGTGGAATGAATGATAGCGAGACAGACGAATAAAGTAAATGTGAAGTGTAAATTGCAGCATTAAGTAAAATGTTGTCGACGGTCAGTTTCGCGAGTCTCTTCTCAGATGTTTATCTCGATCGCCTCGAGTAAATATTAAAATAAAAATCTGAAAATGAAAAGCTTTTGAACGTGATCAAAATATTATTTCTTGGTCAACATGCTTACGTAAATAAATATAAAGTGGTCATCATCCTTCCCTCGGAATTAAGTAGCTTGTTTTTGATTTAATATTTAGACCTGTTGCTAGTTGAATGAGATTTTTATTTTATATCTCGAATCTGTTATTTACCCTCTTTAAACATAAATAATCCTCTTCTGAATTGCCTCTCGTTAAACTGACCCCTACTTAAGGAAAAAAATCTAAATAAGTCGCATCATTGACCGACCCTATTTCAATCGTTTCTTCCATTGTGAACAGCTTAAACCCTCATGTTCAATCTCATTTCTTGTTTATGTTGATATGAAAGGTTAAAAGTAAATTAATTTGTTACGAAAATTGTTTCGCATGAATTGGAAATTTTGTTTCTGGACATTGAAATAATGTTTGATGACTTCATTCAACCATTTTGTAAGATTATTCAATTTTTATGTTGAGTTCATGAAAGTTTAAAACGCTTACAGGTGAAAAATTTGATGGAAATAAGTTTTGAAGTCATCTCATTATTCAATCTTGAGTCAGCAAGAGAATTAATCTTTTCAAATTACTAGGTAGTTAAGTTCATGTATGCAAGATCGTTTCCTGAAACGTCTAACAATTTATACTTAAAAAATTCTTTGAGAAATATTTTTCAGAACAACTAGAATTACTCATGATATATGAGAAACAAATCAATAAATCTTAAAAATCGCAAACAACAAAATTATGCAGTAAAACTAACAAACAACTCAATAAACTAATCATAGACCGTTAAAAGAAAAACTTTCAATTGAATTGTTGTTTAACTAGCAATAGTGATGTGAAGAGATTGAACAACTTTCGTGATGTGTTGCACGTTTTCCGATCGATATCATCTTGATCTTGTGCTTGCAACAAAAGAAGAGAAATGTACATGATTCTTCGTGATTGATCTTTTGGCCAGTTTTATTAGTTTAGTTCGAGATTGATTCAGAGGTCAGTTAAAGAAACAATAATTAAGCTTGTTACAAATTTGAATTTCATTCAAACTTCAGCTTCAAACCGCTACAAAAGAAAAATAAATAAAACTCTTGGCAACACAGAAAGATATAAAGAAAGAACGAACAAACCAACGACATTAAAAAATCATCGCATCAGAAAAACAAATGAAAGATTAAACAACTGAATGTTCTATGCTTAATGTTTCTCTCGAGGGTACTTTTCATCTGTTTCAAGGGAGATGTGGAGACAATGAGATTTAAAAATGTTGAGGGAGATAACTTTATGAATTGCGTGTCTTATTTCAATTTCGTTATTATTATACCGAAAGGAAATTCATAAAACTGGAGATGATAAGATTTGAGGATGAGCTTTGGCTGCATGGATTTAATTGTCATTTTTATTATTTTTCAATGAATATCAATTAGGAATAACCGATGTTTGATCAAATGCTAAAAGTTGCTACAAATTATTCCTTAATTTATTTTCCAATTATTAACGCCTAATTTTCAAGTCAAGTACATTTTTGAGTCAAGTTATATTCAAGTCAAGTATTTTCACTTCTAAATCCTAAAATAAAATTTTGTAGCAATCAAATTGTTGTAATTTCTGTGTTGTCTGAATAATTTACTAGTCTCGTCCCGGAGCGTCACTTTTCACCCACTTAGATTGCAAAAATTCAATCATCAAGAGATAATTTTGCAAAAAGGGAGGGTTGACAATGAAATTGAAAATCATCAAGTTCAAAAGTATACAATAAAGTCATCAGATTCGCATAAAAATCACATTAAAGGGCATTGAAGGAGAAAGTGAGCATGGGGCAATGTAAATTGCATTGAAGAATTTTCTCGTCTTTAGATTTCCTTCCTGTGCAAATTTTGTTCCTTTTATTTTGACTTCTTTTCTGCTGAATGTTCAAATATTGGAGGGAGAAAAAGAATTTTCGCAGACACAGCACAGACGTCTTTTGATGTGGTTGGTAAAGAAAATTCATTCTGTTCAGATTATTACTCTTTGTTGACTCCCGCAAAAGATTTATATGGGAAAAGAATCGTGCAACAGGTCGTTCTATTGCATTTTCCTGCTTTCGCAAATTCAAACATCAAATCCAAAACCAACAAAAGCTCTCTTCAATGTAAGAGACGAATAAATTGAAAGCATAAGGGGAAAAATGCAGTGAAAAGCATAAACAATTGCAAAATGCTTGACTGATGAAGTTAATTGGCAATGCTTATGCCTCTTTTCCTTTAATTACACCTTTTTTAACATTCACTTCCTTTAACATTTTAATTTTATGTTAAAGTTGGCGCTTGGCTTATTAATCGATCAACAAATGTTCATTTAACCTAGAGACCTTTTTATTTATGCACAAGAGTTATGAATACTCTCTGCCACGTTTCCAACTAAAAAAATGATGAATGATACCATTTATGCTCCTAACTCCTCAACATATTATTATGCGCATTAACTTATGACGAGGTTCAAACAATATTTTCTCATCTGTTTCTCTTTTGACTTGTGAAATCTTTTATTCAAACGTAAAATTGATTAAACTTATACTTACTCTTTTCGCTTGGAATAAAAAAATCAGCTTACATTATTTACAGGATGGGATGAATGCTTGGATGAGAGATGAAGGCGCTTTAATGCACCGTGTGATGCACGCGCGATTCAATTTGATACACAATCAATTTAATGGAGAAAAATGAGAAAAAAAACTTCAAAGCTAGAATTAATTTCCGATGTTTCACCAAAGCTTGATGGTGTGATGTGAGTTCTCGTGCAACGTAAATTGATGTTCTTACATCATAATCAGTTTAAGAAGAGCAGAAGAAGACAATAAAATGGAATGGAAAAGCATAATACGAAAGGTCAAACGTTGAGCAATTTTCTCATCCTACTGAATGTTAAAAACAGTTCGCGTGCATAACATGACAATGAATCGTTTCAAGATGAATTGCAGAGTTGAGTGTTAGAATAACACTTTCGTGTTTATATTGAAATGGGATTGAAAAGATTCTGTGATACCTGATATTACTATTAATGATGATTGCTACGAAGATGTAAGATTGAAGAAAATCTTAAATAAAGTTCTCTCACCCTTAAATCTTCTTTGAAGCAATCTAAAAAATAATTTTCCCTTCTCAAGTTGTTTCTCATTTAAATTGATGTCCCAAAAATTATCATTTCGCATCCAAAGACACTTTAAAATATTTTCTATTTCTCTTGTGAGATTAATTTATATCTTCAACCAAAAATTCAAAATTCTCAATGACTTTGGGGACTGTCGAAACTACTTGAGATAGATATTTAAGTTTATGAAGATTTCAACTTTGTTTTTATGACTAAAAAGTTTCTTCAGTAAGAAGTTTGGGTTGAGTGTCATGTCATGTTCATCTCTAATGTCTTTTATCTGATTTTTATTGCCTTTTGAGAATTCGCATTGAAAGATTGTTGGACTAAAAGAATTAAAATCTTGTTCTCCTTTCAAAACTATCACTTTCATTATTACACATAGCTTAGTTTTAAATATTCACAAAAGCAGATGTTAATGAACTTCAACCCTTCCTTAAAATATATTTCCTCCTGTGTTGGTGACATTGGAACCTATTGAAAGGTGCATTTGATTTATAAAGAAACGAACTTTTGATTTTGTTTGCATAAAGATTTATAATTTATTCAAATTTCTTCTCCTGTTGTTGAATGTCTGGCAACATCGCATCGAGATTTTTTATTTCAAACTAGGATGTTATAGTCGACAATCTTTTATAACGACGTCGACGAAACATAAAAAACCATCACAGATATTTGAACAACCAATTTTTAATACCCAGAAGTGTGTGCTGTTCTGATTTTCTTTCTTATTACTTTCGTTCAAGCCGCTGACTTTCTTTAAATCATCCATTAGACGAAGAATAAGCGTGGAGTGGGGTCGAGTAGGTGGAATATTAATACCAAAGTCGTTTGTTGTCTTCCTTCTTTACCCTCCCCCAATCTTTCTTAATTCCATGCATGAAAATATTTGATATTTGCGGATAAATAAAAAACACTTATGCTATGTTTTCCGCTGCTTCTGTTTCTTATAAGAACTCATAAATTTCCTGTCTGATGATTTTTTTTCTGCTCCGAATTTTTTTTCTGGTTTCACATTTGTTCGTTCATATATTTAAATGTTAAAGTTAAAAGCAGTTGAAATTATTTAGCTGTTTATTAAAGCAGAACTCTTGAATTTCAATTCTCATGCGTTTGTGAACAAAAAGAAATTTTCAGCTCGCTTTTCACACTTGATGACTTGCAATACACGATAGAAAATGATTAAATTATCTCATCATCTGCTCGGAAAGCAGCTCAAATAAATATGAAGATTTTTTTTCTCATTCGATTTTCTCCACCCACACTTTCTCGTCTGCATCAATTTTCATATGGAAATTTAATATTTTTTCACAATTTCACCGCATTACCGGTAAACATGCATGCTCTGCTGTATGTTTGATTTCCTGGAGATAATGAGGAAGAAAAAAAAAAAAAAGGTTGTGGATTCAGATGGGAACGAAGAGATTGTGTGGGTGATTAAAGTTAACAAGAGTTGGATCCACGGTACTGTTCATGTGGTTTTTTCATTATTCTCTTGAAGCGAAGAGGGTCGTTTAAATTGGAAAACGAGCAGCAATGTTATGTCGTGTAGAAAGTAAGTTTTATCTTACCGTGGGCTATTTAATAGCAACAAGATATCCAAACATCATTCACATCTATCAAACATTTTCAAGATAAAATTGTCAAATATTTCCATCTTCGCTTCGGTTGTGATATCTGACAAGACGAAATGTAAATGAAAAGTAACAGAAAAATCTTTGGAAGCTTCCTTAACATTCCTACATTCTCGTTTTTATTATTCATGCGTAAAGGCTTCAAAATTTCCCCTCTTAAAATGTTGGGGAAATGAATTTAAGGAGAATTTTTATCAAAACAATTTGTGGAGGAATTTACTAGCAGAAAATAATGAAAAGTTTCAATTCTTCGATTAAAAACAATTCTAAGAATTAATTAAGAGCAATAATTAATTAGTACCAATTAAAAGATTTCTTACAATTCTTAGAAACATTTGATGAGCTTGAGTGGAGCTGTTTGAATCACGTTTCAAGTCGAGTGATCAAATTTCAAATGGAAAAGGAAAACAAGAAATCTTGCAATATGTTTCATTTAACCATTTCATATAAATTCTAATGCTAAACCACATGGACAAGTGTGAAAAGTCACCAAAAGGATAGACGACTTTTGATTTATCGTTTTCCTTGCAGAATGTTTGTCACCTCATTCCAAACTGTTTTGTAAACTGGAAACTTTACAAATCACTTAACCTTCTTCTGTGCATATAAGACTTTCCTTATCTCGTTAACAACATAAGATTTTCATCCCTTTTTTCAACCCACAGAGGGTTTCATAAGATTGTCACAAGAATATGTTATTTAAGAGTTTTGATAAATTTATGACAATTTGTTAGTTTCATTCATTTGCCTCTTGTGGTCAAAAACTATTTTCTTTCGTCTACAAAAAATTATCAAAATCATCCCTAAAAATTTGAATAAAGGGCGATAGACGCTTTCATTAAGAATTCCCTTTACGTAAGAAGATTTTAAGTGATAATCGACCTTCATGCTTATTAAGCAAGGCAAACTTTAAAGATTCTTTAAATGGGGATAAAGTGAAGTGAAAATCATATTAGCGGTTTCACTTTTCACTTCAAATTGCATTGGAGTTATCAACAACTGGTTCTCACCACAAAACACCCACTTCACTTACTTTCACCCTCGTGCAAATTTCCCTTTTCGCAATAACCTTCTATTTGTCAATTTCTCTTCACCCTAATACTTTCATCCCATTGAACGTTTTGCGAAAAATGTTGCTTTCATATGTGACATAATCCAATACAATACGACAAGATAGGGCAGAAGTGGGGTGGGGTGAAAGGGAAAATTGCGATGAAATGCAAATGAGCAAAACGACATTCGCATGAAATTTCGCAACTGAGGAAAAGGAAAGTTTATTAGGGTGTAGACATTTCTGTTTATTTCTCATGTTTTGCGAGGGATCAAGAGAGGAAAATTATCAGTCATTAAATAGAGCAATAAATGTCAGATTTTTTAGATTTCTGTAAACAAACCATTTGAAGAACTCTTAAACTGAGATTTCGAAGAATTTTTGGGTGTCTAAGCTTTCTTAAGATTTTCCTAAGTTTGTTGACAGGTTTTGCCTACGTCAATTGCTTTAATCTTCTTATAAGTTTGAATAATTTGTGTCAATGAATAACTCAAGTCAGCAGTTTAATTTCTATTTATTTTGCATAAGTTTGTTGGAAAAGTTGCCGATTTTTTCCAATGAAAAGTTCGGGAGGAAATTAAGAAAAATATTCATCGATGTGTGGTCTGAGCGAAAGATTCTCTTAAAAACACGAGCTTTCACTTATCTACCCTTCAATTAAAAATATGTACAAGTAGAAGAAAAAAATTAATCGATTTTCATTAATTTTCCTTCTTTAAAAGGGAGAAAATTTTTTCGAAGAAAGAGAAGAAAAAGGAAGAAAATCGAAATGAAAAACAAACTTCACTTAAATAATTTTAATTTACACTCGTTTCTCTGTTTTCCTTTCGTTTCTGATGCTTGGAATGAGTTGGGCGAGCATTGAGACGGGGCTTTCTGAAGACGAATAATTTTTTTTCGCTTCAATTCAACTCAGACTGGGAAAATTCTTTCAATGTACATTTTCATATTATGAAAAAAAATTTAAATACCGCTGCTGCATTTCCTTTTTAAAATGAGGAAATGAAGAAAGTTTCAAAAGTTTCTCGAGTAGTTTCTCGTTTCCATGCTCATTGAGATTATTCCTTTTTTTTACTTTAATTAAAAACTTTGGTTTGCATGCAATTCAATAGGAAATATTTTGTTTATTCAAAGATTCTGAAGAATGTTCTGAAAGAAGAGTGGAAAACACAAAACAAAACCACATCATCATTCTTCTTGTCCACAATTTCATTCGATTCATTTGTTTTACGTTTACTGACCATCGACCAAGAATGTTTTCTTTTCTTGAAATTTACATACTGTGTGACGAGTATTGAATTTCAACTTAAAAGGAATTGCAGAAGAATAATAATCAAACATAAATCATGTCGATGTCTTCTCTCCCTAACCCTCACATTAGCATCTTGACAACGTCCTTAAGACACAGAAAAGACAATTTATTAAGGAAAAACTACCCAAGTGGATATCATTGTGAAATATTTTAAATATCCAGTGTTCTGGATTCTGAAGTTTCACATTATTATGTTTTGAAAGATATGAAAAAGGAAAACATGGAATGAGATGAAACGTTTTGTCTTTGAAATTATTAGATCATGAACTATAAAAGTGAATGCAGATGAGTTTCAAAGTAAAACTTCATATTTTTATCTGTGTCAAATTAAACATTGAAACAAAGACAAAATTTAATCGAAAAATTGTCTTCATATAAATATTTGTCTTGAGGTAATTAATTTTATGTTCACCTTAATTATATTTACATAATAAAATAATTTCCAATATCGACTTTCTAGGAAAAATGAATTTTTACTTCCATTACATGACTAATGTTTATTCTTCTTTCTCGTTTACTTACTTTATTCGATATCAACACGAGATATGTGACAAAGACACGAAAATATTTATGAAAAGAGTTGGAGAATGTTTACATTTTATTAATTGCATAATTAGTTGCTATAACTCACGTTGCCTTATTGCTTATTTTTATGTTCAATGGTTAACATAACTTCCTTTTGTTTTGTCTCCAATCTTCTGTTTGTTTGTTGTATGTAGTCATGAATAAAAGAATTGAAAATGATCCGAAAGCATAAAAGCAAGTAAAAAAGGGTTAAATGGATGATTTACAGAAACAATTATAAAGACCGAGACTGTTGTGTTTGAGTTTGGTTTTGAGTTCAAAGTAAGCAATACACTTTATTCATTTACGGAGGCCCACCTTTGGTGAGGTCACCGTATTGTATTCGACATTTTTTTTTGGAAAATTTTTTTTGCTTAAATATGCTTAAAATAGCATGAAACGTCGAGAAATGTGGAGAAACTGGATTTTCATTTTTCCGTCGCCTTTCAACCCCTGTCTGTATGTATGTCTGTCTGTCTGTATGTCTGTAACTTTTTTTTTGTTAACTTTTCTTAGAATTCTTATCAGGAATTTTTCTGAGAATTCTTATCAGGAATTTTTCTGAGAATTCTTTCTAGAGTATTTCCGAGAATTCTTTTGAATAGGACGATCGGTGCGCGTGTGGGAGAGTGAGTGGAAGACCAAGGACAGTCGGAAGGTCCATGGACAGTCGGAAGGTCCATGGACAGTCGGAAGGTCCATGGATAGTCGAAAGGTCCATGGATAGTCGGAAGGTCCATGGACAGTCGGAAGGTCCATGGGCAGTCGGAAACTCCACACCGGCCGGAGTAACTTAAAATTATGCGTTAGCATAATTTGAAGCTCCCAATGTGGAGCTTCCCCATCTCCAATTTTTTTATTATATTTAAGAGAGTTTTAATCATTTCAGCTTCTCAAACTTCCAATCTACATAATTAATACTTTTTTTTGCTTATATACCTCAGCATCATCAAAGAACTTGTTAAAAATTTATAAGTGAGTCTCCAAAACCGGAAATAATTTGTTCTACTTCAACGCTTTTAACGTTACATTTATTTGAACAGTGTTGTAAATATCTTACCTTAAGAAAACTCTTTAAAGAAGTTATTGTCTGTATAAATAAATATGTAGCGGTGGTTTAATTGAGGTGGATAAATTGTGTAACAAGTCAGTTCTCCAACCAAAACTTTTATTTGACTAAATCGAGTAAATCTTTTTAAAAACCAATTTTTATGTTGCAATCTCTTTTGTGACTTATTCTTGCTTGTAATAATAATCTTCTTGCTCATATCTTAATCGGAAAGATTGCAGTTCGATATGTGTACACTACAGCGATGATTATTCATTTTGCGGTCACGAATTGAATTAAACTCATGCTTGAATCGGGCGATGAAGAACAAAATTATTGTTTTCATGACTTCATCGTCTTATTGCTGGTTTCACGTTCTTAAATGCATTCACATTCGTTCTCCAAAATCCTTTTCATCTCTTTTATTTGAGAGAAGAAATGAAATCGAAAGTTCTTTGAACATCTGTTGATTTACTTTTAACCCTTTGAGATCTTTTTCCGTTGACGTTGATCACAGTTGCTTGCTGTTGTTGAATTTAGACGCCAGGTGAGGAATGTGCGGCAATCATTCACTTCCATCCGTAAATAATCGCATTCATATGTAAATTTAGAATTTTTTTCTTCTATGAATGATTGCTGTTAACTTGATCAGCTAACAATTATGCAAATCTATTCGAGAATATTTTTGAAATAATCGTAAAACAATTTTTTATGTTTATTCAGTTGAATTTGAGTTACTGTTAGATAAAATAATTTGGAAAGAAATCAATTAGTTCTTCATTTATCTACCAAAGCATGCTTTAAAAAGTTTTGTGATTTACAACTATCCAATTTTTCACGATTTAACATTCAAACCTTCATTTTAAAAATAAGTTTCAAATTTCCGTCATGTTTTAATGTTTCAAAATTGAAGGATAAAACTCTAAATCAGCCCTCGCAACCCCTTCATCTTTTATCGTGAAATATTTCCAAAAAAAATGTTTAACTGCCAAAATGAAGATTCGATATTTTCGTAAAAATGGTGGAAAAAAGTTAAACGAAGAACATCTCATAAAAAAAGTTTTCCTATTTCCATTCATCTTATCATTGATATTTTGTCGTCCTCGGTCCCAAGTAGTCGCGTAAATTAAACGTTAAGTGGATGATTTATTTCTTTGCGTACCATCCCCAAACCTTCAAGATTCACCCTCGTTCATCAGAAAAAAATATGAAAAGTTTTACACATCGATTTCATTTGCATAAGTGAATGGCATGTCAGAAATTGTTTTTTGTTTTTTTTCCGTTTTCGTCTCACTCCATACTCTTAAGACGATATGTTTTATGGCATCGTAAAAAAATTACTCGACTTTCGAACCCTCGCAAACGGAGAACCATTTCAAAAATTCTCATCCTTTCACTCTCACCCTGCGTTCTTTATTAATATCATAAGATTTTTGGAATATTTCCATCGTTGTCTGGCAAATGAATTCGCTGTCGATATATATCTCATGAAACGAGGGCATCTTGACGTGCAATCGAGAGCTTCACCCTCCTGTTTAAAAAATAAACCAGCATCGCGTGGCAAAGTCGCGAGATTTTTTAATATCTTTTATTTCATTCTTACATAAAAACAACGAAAACTCATAAATTTTAAATTTCCTTTGCTTGGAGTGACTATGACAGTCTCTATTCGAACTTCAAACTGTTTACAAAACTTTATTTTCAAATTAAAAGAGAGGAAAGAAAATACAAAAGCAAAGCGTGTTAAAAGTAGTGCCAAGGGAAGATTTAATAACATTAACGTTAACAAGGGACAAAACTGACCTTTCAATGACTTTATACACCTCAAATATTAATAAGAAAGGGCGATTTTAAAAATCATTGTTGTTTGTTTTTCATTTAATTTGCCGGATAATTATGTTGCACAATAATTGTTATGATAAGTGTCGTTACGATTTAAAGTTTAATGGGAGGGAAAGGGATTTGACCGCTGGTCAACAAGAGAGGGTGAACTTTTCTTCCCTCTTTTATAATATTTTACGGCATTTTAATTGCAAGTTTTTAGGTCAAATCAACATGATGAGGAAGGAACATATTCGTCAAATGTAATCATATAAAATTCACATGTTCACGTAAGAAACCGCTTAAAGGTAAAGAAATGGAAATTTGAGTGGAAATTGCTTGCCTAAAATTTCCATAATAATGCGATTATTTCGGGTTACAACGAATGTGATATATGTTCATTGCCTAAAGTGGTTCAATGCGGCAGGTTAATTCATTCATCAACCTCAATCTCCTCACGTACATTGAGCAGGCAATTTTCCTTTCCTTCTATTCTAACACGTGAACTCGAAGGCCATATCATGAAAAACACTTTCCTTTTCATTCGTCTTATCATATGTAAATCTTGAAGAAAGTTCATGTATACGCAATAAATGTTATTGAGAATATTTTACGAAATAAACACGCACGGCTATTTCTACCTTTTCACCTCATGTGTCCGTGCACGCAACAAACAAATTTATTACATGCTACGATTTTCCTTCTCTTTACAGTGAAGGTGAAAGGAAAGTTTTAACACTGGATATTTTATATTTTATGTTTCTGGTTTTGGACACTTCACAAGAATGGAAAATCTTTTGATTTCTTAACTTACATAAATGTTTCTTCTTCTTTAATCAATCAATGTGTGCCAAACTCTTTCTCTTTCTTCTAAAACGATATTCAATTCTTACATTAACATGCCTGTATGAAATCGAAATGTAACTTAATATCATCTGTTGCTGGGAGGCTTTTCCAAACCCATCGCATTGTAAAAACTAAAGGCAAGGCATTTGTCTTTCGGCTATAACTTTCTTTTCATACCATGCATTATGTTTGAGCATCAATGCCTCTTTGTTATTGCGAAAACATGAAATTAATCAAATGTTGAATTCAAAGTTTCTGATTTCTTCTTTTTATTATTGTTATGTTAAATTTTTATCTTAATTTATCATTAGAAACCTCACATATCGCAAGTAGGAAAAGAAGAAAATTGAATCGTGACTAAACATACGTTATAGACAAGTTTTTATTGTGTGATCGAAATCTGAAAAGAGGTTGAGTTCGTTAGATTTCTCGATATTGAATATTGATGAGTTATGATTATAATTAAATTTTGAATAATGTTCTGTTTGAGATTGTTTCTGAATTTATCTTTTTTTTTGTAATTTATGCAAGCGTTTAATTGTGAAAGAGATTCTGAAGGTAAGTAAGCAGGTTGTGTAATTATAAATAACCTCCACCCACGCTTTTCTTAACGAGATATGTCAAGAAACGTGATAATTTCTCGAATTAAATTTTCTTATTATTTAATTTCTTTTTCATTTATTGATGGGGATTCTTTAATTTTATGAGCCAAAGGAATTTGAATAATTACGTGTTTTTATTCGGAACGGAATTGCTAAAGACAGAAGCGGGTTTGATTATACCTCACTCCACAAAACATGGAAATATGATTATGCAAAAGGCTTGTTAAATATCTAATGCGGATTCAATCGATCTACTGCTCCAATTTCTCTTTTCACGACTCATCATTCTTTGTTCTCATATTTCATGAACGATTATTTTTCAGTTCTTTGCCTCTTACTCCTCTTAAACATTGCACGATTATTTTTTTTATTTCTCATCCATTGTATTCGAGGAAAGAAAGAAAGAAAGCATGAAATATGAAAAGAACATTTTAGGAGTGTTTTTATATGTTGTTCTTTTTCGCGATTCATATCACACACGATTTTTTAATAATTTTCTTCCTCATCTCATATTCATTCGGTTATTGTTTGAAGTGAGAAGAGAAGAAAGAAAAAGAAATGAATTATTATGATAGTTGCGGGAAAGAAAACTTAGAGATTCATGCATGTGTATCAGCGAATAAATAACATAGAAGGGGAGGGAGAAAAACACGAAATGAATTAGTTGAGCAAGCTTGGAATGGAATCGAACTTCGCTGCTTCTTTTATTGCGCAATAAAAATTATTTGTTATGATAAATATGATGAATGTAAATGTTATATTAAAAGCATGCATAAACAGAGAATCTACAACAGTGGTCTTAAGTATTTCGTTTTATATTTTTTGCTTTCTCACAGAACATTAAGAATTCTATTCATTTTTCAAAAGTTTCGCCACAAACTTCTTTAAATATTTATTTGATTTATGATGGATTGTAAAACTTTATGTTTGATTCAGAACATTTTGTCGCTTTTAAGATTTTTCATGTGATATTTGAAAATAGTTAAGACTTGATTAATTACTTTTGAAGCATAATTTTTTCATGTGTTTAACTAAACAAATGATTAACCTGAAAGAAATGAATATCTTCAAGGTCGTTGAGTAGTTATTTAAATATCGATCGTCTGGTTTACATAACTTCCTGAATAAACTAATTAGGAAATGTCTGTAAATAACGTCTTGACTTTTTTCCTAAGGAACAAAATTAAAATGTTGAATCACCTACGACGTTTCAAAAATTATCCTGTTGATGGAACTTTAAACATGAAATACATCGCTTGAAAGCGAAATGTAAAGTTAAAGCATAATCGACGATTATATAAAATAAACCATCGGTCGCAAAAAAAAAGCAGCGCCTGAAAAGTTTTAATAAAAGCAAATAATGTTGTCGGTGGTCAGTGATCTTGGACATCAAAAAAAGTTCCGTTTGCCTTTTAGCTGCTAAGAATCTTTCAATGGTTGAACTTTCGTAACATTCACGTTTACAACGGTTGAATTTGCAATTTACTAATTGGATGTCGATACGTACTACTGATTGCATGTCTTCAAGATTATTAGAGAAGTATAAGATTAATGATAGGATTTAAGTTCGTTTCTTAGCTTCTGATGGCTTAACTTTAACTTAACTACCATTCCAACGTAACAATGAAACGAAAAGGGAAATTTTACTTATTGATTAGAAATAAAAGACAAATTCCAACTCCCTCTTGAATAATTTCTCTTCTATTCTTTGGTTTTGGCGTTTTTTCTCCAACCAAAACAGAAAATTCGATGAGAATCTCATCAAAATCGTCATCTCTTTGCCCTTTTCTTATCGAAGCAGCAAAGAATGGAAAAATACATTAAAAGCATCTCCTTTCGTACTCATTCCAAGAGATTTCATTTTGACTTCTTTTTTCCTTTCTTTATAACGCGAAATTAAGAAAAAAGAGAAGAAAACCTTAAGAAAAATCAATGAAGAGAAGGAACAATGGGTAGTTAAGACGACTTGCAAGTGGATGGAGTAAAAGACTTCATGGGGAGAGGAAAATGCCCTTGCGGGTTGAGCTTGGAAACTGCGGATGTAGCGAAAATAAAAATCATCTTAATGACGACGAGAATCTTTATTTCGGTCACCAATACAATGCTTTTCGCTTTCTCGATTTTCCTGCTATGGTTGTGTAAGTTCTAAGATAATGAAAAAGTTCTTACGACGACCCGGTTCGTTTTTAACCTTCCCTCATCCCACTTTTTGCGTTAATTTAAATTTTGCTTGAATACATCACAAAGATTTTTTTCCATCTCGTAACGCTGTAAATGAATTAAATTTTCCCTCAACTCTGCAGTCCACACACAAGCATAAGAAGCGATAGAATTCCAACTCCGTAAATAATTTGAATGATATAAAATAATGCGAAGGAATGAGAAGGTAAAAACGACGAAAGTAACCCAATGTCTTCTCACCACCCAACCTGCTCAAAACGACCCATGCTTATGTTTATGTTCAACACGAGAAGGAACAAAAATAAAAACTGATGGAAAGGAGAAGAAGAGGAAGAATGAAATTATTTTAATCGATTTTTATTTATTTTGTTTTTCTTCTGTGTTTGTGTGTATGAAATGAAGTGACAGTTATGAAAGATGTTTAATGAAAAACGAAAATATTTTTGATACGAGACGAAAATAAAGCTTCTTTATTACATCTCAAAGAGAAGATTAATCGATAGGTCAATCTTTTAATAGATGAATAATATTTTTAATGCTGCTTGTAAACAATTTTTCTATTAGTTAAATGTTCTTTCATTTTCTTCCATACAATTTCTATTGAACTTTTCCATTATTTTTCTTGCCAATCCCAATAAAAATATCGCGCTTTTCATTTCGATTCCAACATGAACTTTTTCTGACTCTTTGTATCGATAGAATTGGAAGTGTCGCAGCCAATCGAAAATTGTGAAATTTTGGAGCACAGATAACATTGGCAACGAGATGAAAAATGTGACACAAGAATCCTTTCTACGTGACGCGAAACAACTTTCAAGATAAGAAACGATACATAGATATAAAAGAAACTTTTCAATACATAAATCACGCCCCAAAATAAAAAAAGGATTTAGATGCTTGGAGCTCTGGGAGAAAACATTGGAAATGCTAAAAGCTAAGCTTGTGTTACCAACAGAATTGAAAATAAAACTAAATATGCAAATATGGAATTCAATAAACTTTAAATAAAGAAACTATTCTCATTAAGAAAGTAAGAGAAGCTACTATGGACGTTTCATTAAACTTCATTGAAAAGTTTCCCCAAGTTTAATTTTCTTACAATGAGATTAATAAAAAAAACATTTTTATCAAATGAGTTTTCTCATATTAAGCGAATGTTACTCAGTATTGCCGCATGTGCTCTCACATCTCGTCATAGTCATTACATAGCCACGCCTTTTTTTTACTCAATTCAACGTTTGGGATGTGAATACATTCATACATTACATTTTTATGTTTCTTCATGATGTTATGTTTTTTATTTCCACTCTTTCTCCTACAACACGGTAAGAAAAAGCGGCTAATTAGTTCATGTGGGATAGTATTCGTGTGTATAATATATGTTGATATGGGGCATGCGTCTTAGCATGTATATGTGAGACATTCTGTTCGATAGTATGTGTGTCAAATATTTGTTGAAGGGGAGAAATTTTCTTCTTATAAATATTTGTTATTTCTTCAGTTTTTATCTTAATGAGTATGAAATAAGAAGAAGAAAAATAAGACGCCGTTTTTCTTAGTATAGATTATGAGGTTCTGTCTCATTAATTTTCTCTTTCAACATTAAAATTCGTCTTCGTTCATTTTATTCAAAAATTACATCAACATCACTGACAGAAGAGTTCCATTTAGTCAAAAATTTATTAGAATTTTACGCTTGAATTTTAATGAACTTGCCTTGATGAAGTGAAGTCATCCCATAAAGTTCCACGAAATGTTCTGCTGTATGAGAATTTTTTTCCTGTTTCATTATAAACTGGCTTGAATTCATAGCGGATGGCTCAAAGAATTTAGACTTCAAGAAATGAATTGCAATGAAGAGAAGATCTGTCATGTAACATATACGATATGTTGTAATTAATCGGAGAATCATGAAAGCGAACATCAGCGCAAAAACAAACTGAATCAAACTTTGTTTCTTTTATTTTATTTTTTTAATCACGATTATTTCTTCATTTATGTTTCGGTTTATTTTCTTTCATTCGATGCTTTCTGGACAGTCATCATTCCCAGCCTTTCACATATGCTTGTTTATATGGAGCTGATGATGACTCGGCTGCTTTTCTCGTTTGTTCAATTCACGCGCTCGGAATCTGGGCGATCTCTCAAATGAAAAGTCTTTCGCATTAAGACCCTGTCAAAAAACAAACAATCGCTCATAAATCTCTTTATTACAATGTTTAATTCTCACACGATGCCGACCGACAGAATCAAAAGCCAACAAGCACACGATGAACACAAACATACGAAAAACGCTTGCCATGTCATGAAAGTCGTGAGCTTGAAGATCGAAGAAAAAAGTTCGCCGAAAATAATTTAACGCGCGAGAATTATTAGATTATTAGAAAGAGTGAAGACAATGGTGTGAGAGTGTGGAAAGATATGTTGATTGGAACATATCAAAAACAAATTATCGAAAGCTTTCAGTTCAAATTTGGATCTTCGCAGCTGTTCTTTGCCTTCTTAAGTGAGTCTTACATCGGTTTCTTAGTTCTTCTTATAAGACTTTTCAACGAAATGTTCATGTAAACATCCGGAAACCAAACTTTACACCTGATTGCGTTCAAGGTGGTAAAATGTTGATCATGCTTAGATCTTCCCAATTTCCCATAACATTCACAAAGATGAAGAAGTTTTGAGAGTTCTGATATGTTATAAATGCTTATTATTTTTATTCACTGAATACGAAGTTTTATTCATTTTTTGTTCACTCTAGCAATAGAACGTCTAATTATAATTATGGAGAAGAATACGCGATTACCATGACAACAGAGGAATTTTTTTTATTTTACTTAACGTTCTCCTTTTTCTCATCTTAGTCTTCAAGTCCTAGATGTAATGAGAATAAAGAAATTATCATTAAAATTTCAACCCTTCTGGTTTCCATGTGAACTTTCTCTGTTGTATTCACCCTTAGAAGTTTTCTCAAAATATAATCGCAACCCTTTCATGCACATGTTTGTGTTAGGAAGAAACATTCTAAATAGGGCTTCTTTGAAAAAAGAATTCTAAAAATAAATTTCGCCGGTTTCGTTCACCCACTCAAATTTCAAATGAAAATGGCGAGGAAATAATGATGAAGATTTAATGTCAAAATGAATCTCTAAACAGATCCATCCATGTTTTCATGAGATAATCTCAAACAGTTTGTGAAATTAACTCTCAATCATAAAGAACTAAAACTTCAACAATCTCTTCACTAACTCACTGCAAACATGCAAAAATGTTGGAAATCTTAAATTTGTCATTGAAATTAATCAAGCCAGAATTATCAAAAAGTTCATTACAATTCAAAAATAATAAATCAAAATTCTACCCCAAATAAGTAAATACATCAGTGAGAGATGTTGGTGTCTGGCACGGCTGTTCTTTTTCATTGCCCAATGTATGCAAAAAGTAAATTTGCATTTTTTGTATTTAATTTAAATTCAACATTACAGTCAAAAGTATTACAAGAGATTCTTTGAAATACTTAAAAATCGATAAAGAAACAAAATTGGACGCTTCACTGAAATGAGCGNTCTTCATTTGTGGCACATGAAATGGATAAAAGCTGAATAAGAGAAGGCGACGAATTTTTGTATCCAAAAAATCATTAGAATAATTCTTGTTCTATTTTTTATTTTAATAGAATTTTTTTGTGTATAAATTTTAGTTAGATTGCAATTGAAAAGTCATTTTTTTAGATACTTTGATAAGAATTTCAATTCAATGTTGATGTCTGTTAAATATTCAATTCACTTTAACAGCAAATATTTATCATAAATAAAAGAAGCATCAACAACAACAAGAACATTTTTTGTAGCTTCTCTCCTTAAAATTATTTATTTCAACATTTATAAACAGCTTAACGCTCGTTTTCAGTATAAGATGCAATCAAACATGCACGTTTGTGGGCGCTTCTCCTTGCAAAAAAAAAGTTTTATGAGGTTCTTTAAAGGCTCTTTAGTGTCAGATGAAATCTTTTGAATAATAAATAACGTTTGAAACTAAGAACAAGTGAATTTCTCAAGATACGAAGTCTTCTGTTGATATATTAGTTGAGGAGTTTCCAAGCGATGAATTAAATATTGAAAATCATAAAAAACATTGCAATTGAGTACTTTTCATAAATAAATATTTATGAGAAAGTTGATTGACCAAATGAAAAATCTTTAAGCACTTTCAATGATTTTTGATGAAACAAAATGCAATTTAAAGAGTTCAATCTTGAACAACATTTTACTTTGTAAACAGATTATTAAACTTGGATAATATTCAATATCAAGTAAGCAGACTTCTTTCCTTAAGGATACACGATATTGATATTAGTTTCCTGACAGTTGCCAGTATGAAATCAACGAGAGAAAAATGGAAACAGAAAGGTGAAAATAATGCAAATCTCGCATTTTATCGCTTAAAATAATAATGAACTTTCCTATTATCACGTTTAGCATTAAGTCATGCTCCCATTAACAGTTCATGAACTGAGAACAAACTGCATTTATAAGCACCTGATGTTTAGCCAGATGCAAAAGAGCTTTTATACTTTTTATCTGATATAATCATCGGGTAAATTATTTTTTAAAACATTGAAATTAATGTTTTTGTTAGTGATTTAGATTTGCAATATTTTTATCAATTTAATGTGATTCAATTGAATTTTTCTCTAAATGTCACTTGAATAAGAAGGATGTGTGTCAAACATGGCACAATTTTTCTAGCATTTTTCTGTAACTGTTTAAGTCATCTTGTCATTCTCTCCCTTTGACTCCACACACAATTTTCTCTTTTTTTCTGAACAATGAAAAGCGAAACATGTCAGAACCAATGGAAACTTGTAAAATTTTTTGCGCGATGAATATATTGGCGAAGAGAGAAGAGAAAAAAAATTTGTGACATAAATAAAAATAGCAAAACGATGTAGAAAGAGTTGGCGGAGGGTGAAGCATATTTATTTATTTTCGCAAAATGTGAGGATAACAAATGACATAGAAGTTAGGCAAAACAAATCTTCGAGGCGTAAATCACGCCCAAAAAAGGATAATTCATCTTTTAGCTTGAAACATTTCTATACTGAACAGAAAAATTTGAATCGAGTGTTTTCACATAAATTAAAACTTCTACAGTTAATATCAAAAAGGTATTCCAAATATTATAATTTTTGTATATTTAAGAACTCAAGATATCATTTACAAACGTCAAAAATATCGGAATGAAAAGTCATGCCAAATATCTAGGATATATTTTATGTTTTCTTTGTACAAGCTTTTCAAAAAGCTTTCACAAAAGTTTATCTTTTAAGAGCACATAAGAACATTTCTCATCTCCAGTACATTTGTTTATTCTTTTGCCGATTGTTACTCAGTATTGCCGCATGTGCTTCTCACATCTCGTCATAGTCATACATAGCCACGCCTTTTTTTTACTCAATCCAACGTTTGGGATGTGAATACATTCATACATTACATTTTTATGTTTCTTCATGATGTTATGTTTTTTATTTCCACTCTTTCTCCTACACGGTACGAACAACTAATTAACCCATGTGCTTTTGATGGTGTTCGTGTGAAAAATGTATGTTGATATGGGGCATGCGTCTGAGCATGTATATGTGGAGTATTTTTCTTATGATTCTGAATGCTTGTGTGTGTGTGAGTGCAAGCATGTTAAGTAAAAGGGGGAAATTTTTCTATTCTTTTAATTTATAGATATTTATAAAATCACATCTATTAAAATAAACGTTTAACAGGAAAATATCTTAGAAACTTTACCGATTTGAATAATCATGCTAAATGAATAATCAATAAATAATATACATAATTTGATGAAAGCTTAATGAAGGTAATTAAACAGTAATCAATAAACTGAAACTATGATAAGGGATTAGATTGATAATACAATTTTCTTAATTGATACCAATCATATTACGATAGTTAGAAAATAAAGTTAAAGTTTTAACCGCGGGAGGTAATTAAACAAACAAGATAAATGAATTGCAACGGAAAGAACATCCATCATGTATCATATACGATATGTTGTAATTAATCGGAGAATCATGAAAGCGAACATCAGCGCAAAAACAAACTGAATCAAACTTTGTTTCTTTTATTTTATTTTTTTAATCACGATTATTTCTTCATTTATGTTTCGGTTTATTTTCTTTCATTCGATGCTTTCTGGACAGTCATCATTCCCAGCCTTTCACATATGCTTGTTTATATGGAGCTGATGATGACTCGGCTGCTTTTCTCGTTTGTTCAATTCACGCGCTCGGAATCTGGGCGATCTCTCAAATGAAAAGTCTTTCGCATTAAGACCCTGTCAAAAAACAAACAATCGCTCATAAATCTCTTTATTACAATGTTTAATTCTCACACGATGCCGACCGACAGAATCAAAAGCCAACAAGCACACGATGAACACAAACATACGAAAAACGCTTGCCATGTCATGAAAATCGTGAGCTTGAAGATCGAAGAAAAAAGTTCGCCGAAAATAATTTAACGCGCGAGAATTATTAGATTATTAGAAAGAGTGAAGACAATGATGTGAGAGTGTGGAAAGATATGTTGATTGGAACATATCAAAAACAAATTATCGAAAGCTTTCAGTTCAAATTTGGATCTTCGCAGCTGTTCTTTGCCTTCTTAAGCGAGTCTTACATCGGTTTCTTAGTTCTTCTTATAAGACGTTTCATCGAAATGTTCATGTAAACATCCGGAAACCAAACTTTACACCTGATTGCGTGCTCACAGGGAAAGATGTTTACCGCTAGTTTAAGTCCGAAATATATCTTCCTCGATGTTTCGCTAAAAATATTGATTTGTTATTAATTGATTAGTTAATATGCTTTCGAATCGCTATTTGAAAAGCGATATGCATAAAAGTTTCGAACAGTTGTAGCCCAATGAAGTAAAATCCATAGTTCACAGCTTGAAGCACTTTGTGAAAATCTGGCTCAATAGCGATTATTCCAAAACGGAGTCATTAACGGAATTATCCAAGGAATTATCTGCATTGAGAATCGATTAATAATCTATATTCGTTTGCTCAAGAATACTTGAATTTCTGAGTTCAAGATTATCCTGCCCTTTTAAGAAAGAAGCTGAAGGAACATAAACTTATGTAATTTAGAGGCACTCCAAGTCTATTTTTATTATTTAATCTACATAAGACCAACTACTTAGAATGTGAAGAATTCAATTTTGAACTCAAGGAATGTCCATTGAAAATTGTTTATAAATTTCAAACTNCAAATATTATAATTTTTGTATATTTAAGAACTCAAGATATCATTTACAAACGTCAAAAATATCGGAATGAAAAGTCATGCCAAATATCTAGGATATATTTTATGTTTTCTTTGTACAAGCTTTTCAAAAAGCTTTCACAAAAGTTTATCTTTTAAGAGCACATAAGAACATTTCTCATCTCCAGTACATTTGTTTATTCTTTTGCCGATTGTTACTCAGTATTGCCGCATGTGCTCTCACATCTCGTCATAGTCATACATAGCCACGCCTTTTTTTACTCAATCCAACGTTTGGGATGTGAATACATTCATACATTACATTTTTATGTTTCTTCATGATGTTATGTTTTTTATTTCCACTCTTTCTCCTACACGGTACGAACAACTAATTAACCCATGTGCTTTTGATGGTGTTCGTGTGAAAAATGTATGTTGATATGGGGCATGCGTCTGAGCATGTATATGTGGAGTATTTTTCTTATGATTCTGAATGCTTGTGTGTGTGTGAGTACAAGCATGTTAAGTAAAAGGGGGAAATTTTTCTATTCTTTTAATTTATAGATATTTATAAAATCACATCTATTAAAATAAACGTTTAACAGGAAAATATCTTAGAAACTTTACCGATTTGAATAATCATGCTAAATGAATAATCAATAAATAATATACATAATTTGATGAAAGCTTAATGAAGGTAATTAAACAGTAATCAATAAACTGAAACTATGATAAGGGATTAGATTGATAATACAATTTTCTTAATTGATACCAATCATATTACGATAGTTAGAAAATAAAGTTAAAGTTTTAACCGCGGGAGGTAATTAAACAAACAAGATAAATGAATTGCAACGGAAAGAACATCCATCATGTATCATATACGATATGTTGTAATTAATCGGAGAATCATGAAAGCGAACATCAGCGCAAAAACAAACTGAGTCAAACTTTGTTTCTTTTATTTTTATTTTTTTTAATCACGATTATTTCTTCATTTATGTTTCGGTTTATTTTCTTTCATTCGATGCTTTCTGGACAGTCATCATTCCCAGCCTTTCACATATGCTTGTTTATATGGAGCTGATGATGACTCGGCTGCTTTTCTCGTTTGTTCAATTCACGCGCTCGGAATCTGGGCGATCTCTCAAATGAAAAGTCTTTCGCATTAAGACCCTGTCAAAAAACAAACAATCGCTCATAAATCTCTTTATTACAATGTTTAATTCTCACACGATGCCGACCGACAGAATCAAAAGCCAACAAGCACACGATGAACACAAACATACGAAAAACGCTTGCCATGTCATGAAAGTCGTGAGCTTGAAGATCGAAGAAAAAAGTTCGCCGAAAATAATTTAACGCGCGAGAATTACTAGATTATTAGAAAGAGTGAAGACAATGGTGTGAGAGTGTGGAAAGATATGTTGATTGGAACATATCAAAAACAAATTATCGAAAGCTTTCAGTTCAAATTTGGATCTTCGCAGCTGTTCTTTGCCTTCTTAAGTGAGTCTTACATCGGTTTCTTAGTTCTTCTTATAAGACTTTTCAACGAAATGTTCATGTAAACATCCGGAAACCAAACTTTACACCTGATTGCGTTCAAGGTGGTAAAATGTTGATCATGCTTAGATCTTCCCAATTTCCCATAACATTCACAAAGATGAAGAAGTTTTGAGAGTTCTGATATGTTATAAATGCTTATTATTTTTATTCACTGAATACGAAGTTTTATTCATTTTTTGTTCACTCTAGCAATAGAACGTCTAATTATAATTATGGAGAAGAATACGCGATTACCATGACAACAGAGGAATTTTTTTTATTTTACTTAACGTTCTCCTTTTTCTCATCTTAGTCTTCAAGTCCTAGATGTAATGAGAATAAAGAAATTATCATTAAAATTTCAACCCTTCTGGTTTCCATGTGAACTTTCTCTGTTGTATTCACCCTTAGAACTTTTCTCAAAATATAATCGCAACCCTTTCATGCACATGTTTGTGTTAGGAAGAAACATTCTAAATAGGGCTTCTTTGAAAAAAGAATTCGAAAAATAAATTTCGCTGGTTTCGTTCACCCACTCAAATTTCAAATGAAAATGGCGAAGAAATAATGATGAAGATTTAATGTCAAAATGAATCTCTAAACAGATCCATCCATGTTTTTATGAGATAATCTCAAACAGTTTGTGAAATTAATTCTCAATCATAAAGAACTAAAACTTCAACAATCTCTTCACTAACTCACTGCAAACATGCAAAAATGTTGGAAATCTTAAATTTGTCATTGAAATTAATCAAGCAGAATTATCAAAAAGTTCATTACAATTCAAAAATAATAAATCAAAATTCTACCCCAAATAAGTAAATACATCAGTGAGAGATGTTGGTGTCTGGCACGGCTGTTCTTTTTCATTGCCCAATGTATGCAAAAAGTAAATTTGCATTTTTTGTATTTAATTTAAATTCAACATTACAGTCAAAAGTATTACAAGAGATTCTTTGAAATACTTAAAAATCGATAAAGAAACAAAATTGGACGCTTCACTGAAATGAGATGTCGGTGACTTAGTAAAAGTTGCTGATGGTGGTTTTGTCTGTTCCAAGATCCAATTTTATTCAAGCGACTAAACTTGAGTGGAGAATTAAGCAAAAAAGTTTGAAAAACCACTTATGAAACTTCCAACATAATATCGAAGCGAAGCAACATACATTGAAGAGTTCATTCAATCATATCGCACTACATCCAACAATGCCACAAATATCACTCGATTGGAACAATTAGCAACCTTCTTTCTTATTCGGTTGTCTTACCGTGAAATTCGTGCTTGAATGTTGAGCTCAAAAAATGGTGAAAACATAAGAGTTTCATGCTCGTTTTTAATTGAAATTTTTTGCTTTTATATCGTGAAAAAGTTTCATTCAAAAAAATGTTTCTTCGTCCAATGTTTGGTATTTGGTAAGCTGTGAGTTCTGTTAAGACAAATGGCGATGAATAATATTAAGCACATCAACCCCCTGTTGCTCATGATCATACATGCTCCGGTCTGCTCTTCTCTTCCGACGTCAACATGTTCTCTGCTAATGATTTCCATAAATTCATTGACGATTATGAGAACGAGAACTGGAAAAGATATTGTGAATATTATTGAGAAACGTGTTGGACATTTCGAATTTGAATTTAGAAATTAATCAATGTGAATTGTTTGTTTTCGCTTCAGTGGAAGGTGGATGAACTCTTGCAGTTACGTACATAACTCGAAAAGAAATAAAATTTCATATCAAATGTCCCACTACCGTAATCATCGTCATCATCATCACCTAAATAGTTTTGTTTCAAATGTGTTTCTAGCACCGAAAAATGAATTACGAAAACATATCATTTGACGTCTTCACGTCTTCATTGTTTCATTCCCGAAATTTTCTCTCACATTCGAATGGACAATTGTCCACTGGTTTTGTGTACCACTTTGAGTTGAGATGTTCCATTGTATGTGATGATCTTGTTGTCACAAATTTCCATAAATCTCTTCACACACATGTTGCCGATTTTCAGCATTGTGGAAAGGAATGAAGCGGTAGCGACGAATGTAGCGAGTCTTAGCCTTAGATAAATTTGAAAACAATGAAGACAATGAAATTTTGAGGCCCAGAAACGCCAAAAACTCGCACAATAAATGTATGTAATTAAACATCGTAACCAGCACTGGCGATTCTCATGAGAGTGTCCACATACATACAATTTTCATACATTAAAACATGTGATCATCATCAAGATAAAGTCGTGGGAAAATATCACATGGGACAATAGAAAATTCGGCTATTTTCACTTATTGTTCATCACAAATTATTCCCATGAACACTCAAATAAATTAAAGAGTTCAACGAAGAAATTCAAAACAAAATTCAACGTGAGACTCTCAAATCGACACTTCAAATCAATTTTAATATCAAAGAAATCTGAAATGTCTCCAAAGAAAAATTCCTGACTGGAGCATAAACACATAAAATGTTATCAGCCTTGGCAGCATCAGAATGAGTAATGACAATCAGGCAAGTAAAAAAGCGAACAAACAGAAGAAAAAAGGGTTAGAACGAGTTTTCTTCGTAGTCACAGATTAAGAAGAATCTCCCAAGAAATCTTTTTCCAAGGTTTGATATTTGTGTGTATGAGTAAACATGTATGAAAACCATTTGGGGGCGCAAGAAAGCAAAAAAGGAAAAAACGAAAAAACGAAAGAAAAGTTTTCCTTCAATGTTTCTTATGCGCGGGAAGTGATCGAGTTGTGTGACAAGTACGCATGTGTTTATTACAAACAGCGAAAGCAAAAGCAACGGCAACGGCAGGATGAGAAAAGTGAAAAACTGAAAATGTATGTTTGATTGTGTGCATGAGTGTTCGTTCGTGATATATTCCCATACATAAAACGTGCAGCCCTTTCTCTCTTCCCCTTGCTTCTTCTCGCCCGCGCACATCAATTCATATATGAGTGAACAGAACGTAGCGAAAAGAGGTGGAATGTGATTTTCATGCATGGACTTTTTTCCCTCTCACCCACATTCAACACACACAAACAAACTCACACACTTTCCTTCTTTCTTTTATTTCATATCGAGACATGAGCATGTGAACGAAAGAGAAAGACATAAATCCATAAGTCATTTCCCCCCGCATTCGATCAATGTATGGATGTGTACGTTGTACGTTGTTATTTTTATTTTCGTGCTGTTATTTTGTGTTATTGCTGTGCTGTGTGTGCCCCGCTTTTTTCCAACATACACTCGAGAGAAGAGAAAGCAATAGCAGCAGTAACAGTAAGAGAAACGAAAGAAAATAAAACACACGAAAAAAAAATAATAAAAGAAATATATCGCGCGTTTTGCTATTTTTTTTCAATTCTAGCCGCCCGACGAATGCGAATGTGGAAAAATATATGTGTGTATATTGCTTGCTTGCTGTATATTGCTTTTTTCATTTCGGTTTTGCCGGTGCTTTATTTGGTGAGAGAAAGAGAATCACAAGACACGTCAGTCTCATTTTTCGTCTCAAAATGTACGGTTCGGTTGTGCTTGGTGCTCTCGGTGGTTTTTAATGGGTTAAAATATTGGAAGATGAATAGTGATAGGGTTGAAGATTAATTAAAGTAGGAAAGGGGTTAAAAAAGCTGATAAATTGAAGTTTCATCATTTGAAGATAGTTTGATAAAAAAAATAGAAAAGGACGAAATAATCGAGAGCGCCAATCAAAAAAAATTCTTATCGTGTTTTCTTTTTATTGAAATTTACTTAATTTTAATTCTTCTTTCAGTGCGTTTAAAACTTCATTATTTCCTTTTGGTCAGCTGTAAAAAACAAAGGAATCAAAAAGAGTGAACATTTGAAAACAAATTAAAAGCTTTTGTGAATTTTTAAACATTAAACAAAATAAAATGTTTGATCGTGTGAATTTTGAAGTTGAACAAGTTTCGGACTAGCAAAATTCTTAAAGAACATTTAGAAGAAAATCATCTTTACAAAATTCAGAAAAAATAATAATTTTCCATCAAAACAGTTGACAACATGTGCTATTCAAGCAATTAGTACGAAGTTGGGTCGTGTTCATGTGTGTGATTTTTAGAGATACTTAAAAGGAATCTTTACCTGTTTCACATCTGAACAGTCTGAGACAGGCTTATAAAGACGTAGCCATCATAAAGTGGACATAAAGAAAACAAAATCACTTTCTCACTTACCTAAAAATAAAAATAGGATTCCTAAACATAACGTGATTTCTACCTGACGAGGCAACATATTACATAAAATTTGTTGCAAGGAAAGAAAATTTGTGAAGATAAAGTGACAAAAATATATTCCAGAAATTCAATATAAATTAAATAAGTGTTTCATTAAATTTTAAATCTTTCATCTAAATGTAAAGAAAGTTAAAAATTGGAAATTTGAAAATAAATGTTGAAGTGAAATTTTATCAGAACATTGGATTAATAAATGAAACTCCAATTATTGGTGATTAAGAATATAAAAGTCTTCACAACATCATTAAACATCAGTCAAATCAAAAAATGGATTAATTAGTTCTACATTAGTTCATTAATGAAACGCAATTAAAAGGATTTAATTAAACTATACAAAAGTGAGTTAAAAGTTCAATAAATAATTAGCAAACTAAACATGGGAAAAAGTTAACATTATTTGAAATGTTTTATGCTTCGCCAACATAATTTTTATGTTTCGTAATATTTTTATAAATTTTCAAAATCAAAACTGATTTCTTTTACTTGTTTGCTTCTAAACTTAAGCATTGAATTAAAACATCATCAGAAATATTAAATTGAAACTTTTAATTAAAACCAACTCAATAATTATTTGGAAACTTAAATGTTGATCTTGATTTCTTATTAAATGTTTGCAAGTCTTGTTAGAAACTAAAGAAAAAGCTTTTAAAGTATTTTGGTTTGTGGCAAAGACATTTAAAGCCGTCTCGATTGCTACAAATCACCTTGATATTATATACAACCAACCCCCATCGAAAAATATGTCCTTAAAGCCGAATACAAATGTTCCTTTCTTCTTTTTATCCTCTTTCGTAATATCCGTTCAAGTCGCGTAAAGTGCCTTGAAAGAAAGAGAAAAAAAGCTGAAAAATCAATGAACTTCTGCATGAACTTTTTCTTTCTTTTTCATGCGAAACATTATAAAAATGCTCAGTGAATAAAACGAAAATTAATTCGATAACATTTTTCTGACTTTTTTTCTACTTTTGTTTGTTGTATACTTGAGTCATATTTTTGGGGAGTAAGTGGGCTTTGCAAATACAAAGAACTCTTTTTTTTTTTGAGTGATTCCCAAAGCATGAGTTGTAGAGAAGCTGAATAAAAAAAATCTCCAGACTTTCTGAATTGAGCTCATTTCACAAATTAACTTTTTTCCCAGTTGAATGTTTTGCAATTTAAATAATTAGTTGGCAAGTTGCGACAAGTGAGTAACTTTTTTGTATTTTATTTGGTTTTATTTCAGTTCCTTCGAATGATGATCAACTGAATGAAAGAAATTAACTTAAATTAAAAGGGAAAAAAATTGATTTATTTATCAAAAGAAGTAACAAAATCAAATCGTTGAGTTAACGAGAAATAATATTTTGAATTCAACCATCACAGACTATGACAGCTGCTCAAGAAAATTACAGTCTCCGTTGGAACAATCATCAATCGCATATCTTGCAATCGTTTGATGCACTTCTCCAACAAAACTCCCTCGTTGATGTGACACTTGTGTGTTCAGATAGATCGCTTCGTGCACATAAAGTTGTTCTCAGTGCATGTTCTCCATTTTTTGAGAGAGTTTTCAACGATACACCTTGCAAGCATCCCGTTATAGTTCTGAAAGACTTCCGAGGATGGCTCGTTCAAGCCATTGTTGATTTTATGTACCGCGGTGAAATTTCCGTCCCACAAGAAAAACTTAATCAGTTGATTCAGGCAGGTGAATCTCTTCAAGTTCGCGGACTTATAGGCGCTGTTCCTTATACAATTCCCACTGAAAGTGATATCGAATCGCAACGTGAAACTTGTGTTAGTCCAATGCCTCGTAGAAAACAAGCAAGACCACGACGACGCTCCGGCGAGCTCACAGATCTTCCACAAGATTTGAGTAACGGAACAATCATTACAAAATGTGAACAAGATGATCCACAAACAGACACAGACGACGAAGATAATGAACTACACGAACTGGCGAAACGTGTACGACAAAATGGAGCTAATGATGATTCAAAAAGTCACAACGACGACAACAACAATGGACTTGATGATGACGAAACAGTGGAAAATGAAGAAAAGGAGAATCAACCTGGAGATCCAGGATCAACTGACGTTCCTGAAAATCTTTGTATGAAGAAACCTGCTGAAAATGTGCACACATCGGAAGGTCTTGTCGGTGATAAGAATAATAACAACGATGGTAATAGCGGAAAGAAAAGATCAAATGCCGGACCACAAAATGACTTTCATGAAAGATTCATTTTAAGTCTCAAAGATTTACGACATTTAAGACAACGTCAGGGTCCACCGAATCATCCATTCAGTGACATTCTTTCTCATCTTCCCATATCGCCACCGCCAAGTTTTCATATCGGCCATCAAGATGGTAAAGACAGTCAAAATATGAAAATTGATAGCGATCATTCAGATGCTGAAACTCCACCATTTCCTGATCAAATGGATTTAGCTCATCATCGTAATCACCTCAATTCAAACTTAGAGAAATTATCACGCGAACATCAAAAACATCAACAAATGATGCAACAACAGAACTCGGGAATGCCACAATTTCCTCCACCATTTCATCAAGGTGGTGATGGTCAAATGAGGGCACCAGGTCATCATGGACATCCTTCATCACCACTTTCATTTCCATCTGTATCCGCATTAACGCTTACACCACCACACAGTAAGTTTTCCTTTTTGTTTTTGTGCCTTAAACTGAAATTTCTTTAATAATCAATTTGAAAATTTATTTACATCGTTTAGTGTTTGGATTAGATTCACCTTTAGGATTGTTTCCACCTGGAATGGATCCTTCTAAAATGTATAATCCTATGATGGATTTACCAGATCATCATCCAGCACATCATCGACAACTCCATCCAGATCATCAGCCGTTTCTAAAGAAGAAATGTGAGTTGAATATTGACGAGAGAAAAACAAAACTTTTTATTGATTTAATTTAAATATATTTAATTCAGTGAATAGACCGAAAGGACAACACAGTGCACCACGTGGTGGTCCACCAAGATCGTGGACAAATGCTGAACTCACTGAAGCATTGCAACATGTTTGGAATAAAAAGATGACAACAAGTCAAGCATCGCGGATATTTGGCATTCCATACAACTCTCTTCTGATGTACGTGCGTGGAAAGTACGGAAAAAGTTTAAAGCTTGAACAGTTGAGAAAAGATTGCATTAGTGGCCCGCCGATTGAACTTCTTCAAATGGGGCCAACAGCTCAAGCAAATGAAAATAAGAAGAAAGAAAAAGCCTGTCAGGATGGTGATGAAGGTCATTCAAATCGTGAAAATAATCCTCATGCTCCATCGAGTGGGTCTAGACGAAGCGCCTCGAGTGAACCTGACATGATGATGAGTCAAAGTCCGCTTTTCAATCCTTTTCCTGGCGGTTTCTACCCAGATTTCCAGGGAGCTGCTGCCGCATTTCCAGGTCTTCAACTTAGTATGTTGAATCTTTTACCTCCTGACGCACGAATGCATCATCAGTCAATGATGCCCATGGTGATTGATGATGATTGTAAAAGTGACAATGGATCGATACAATCATTAGAAGATTCACTGCCAGCGACACCATTGAACTTGAATCGTGAGAAGAATGGAGGATCGTCTGGGCAGGCGTCGAATCGTCAAATGTATCAGAACTGACCAGCAATTCACGTCAGTGGACGTTTCTAAGATTCATTCAATTGGAGTTTAAATAACAACGTCTGATGATGAACAAAACAAGATCGAAACTTTATTATTTTATTTTTGTGTATTTTTCGGCTGTGTATAAGATTAAAAATACTCAGAAAATGACGTGTAGGTGTAAAAGTCGACAAAAAGAAAATGAGATGAAAGAAAAAAGTGAAAGTAGAAGAAAAACGTGCACAGAAAATGTAATGAAAATTCTTGAAATGTCTTAGGAAAAATTTTCGTTGGTGGAAAATCTGAAACCAAAAATTGTGTTTAGTAAAAAAAATGGTAAAAAGTTTAAGATTTAGAAATAAAATTTTCTGAAATTACATAAATAATAATGTAGTGGTAAAGTGATTCAATTGTGGAAAACTGAAACAAAATGAAAAATTTGATAAGAGAATTGAGAAACCTTCTCGATTTTGAAAAGTTATTTATTTTATTGATAATTCTTATAAGTTGACTGCTTATTTGGTGCTTTTTATAATTTATTTATTTACATAAATCTTAATTTTATTTTAGTTGCAATTTAACATAATTTAAATATATATCGACATAAATTAAGTAAAAGCGCACGATGAATGAGTTCAACGCACAATTAATGAAAGAAAAATTCGAGATATACTCGTAAAATTATTCCATTTGAAGATTAAAAAAAGTTTCAATTAATTTTTATTATTTAGTAATTTATGTGCTTCCTATTTGAAACATTTTTTCCTTTAACTCTACTCTTATAGTGATAGAATGTTATGTTCTTCTTTTATATTGCAATATTTTAGATACAAAACTTTTGACTTTTGATAAGTTTTCCTTTTTATTAATTTCCTCGTTTTAAATTATAAACTTTGACAAGTTGCAATACTTTTTTTTATTTGGTTTATCGACAACAAAAAAATATATTTAGGTTATCTTATGACCCTCATAAAAAATATTTCATCAAATGTAAGAATGTGATTGCATCAATTTCAGTTGCCAAAAGTTCAAAACAAAAATGGTGAAAACTCAAAACAAATAATACATTTTAATACAGTTATAAGTCTAAAGATTATTAATTAATTTGAATGTATAAATGAAACTTAATCGCAATCTCATGTTACAGAAGTCATAAATACAAGAAATAATTGTTCAACAGTGACAAGAAAGGAAAATATTTGAAACCGCGTAAAATATATCTCTACATAAATACATAAATGGAAACACTAAACAATAATGATACAGGGTATTATATTTAAATAGAAAACAATTACAGAAACCTACAATACAGTGTAAATAATTAAAAAAAATGAAATCGTTATTATTATGCGCAACTGAAATTGATGCAAATATTAAGACTATATAAATACTAAGAAATCTCAAATGTAAAGACTGAATCTATAGGCTTTCACTTCTTTATAATTCAGTGACATAGACACGAAACATTGGAAAAAAATCCCCAATAAAATTATGCAAACAAAAATTAAACGAACAGTTTTGTGCGGTTAAGAATGCAAAGCGAAACGCCAATGGATTTCCAAAAATTCAGAAAAATACGAAAGGTTTTTGCTTTTTACATTTCAAATGTTCAGACATATGTCAATCTCAATAGCATGTTCAATGTACAGAGTCGCGGTCCCACCTAAGGGTTCCAATGAAACTTTTTAAAAATTGACATGAAAAATTATTTTATAAAATTGGAAGCCAAAATAAAATCAGAACTCAAAGTTGAATGACTTAAGGAAAAATGCTCAAAATATATTTTATTCCCCCAAAAATATTTGTTATGCATTTTCATCAAATTTTCCATTTTTAAAAAATTAAAGACGTTAAAATGCAATAGATAATGTAAAATCGATAATTAGAAAACTCATAAACAAAATAAAAGAATTAAATAAGCTACTCAAAAGATGAATTTCAAAGTTCCTTCATAAACAGTGATGTTTTTACTTCTCATCAAACAACACGTAAAAGAAGAAAAAAATGAAAACAAACAATAGCAAAGAAAGATTTTTTTAACAGTACAATAAATGATATATTTTTAAAGGAACGAATAATGTGGAACTGATAAAACAATAGACCCAGAATAATTCTTCTTTGTTTTCTTTTTCCTTTTATCTTTGTTGTTCAACACAATTGCCTCAGTTTTATATACTCAAACGAAGGATAATGAAGAAGATATTTGACTTAATATTGAATAGTTTACAATAGTTAATAATTTATACAGCCACAAATGCAAGTGATACAGATAAAGGAATAAAACTAATCGAAATAGACCCGAGAAACCAAAATTTTCATGTGGCGGCAATATGACTGCCACTTGCAAAGTTACATGTCAGGGCAATTTATTTATATGGCGAAAGCAGCCACTTGGCTGATTTGAAACGTACATGTAAATTTTGGTTTCTCGGGAGAATACTCAACTCATAATTTCTCCCGAGTTACTACAAGTTCGACTTCTGATAGCTCGTATCATGTTGAACTTTCTCTCATGTTAATTCATTTCTATCCGACAACCACGAAATATATTTCTACAATAAAATGTATGGAAGTTTCATGTCAAACTACTTTACCTGATTCTCATTCCCATAATTCATTAATCCGAAATGTTAAATAATGAAGAACATTGAAATTTTTTATATATTTTTATACAGATATCAAATCAATACTACAGACAACGTCAATACAAAATAATTGAAAGAAAATCTCGAAAATGAAATGACAATTTGTTGGGGAAATTCAACAATTTCGCGTATATTTTGTGGCATCGTTTTAGCCAGATTACAACATCAATCTCACTGCACAGTTGAAGCTCAATCTTTTGTTTTCATATCTTGCACATATATCTTCAAAAATTATGCTAAAAATAAGTTTAGATCAAAAAGCAAAAACCTAAGCACGAAAAATGAAACTTCACATTTAAAATCATAAAAAAAATTTAGAAAATTTCTATTATTTAAACCGCAAATTCATGAAACTCAGAAAATGAATTTATTGCTGTACAAAAGATAATGATAATTCACAACTCTCTCACATTCACAATACAAAAATAAATGAGACAAAGAAAATAAAAGAAAAACTTGAATGTTGTGACAACTTGAATAAAATAAAAATTATTAAACAAATGAGGTATGAAAAATACAAAAATTTTATAATGAAAAACTATGAAAATTTATGTAAAAACGATGTCGACTTGAGAAATGGAAACTTTTTTCTGGAAACCAAATAAAATTTAATATTAGATGAAAGAATTAAGATGATCTACTTTGTTTTTATTTTCCTAATCTCTCTTATTTTCATCTTTCTTAACTTGACATCTCGTACGTAATCTGCTTTCCTTGTCTTCTTGTCAGATTCTTATCAGAGGAAAATTCTTTTGCTGTTGATGCTTTCTCTTCTCTCGAGTGTATGTTGGAAAAAAGCGGGGCACACACAGCACAGCAATAACACAAAATAACAGCACGAAAATAAAAATAACAACGTACAACGTACACATCCATACATTGATCGAATGCGGGGGGAAATGACTTATGGATTTATGTCTTTCTCTTTCGTTCACATGCTCATGTCTCGATATGAAATAAAAGAAAGAAGGAAAGTGTGTGAGTTTGTTTGTGTGTGTTGAATGTGGGTGAGAGGGAAAAAAGTCCATGCATGAAAATCACATTCCACCTCTTTTCGCTACGTTCTGTTCACTCATATATGAATTGATGTGCGCGGGCGAGAAGAAGCAAGGGGAAGAGAGAAAGGGCTGCGCGTTTTATGTATGGGAATATATCACGAACGAACACTCATGCACACAATCAAACATACATTTTCAGTTTTTCACTTTTCTCATCCTGCCGTTGCCGTTGCTTTTGCTTTCGCTGTTTGTAATAAACACATGCGTACTTGTCACACAACTCGATCACTTCCCGCGCATAAGAAACATTGAAGGAAAACTTTTCTTTCGTTTTTTCGTTTTTTCCTTTTTTGCTTTCTTGCGCCCCCAAATGGTTTTCATACATGTTTACTCATACACACAAATATCAAACCTTGGAAAAAGATTTCTTGGGAGATTCTTCTTAATCTGTGACTACGAAGAAAACTCGTTCTAACCCTTTTTTCTTCTGTTTGTTCGCTTTTTTACTTGCCTGATTGTCATTACTCATTCTGATGCTGCCAAGGCTGATAACATTTTATGTGTTTATGCTCCAGTCAGGAATTTTTCTTTGGAGACATTTCAGATTTCTTTGATATAAAAATGATTTGAAGTGTCGATTTGAGAGTCTCACGTTGAATTTTGTTTTGAATTTCTTCGTTGAACTCTTTAATTTATTTGAGTGTTCATGGGAATAATTTGTGATGAACAATAAGTGAAAATAGCCGAATTTTCTATTGTCCCATGTGATATTTTCCCACGACTTTATCTTGATGATGATCACATGTTTTAATGTATGAAAATTGTATGTATGTGGACACTCTCATGAGAATCGCCAGTGCTGGTTACGATGTTTAATTACATACATTTATTGTGCGAGTTTTTGGCGTTTCTGGACCTCAACATTTCATTGTCTTCATTGTTTTCAAATTTATCTAAGGCTAAGACTCGCTACATTCGTCGCTACCGCTTCATTCCTTTCCACAATGCTGAAAGTCAGCAACATGTGTGTGAAGAGATTTATGGAAATTTGTGACAACAAGATCATCACATACAATGGAACAACTCAACTCAAAGTGGTACACAAAACCAGTGGACAATTGTCCATTCGAATGTGAGAGAAAATTTCGGGAATGAAACAATGAAGACGTGAAGACGTCAAATGATATGTTTTCGTAATTCATTTTTCGGTGCTAGAAACACATTTGAAACAAAACTATTTAGGTGATGATGATGACGATGATTACGGTAGTGGGACATTTGATATGAAATTTTATTTCTTTTCGAGTGATGTACGTAACTGCAAGAGTTCATCCACCTTCCACTGAAGCGAAAACAAACAATTCACATTGATTAATTTCTAAATTCAAATTCGAAATGTCCAACACGTTTCTCAATAATATTCACAATATCTTTTCCAGTTCTCGTTCTCATAATCGTCAATGAATTTATGGAAATCATTAGCAGAGAACATGTTGACGTCGGAAGAGAAGAGCAGACCGGAGCATGTATGATCATGAGCAACAGGGGGTTGATGTGCTTAATATTATTCATCGCCATTTGTCTTAACAGAACTCACAGCTTACCAAATACCAAACATTGGACGAAGAAACATTTTTTTGAATGAAACTTTTTCACGATATAAAAGCAAAAAATTTCAATTAAAAACGAACATGAAACTCTTATGTTTTCACCATTTTTTGAGCTCAACATTCAAGCACGAATTTCACGGTAAGACAACCGAATAAGAAAGAAGGTTGCTAATTGTTCCAATCGAGTGATATTTGTGGCATTGTTGGATGTAGTGCGATATGATTGAATGAACTCTTCAATGTATGTTGCTTCGCTTCGATATTATGTTGGAAGTTTCATAAGTGGTTTTTCAAACTTTTTTGCTTAATTCTCCACTCAAGTTTAGTCGCTTGAATAAAATTGGATCTTGGAACAGACAAAACCACCATCAGCAACTTTTACTAAGTCACCGACATCAATAAATCTTACTGAATGAAAAATGCAACAATGGGAGTATGCAATCTCAATAAAATTTGAAATTTATATTCAATTTTCAATGGACATTCCTTGAGTTCAAAATGGAATTCTTCACATTCTAAGTAGTTGGTCTTATGTAGATTAAATAATAAAAATAGACTTGGAGTGCCTCTAAATTACATAAGTTTATGTTCCTTCAGCTTCTTTCTTAAAAGGGCAGGATAATCTTGAACTCAGAAATTCAAGTATTCTTGAGCAAACGAATATAGATTATTAATCGATTCTCAATGCAGATAATTCCTTGGATAATTCCGTTAATGACTCCGTTTTGGAATAATCGCTATTGAGCCAGATTTTCACAAAGTGCTTCAAGCTGTGAACTATGGATTTTACTTCATTGGGCTACAACTGTTCGAAACTTTTATGCATATCGCTTTTCAAATAGCGATTCGAAAGCATATTAACTAATCAATTAATAACAAATCAATATTTTTAGCGAAACATCGAGAAAGATATATTTCGGACTTAAACTAGCGGTAAACATCTTTCCCTGTGAGCACGCAATCAGGTGTAAAGTTTGGTTTCCGGATGTTTACATGAACATTTCGATGAAACGTCTTATAAGAAGAACTAAGAAACCGATGTAAGACTCGCTTAAGAAGGCAAAGAACAGCTGCGAAGATCCAAATTTGAACTGAAAGCTTTCGATAATTTGTTTTTGATATGTTCCAATCAACATATCTTTCCACACTCTCACATCATTGTCTTCACTCTTTCTAATAATCTAATAATTCTCGCGCGTTAAATTATTTTCGGCGAACTTTTTTCTTCGATCTTCAAGCTCACGATTTTCATGACATGGCAAGCGTTTTTCGTATGTTTGTGTTCATCGTGTGCTTGTTGGCTTTTGATTCTGTCGGTCGGCATCGTGTGAGAATTAAACATTGTAATAAAGAGATTTATGAGCGATTGTTTGTTTTTTGACAGGGTCTTAATGCGAAAGACTTTTCATTTGAGAGATCGCCCAGATTCCGAGCGCGTGAATTGAACAAACGAGAAAAGCAGCCGAGTCATCATCAGCTCCATATAAACAAGCATATGTGAAAGGCTGGGAATGATGACTGTCCAGAAAGCATCGAATGAAAGAAAATAAACCGAAACATAAATGAAGAAATAATCGTGATTAAAAAAAATAAAAATAAAAGAAACAAAGTTTGACTCAGTTTGTTTTTGCGCTGATGTTCGCTTTCATGATTCTCCGATTAATTACAACATATCGTATATGATACATGATGGATGTTCTTTCCGTTGCAATTCATTTATCTTGTTTGTTTAATTACCTCCCGCGGTTAAAACTTTAACTTTATTTTCTAACTATCGTAATATGATTGGTATCAATTAAGAAAATTGTATTATCAATCTAATCCCTTATCATAGTTTCAGTTTATTGATTACTGTTTAATTACCTTCATTAAGCTTTCATCAAATTATGTATATTATTTATTGATTATTCATTTAGCATGATTATTCAAATCGGTAAAGTTTCTAAGATATTTTCCTGTTAAACGTTTATTTTAATAGATGTGATTTTATAAATATCTATAAATTAAAAGAATAGAAAAATTTCCCCCTTTTACTTAACATGCTTGCACTCACACACACACAAGCATTCAGAATCATAAGAAAAATACTCCACATATACATGCTCAGACGCATGCCCCATATCAACATACATTTTTCACACGAACACCATCAAAAGCACATGGGTTAATTAGTTGTTCGTACCGTGTAGGAGAAAGAGTGGAAATAAAAAACATAACATCATGAAGAAACATAAAAATGTAATGTATGAATGTATTCACATCCCAAACGTTGAATTGAGTAAAAAAAAGGCGTGGCTATGTATGACTATGACGAGATGTGAGAGCACATGCGGCAATACTGAGTAACAATCGGCAAAAGAATAAACAAATGTACTGGAGATGAGAAATGTTCTTATGTGCTCTTAAAAGATAAACTTTTGTGAAAGCTTTTTGAAAAGCTTGTACAAAGAAAACATAAAATATATCCTAGATATTTGGCATGACTTTTCATTCCGAAATTTTTGACGTTTGTAAATGATATCTTGAGTTCTTAAATATACAAAAATTATAATATTTGGAATACCTTTTTGATATTAACTGTAGAAGTTTTAATTTATGTGAAAACACTCAATTCACATTTTTCTGTTCAGTATAGAAATGTTTCAAGCTGAAAGATGAATTATCCTTTTTTGGGCGTGATTTACGCCTCGAAGATTTGTTTTGCCTAACTTCTATGTCATTTGTTATCCTCACATTTTGCGAAAATAAATAAATATGCTTCACCCTCCGCCAACTCTTTCTACATCGTTTTGCTATTTTTATTTATGTCACAAATTTTTTTTCTCTTCTCTCTTCGCCAATATATTCATCGCGCAAAAAATTTTACAAGTTTCCATTGGTTCTGACATGTTTCGCTTTTCATTGTTCAGAAAAAAAGAGAAAATTGTGTGTGGAGTCAAAGGGAGAGAATGACAAGATGACTTAAACAGTTACAGAAAAATGCTAGAAAAATTGTGCCATGTTTGACACATATCCTTCTTATTCAAGTGACATTTAGAGAAAAATTCAATTGAATCACATTAAATTGATAAAAATATTGCAAATCTAAATCACTAACAAAAACATTAATTTCAACAAGAATTTCAATGTTTTAAAAAATAATTTACCCGATGATTATATCAGATAAAAAGTATAAAAGCTCTTTTGCATCTGGCTAAACATCAGGTGCTTATAAATGCAGTTTGTTCTCAGTTCATGAACTGTTAATGGGAGCATGACTTAATGCTAAACGTGATAATAGGAAAGTTCATTATTATTTTAAGCGATAAAATGCGAGATTTGCATTATTTTCACCTTTCTGTTTCCATTTTTCTCTCGTTGATTTCATACTGGCAACTGTCAGGAAACTAATATCAATATCGTGTATCCTTAAGGAAAGAAGTCTGCTTACTTGATATTGAATATTATCCAAGTTTAATAATCTGTTTACAAAGTAAAATGTTGTTCAAGATTGAACTCTTTAAATTGCATTTTGTTTCATCAAAAATCATTGAAAGTGCTTAAAGATTTTTCATTTGGTCAATCAACTTTCTCATAAATATTTATTTATGAAAAGTACTCAATTGCAATGTTTTTTATGATTTTCAATATTTAATTCATCGCTTGGAAACTCCTCAACTAATATATCAACAGAAGACTTCGTATCTTGAGAAATTCACTTGTTCTTAGTTTCAAACGTTATTTATTATTCAAAAGATTTCATCTGACACTAAAGAGCCTTTAAAGAACCTCATAAAACTTTTTTTTTGCAAGGAGAAGCGCCCACAAACGTGCATGTTTGATTGCATCTTATACTGAAAACGAGCGTTAAGCTGTTTATAAATGTTGAAATAAATAATTTTAAGGAGAGAAGCTACAAAAAATGTTCTTGTTGTTGTTGATGCTTCTTTTATTTATGATAAATATTTGCTGTTAAAGTGAATTGAATATTTAACAGACATCAACATTGAATTGAAATTCTTATCAAAGTATCTAAAAAAATCACTTTTCAATTGCAATCTAACTAAAATTTATACACAAAAAAATTCTATTAAAATAAAAAATAGAACAAGAATTATTCTAATGATTTTTTGGATACAAAAATTCGTCGCCTTCTCTTATTCAGCTTTTATCCATTTCATGTGCCACAAATGAAGAAAAATCTTAATGAAAATCGATTCAATTTTCTTATTTAAATATTTTCTCGCTTTTTATTTCTTTTTCTTCTTTCAGAAGATGAAAACTTCAACGTTGTAAGATCTGAATGGGTTGGGTGGTGAAAAGATGTGAGTCTGTTGGGTTATTTCCATCTCTCGCCTTCCCCCATACTACTTCACACTTTCCTCCACATTATTTTATATCTTTTAATTTATTCACGGGGCTGAGAATTCTCTTGATGCCTCGCTGCTTACAATTGTATAAGTGTAAGTGGACTGAGTAGATAGCAATAAGAGAAAATTTGATTCATTTCCAGTACTTTGAGATGAGATTTTCTTATGATGCTTTCTAGCATAAAAAGAAACCTTTTGAGATGTGAAAACATGAAGGTTTGGGGGAGAAGTGGAGAGGCTTGATTCGGGTCGCTAAAGCTACTTTTTCATTATCTTAGAACTTACACAACCATAGCAGGAAAATCGAGAAAGCGAAAAGCATTGTATTGGTGACCGAAATAAAGATTCTCGTCGTCATTAAGATGATTTTTATTTTCGCTACATCCGCAGTTTCCAAGCTCAACCCGCAAGGGCATTTTCCTCTCCCCATGAAGTCTTTTACTCCATCCACTTGCAAGTCGTCTTAACTACCCATTGTTCCTTCTCTTCATTGATTTTTCTTAAGGTTTTCTTCTCTTTTTTCTTAATTTCGCGTAACAGAGAAAGGAAAAAAAGTCAAAATGAAATCTCTTGGAATGAGTACGAAAGGAGATGGTTTTAATGTATTTTTTGATTCTTTTTTGATCTAAGCACAGGAAAAGTGACGACTGAAGATGTTATTGTTATAAGAATTTTAACGACGTTTACTGTTTTTAGACTGAACTGTAGTGGGTGCTTGAAAGTTCGAAAAGATCTGAAAGAAGGAATTGAGAGCAAAAAAATATATTTTTATAGCAATTAATTAGAAATTTCAGACATCTCGATATCATTCTATTGTTGTTTTTAAACTCATTACGAGAAAATAAAACAGAAGCATTATTACCGAATGCTGCACGAAAATATTTAATTCTTTAAATCAACATCTGATAAGAGATGATTAACTGAGACAAATTTATTTAATGATGTCTTACTTTCCTCAAATTATGTTTAGAAGGAAATCAATCAAGTTTGTATTGAGAAATTAATCTTTGATCGGGAAATATTTCAAAAAACTTGCTAAGCACAGCATCATGTAATTCAAATCTCTTCAAATCATCTCTTTAATATCGTTTGACTAAATTGCTTGACGTTCGTATTATATGAAACTGACCATCCACAATTTCTTTTTCACTCTCCGTAATTGTGGCGCTTTCATCTTCAGCCGTGGCTTTTTATAGTCGTTGATTCTGTTTTGATTTTTTATTTCGCGTTTAAAGCGGCATGTTTTATACTCTTTACAAAAAATAAAAATAAAAGGAAATCAAATTGCACAAATTGGCAATCTCGCGTGTCATTTTAATTCATGCTCTGATTTGTTTTTGATCCAAAGTAGAAAGAGAGTTGGCAATCATTTAAAGTAAAGTTTAAAGTGTTTCCAAGGCAAGCATTTCTATATTTAATTATCTATCTCTATTCATTGTTTCATTCCACCGGATGTATAGAAGAAAAAATAATTTGACGTTAATTTGCACAGTTGAATAATGCAAGAAGAGTAAACACCGTTAAATTGCAAACATTTATATCAAGGGTAAAGGTCAAACGTCCAGACATTTCCATATTTAATGCCCTTGAAAAGCTACCCTCTTCATCTTTTCTCATTTTAAAAATTAAATTCAATTTAACACACAACAATATAATGCTTTGTGAAGCTTGCAAATGGACAATGAACATTAGAAGGAAGCATCGCACTTTTAAATATTAATTTTTCGCTTAATATCTTCTGGCACAAAAACATTTTCATAACTGTGAAACCAAATAATTTTTAAGTTCTGTGGAGAATTTCATATGGTTCTTCGACTAAATGCTTCAAGCTACCAGATTAGCATTTTTCATAATGTGTAGCTTTGAAATTCACAATATCTGCTTATGAAATTTCTTTTCTACAAGTCGACATGGAAAAGAAAAGAAAATCAGATAAAACAGAACTGCTGGGGATTTGAAGAATTCGTAAAAAGAATTAACCTTGTTCCTGAATGTTATTAATAGCATAAATATTTATCATTAACAAATAACTTTAAATGTACAACAAAAGACATAATTAATTGAATCTTGATGTGAAGACTTTTTCGCAAAAAGTATTCATGAAGTAACATGCTTGGATATATCACAACGTTTCCCTCTTCTCGTTTATTCATTTCTTCTTTCTTTTTCTCACTTCAACCAAGCTTCAAATAAAAACCGAATGAAACAAGTATGAGAAAAAAACGTTTATTAAAAATCGTGTATGATCTGAATCGTATAATGTAACAACAACATATCGAAACACTCCTGAAATATTCTTTGGATTAGTTTTCTTTCTCCACTTGATCTCAGTTTAGAAGAAAGATGAGAAATGATTATCGTGAAATTCTTAAGCAAAGGTCAAGATTCTTGATGAAACCTACTCATTCAAAGGTGAACAAAGAATGATGAGTCGTGAAAAGAGAAAAAATTGGAGCATTCAAAGAATTTAGATTATTACTGAGTCTTGAGATATCCAAGAAGTTCTCAGGTTTAATCTGATTCACTGTGAAAAGATATGAAAACAAATTCTTGAAGGTCGTCTCGTAAATTTGTTTCATTTGTTTTCAATTTCTCTCGATTAGACACTCTAAAGTCACTTAATCGAGTACTCTCAAATCATAAAAATTGTAATAAATTTCAACAAAACTATAAAACTTTGAATGTATGTCAGCGAAATGAATGCTGCAAAGAAAGTTCCTATCATATCCCACATATGGTTAATTAAATAAATGAGGGAATTTAGCAACAAAACATTCGATTAAACCATTGTTTTAAGTTAAAGCAATCATATATATGTTTGCCTCTAGGCATGATTTCAATTCAAAACGTGACCACAAAATAAACGATCTTCAGTCTCGTGCTAACATATCGAATTGCATATTTTCGATTAAAACGAATGAAAACAAAGATTTCACATTCTTTTTTTGCAAATAAATGAAATGAAGAACTTGGGTTAAACTAATGTATTCATTTATAAGATTGACCGCAATTCATGTTACTTGATAAGATGAGTTCAGAGAAATGAAAGTTAATCTCTTCTGGTTGATCAGGAAGTTTCAGATTCTTTCTTTGCTTCAAATTCAAATTGTGGTAAGCTTGCAAGCTGTCATTCACACAGTGAATATTACAATGTATTAATTTTATGTCACAATCTATTACATAAATTCTTATTCAGCATTCATCTCATTCCTTTATGCTTTCTTATAATCTCAACACTTGTGGATTCGCATGATTTATTTTTACTTTTCTATTCTGTTCATCTAACGTGTAACCTGGATGTGGATTTCCGGTGAGTTATGAGTTACTGCTTGTTTTATGAACATGATTGAGGTGCTTATGAAGAAAAAATCAAATCAACCTAAGAAGTTTCGATGCGGTAGAGGGTTAAGACAAGAATGTTGATGCGTATTTCAGTCTAAATATAATGAAAGAATAAAAATCTGAAAAGAGTCTGAGTCAATTAAATTTGACTTTTATTTTGAAGCAAAAACCCGTTGATCGAACTATTTTCACATTTTGTTCTTCTTTTATTCAAATATGTTACGGGCATCTTATTCATTGTACCATAAATTCCATTTCACAGTCTCATCTGCTTCGCATGTTTACCTCATCTAAAGCTAAACCGTATTTAATATTATCGAATGTTTCTTTTCCCATTCTCAATTCTTTAAGTTTGTTTTCATTCAAATTTTAATCAATTAAAAATGAGAACATGAATGAAAATAATGAATGAAGAAAAAAAAATTAAATTGAAGAAGCAATTCTCAAGACGAGTAAATCTCAAGTCGCACGCAATCAGGTGGAAAATTTTGTTTCCGTTTTATGTTTGTTTCTGCTTCATGCGGAATTATTTAACTTTCATATGCCAATAAACCATTGACCTCTGAAAATAAAATTGCAGCTGCTGATTGAAAATAAATTTTATTTTTGACGATGAGTCAACGAAACATCGACAAAATTCTTCTGTAAGGGAAAAATGTAACAAACAGAAATTTCTTTAATAAATACTTGGGCATTGGACTTAAAGTGTACAATTTCCATAATCTAACAACTTCTCATTCTCATAAATTTAATATTCTCTTTGTAGAAGATAAACCATTTAACCCTTCTCAACATTTACAAGGGCAGCATAACTCACGAAGTGAAGCTTTTTATAATAAATAGTTTAATGAAATAGCACAACGTAAGACCAATGAACGTTATGATAGAAAACATTGTGCAAGCATTAAAATAACATAAATTATTCCTTTTAATTATACAATTAATAAAGCGATACTGCTTCTTTATTCAAACATGTTTCTGTCACGTATCCTTTGTAAACAAAAAATGCGAAGAATAACAACACGAAGAAAACTCACCTTAATTTTTATCATGAAATATTTTCTGAAACTCGTGGGTGGAAATCCAGTGGCAATGAATAAAAAATGAAAATTAATTACATAAAGACAAATATTTGAGAAGGAAATCGATATTTTTACCTGACAGAGAAGCTAATGTTGAAAATGGGTTTTCCATTAATATTATCATGAAATAATTACCAGACACGAACATATTGTCAAATATTTAGATATTATTAAAGGTTTTCCTTCTCAATCTTTAACTTGTTTATAAAGTTTGAAGCATAAATTTCTCAAGATAACATTACGGTCACTTGAGCAGATAAGATGATATCTGGTATTATTCGTTATATTTTGATGAACAATATCAGTAGCAATATTGAAGAAAACATCGCCAAAAGGCAAAAGTGAATTGATAAACGATATCATTATTCAAAATCTCCTTAACAGCATCAAATTCAATTTCCTTCTTCTCCGTCCACCATAACATTTCGAAGGAAATATTTGAAATTCCAGAAGACTGTAAAAATATACTCAATAATATCCACTTGACTAGTTCTTACATAATAAATTTTCCATTCTTTTGTCTCATAGATACCAACAGTACTGAAAAATTGAGGGAGGGAGAAGAAAACAAAACATCTTTTGACATGATTTATGTGCGATTGTTTCTTGAGGGGTTGACTTGAAACTTAATACTTTATCATATGCAAATTACTTTCTGTAGAAGGAAAATTCCTGGACACGGTCAAGAAACAGATGGTAGGAAGCTGAGACAAATCTTAAATAATTATGACACAATTTTTGAAATTTATTGATTATTTTAAGTAATTTTTCTTCCAACAATGCCAGCTGAACTTTCAAAAAGCCTATGAAAGAAAATGTTTCTGTAAAAAATTTAAAATTTTTCTTATTTCTAGAGTTAATAAGTTTTCCACATAAACTTTTTATCAGAAGTTTTTATGCGAAAATGGGAAATGAAATAAGTATTGCGAAGTAAATAATAAATAAATAACTTTTCCTTCATTAATTGGAAAATGTACAAAGAAAGAAGAAAATTCTCTTCATTTACTTGGGCTCGGAATGAAAATAAGAAAACCTCTCACTCATACCCCAACTTTCATCACAGCATCACACCCTACAAAGGAGGAAAGTAAGCAAGTGTAAATTAAAATTTTTAAACAACATTTCTTCTTTTCCACTTTCGAATTTTCCATCTACATTTTTCCTTCTCGTCCCCTAGAAGATTTACTTTCTCGGCCGCCAAGTTGTGTACCCAAAACAAAAAAAGGAAAAAAAATGAAAATCGATTAAAATTTGCTGCTGCTGCTTTTACGCTTTTTCGTATTCTTAGAGGTTTTTCAATTTCTGTTATGTTAATGTATATAATATCTTGGAAAAGTTTGATAGCAAGGAATGAGAACACAAACAAGTGAAGACTTATTTCTTAAACGAACGAATGTTGGAATGTTTTAGGAATTTTATTTTATTCGAGGCAGCTTTTTTTGATTTTTCTTCAGCATGAAGAATTGTTGAAGCTTTTTATAGTTTATTTTGAAATAAATTAAAACTTATTTATGAGGACTGAGGATTCACTAGGTGAAATTTTCTTCTATTCAATTATAGAAAATTGACGTCCAGAAAATCATCTTCTTGGAACCAATTTCGTGATATTCAGTTTATGTGGCATTTCTCTCATATTAAATAAGAAGTAAATCAAACGATTTGTTGTCAAATGAAATCAAATGAAAGTTGTTTCTTGATAAAAATATTCAGTTTTATTCAAAGAGCTGAAAGGTTATTAAAAAATATTCACATCTCGTCTTCTACATCAACATGAAAAGGAAACATTGAAAAATAATAAATTTTGTTTGAATTCAATTTTATTTCTCATATACTTTCTCAAAATATGAAACATTTTACACTCGCCCATGACAACTCATAATATTGAAAATATTTCATGATATTTTACACTTTTCCAAAATAATCGGCAAATATTTTTTTCTGATTTCCATCAACCACGCCTTTTTATGTAATTTGGAAAATTATTTGACTTGTACATAACGCACAGTATTTCTTACACATAAAACATCTTTCGCAAAACATCACATTATTTTCCACCTATGAAAACTCTTTTCCATTTTTATGCTCTCCAGTAGATTCTGTTTTCTTCATTTTCCTTCGTTAAAGCGTTGGATGTGACACGAATTTAGAGCGATTTTTTTTCTTTCATTGCTCAAATAAGAAAGAGCACATAAAAATTTCCGTGCTCCTTTTGCGGGGGATCGTGTTAGGGGTTGTGTACATGTGTGTGAATATGTTTGTATGGTTGCATGTTGTGTTGGTACAATTGTATCCAAGTGTGCTTATATGTATGTGTTTGTGCGTGTGCTTATAACCCTACACGATGATATGAGCTTTGAAAGCTTAAAATAACTTTCAGAAAATTGACCCCTTTTATTTACAACCTTCAATGATCTTTCACAACTATGAATATTGAATGATAGTTGTGGCAATATTTATTTTTTCGATTATTCACGGACTATTTTTAACGTCTTTACCGCTTGAAATATCTTGACAAACTGAAAGCTTCGAACAAAGAAACGTTTAAGAAAAGAAAAGAGATTTTAAACTTAATAAACTGAGGGTCAGAAAAACCATGAAAACCAGCGATTGTCTCACTGGAAAATTTCCTATCTTCAAGATTCTTTCTCTATAAAACTTTAAACTTAGCTAGAAAGCGTGGACAACAAAAAGTGGCCTTTAAATAAAATCTTTCCCCACAAAAGAGGAAAAAAAACTTTGGTGGGGTAGAAACGAGCTTTGACGCATGAGCATTTTCATTGAAGCGAGACTTGGTGTTTTAAATTTGTGTTTGAGAATATTCACCACTTTTTGTGTGGTAGCAACATCAAAATAAGATTTAAGGACATTAAAAAGAAAAATAAATTTATTTATAAATTAATTTCATTTGTTTGTATATTCTCAAAGATTTTTTTTTGAATCATGTGACAAAAGATTCTTCTGTAATCTTTCTTAGCGACGAGCCGTAATTTTCAATT